TCGATTAAAAAGTTGGGGCATTCCTATAATCAAGTGCTGCTTAGAAAAACTTTGTATTCAATTTTGCAAATATATACCGTTGTATTAAATGTTGACATTTGGTATATAAATCGATATAGTGAAAATTTTGTTTCATTAATTTACACGGATCTTGCGAAAGATGGATTCAGTGACTGATGGTCTTACAACTATAACATACTTTGTAGTGGTATAAGGGTAACATTTAAGTTTGTTAAGTGATTGTTCTTACTCAGTTTACCTTTGGAATTTTAAGTCCTGGCGTAAGCGAATTATAGGATTTTCTTTTTTAGCTTGTTAGTAGGAGAGATAATTATTAGAAAGTTTTATGATGTTTGAGAGTTTTTTACGCTGGTAATAGCCAATGCCTTCGCTTAGAAAATATTCCTAAGTAAGAAGTAAAAGTTTCAAGTAACATAATTGTTAGCCTATGTTGATCAGTTATATGATCCGTAGCTAAAATGGAAGATAAAAGAAAATTCAGATACTTATTCTTTCTTACCTTATTAAGTTGGAACTCTAAGCTATTTTATATAACTAATCAGTAATGAAATAGTAACGCAGGAAATAAGTAACGGCAACTAATCAATTCTGGTTGACTAGTAGATACCTTAATCGAACACTAAGAAAACTAAAATCTTCTACTATAAGCGTACTTAGCACTCCGCTTGCAATCGATAGATGCAAACTGATTTGCTGAAACGTCTAGTTTCTGATAAAATACGATTTGGTTACTGCTAATAAACAATAAAAGCTATATACGATACTATTCCATTAAGCGCTGAAAAGAAAGAGCAGAGTTATTAAATACGATAGGGCATCCTAGGCGTCGGCATCTCAATTATATAGTTTAACAATTGTCACTTTTTGAATAAACAATAGTCTGCTTATGATCTAGATTTAATTGCGGTAACTACAAGTATCTGTTAAATATCATCTATTTATTAATATTAAAACAAAAGGCTATTGAAACAGACGTGCAAAACATCACGGCAATAAAGGGTTTTATCTAATTACCATTTCTGAACTGATCCATAGCTAATCATTTTGTAGATATAATAGAATGTAGGCATCATTATAATAAGAACGGCCTTTCTTTTCAATACGGTTTTAATATTATTCTGTAGTGAAACTATGGATTTTTTGCACTTAAATTAAGAAAACGTATCAATAGCTTTTATTTATTCTTTATTATTTTCTAGTAGCACAGTAGATTGTAGTCAGTAGATGATATGTTGACAATTTCAGTTAGATCTACGGGTTAATATTAAAATTTTGCTTATTAGAAAGTCATGCAAATCATATTAACTTATATTATTTCATACTAGTCAAACAAACATAATGAGTTTCTGATTGCTTTATGCATGAATTATTTTATGAAGGCATTATTTAATGAGAGTACTAGCAAATATCCAATTTTATAGGAGAAATACGGTCAGCTATTTAGGTTATTGATTTAGATTAGTGTTACTTGAGTAACAACGATAATATCTTAAAAGGAACACATTAGTATCTGTAGAGTTTGAATTATCTAGTAAATAGAATATTTAATACGCATTTAGGGCATGGATGTACGTATAAGAGATCATTATAGTTAAGGGAGTGAAAGAAACCAACATTGTTATCAGCTACATTAAGTTCTATAGATTGAATTTGTAAATTATATTACAATTTTCAGTGCTTAGATGGAGAATGTTAGTCTTTAGTTGCAGTTTTTATCGATGATAATAGAAACAACTTTATATCATTAATGTCAATCAAAAAATCTCAAATAGTTTTCTGCGAGCTGTAAGTAGATTTAGCGAAGTAAAGTTCACACTTCGGCACCTGACAGATCGAAAGATAAATAATTCAATTTTGATAACTATTCATGTGCACGGTGAATATCACGTTTAAAAAAACAGGAGATGCATTTATACTGTATTGTAAAACATATATCTGATGTTCGATGGGTACAACAAATTCTTATCGGAAGATTTTTAGAAGTTTATTTCATAGGATGCTTTCCTACAAAATTTTATGGCTATTTTAGGCTAAGCGCTGATTCGACACTCATTAATTTTCTGTTAATTTCCAAAGTAAAGGTTCAAGGTGCCGTTAGATAGTCATGGCATATAAAATTTTAGCGACGTACAAGTAATCTATTTAAAATGCAAGCTATTTCTAAAAATTTGACTGAATTTTAATAGCTAATTTCCTAAAAATCTTTGCCTTCTCTTTAAATTTAAGCTATCAACTGAGTCATCTACATTGAATCAAACTGAAATGTGATTTATTATCATACACATAATTAGCCTATTCGTATGTATTCATCATGATAGAAGAAGAGAATTATCTGAAAGTTGCATAAAGTCAAGCTCCGGTCAACTATAAATCTTTATTAATATTTTTTTATAACTATTTCTGAGGTTATAGTTAATACGATATAAGTTTATATTAATGTTGATAATGTGTTTATCACCAAATGTATGCGAAAATGGCTATGTCAACTCTGCTAATAGTAAAAAATATTTCTACAGCATGTGATATTATTGTATAATATTGTAAGTATGCTTTGAAGGATTAATAAATACCTTACGTGTATGATGGATATTGGATTACTAAATATATCGAGCTACAGCGAAGGAGGAATTAAAGGACAGCCCTATAAGTTTTGTTATAAAACAGAACTAAATAGGAATTTAATAAATTTGTTCTTTTTATCATGAAATTGTTTTTAGCGGAATAGCTTACTAGCTAACAAACTACAGCAGATGATTTTTTTATTGGGTTGGAAGAATTTGATGCATTGTTTAGAAAATGATAAATATTCTGCTATAGCTAAAATAGATAAGATTATAAGATTAAAAATTACCGTAGGGTATCGAAAGTTGGAGACATGTAAAATATTAATGATGTTAGATTAAAATAAGTAAGAGCAGTATTGCTTATACACAATGTCATAGATTGGCAATATGAATATTACTTTACGATTATAGCATGGTATTCGTAGTTTATGGTAGCTCGCAATAATGTACAATGTCTCGTAGTTTAAGATACTTTATTAGATCGAGAACTGTGGAAGATATCCAGCTATGATCGGACGACGATAACAACAACAACACACGCTTGCATACGATTGCACTGTGATATACTGTGCAGTATAGTGCGGTGTAATACTAAAATACGGATTACATAATTGTATAAGATTATGATACACTAATATGATAAAGCAGTATTCCAGTAAACAGGTAAACACATTCGTTAGCAATACTTAATACGTACGTAATAGCATTTACGCTGACACATGTACAATATTCAAAATTGGCCATTCCAGTCAAAATCAATATTGTAAACCTCTAAAGGTTAACAGATTCGTTCAAAAATTTCTGACATGATTGGTAAAAGTAAGTACTTTCTGTCAAGGAAATGATTCTATCACATACTTTTGTATCAGTCCCATTGGGTTTGCAGGTGTAAATATAAGGGGAAATTAACTATAAATAAAAATTTTTAATTTTGCTAGCCATTTTCGATGCGGTTCAATCGTTCGTTTAATTTAACCAATATTATTGCATTTTAAAATAACTTTGCTATAATTAATAAATAATTAATAGAACAACATCAACACACTTTACGTTGGTACATTTTTTTGTTGTAACTTTAAATTAAGCTGAATTATTTTGCACGAAATTAATTTTCAATCCGCAGTACTGTACAATGATGATGAAACGCTGCAGTACAGTACTGTACTGTATAGTGTACAGTACACCGTCATGATCGCTAATTGGATAGGCTCGTATTGTTTCTTGCATGTGTAGGACCGCCTACTTATCTGGGGTCACTGGTTCCTACAGTATTTTTATTGTACTGTACTGTAATAAGTGTTCCGTAATTCACTACAGTACATACAGTACAGCACTGTACTGTACCGTACAGTACCTCCGAGTTGGGTACAGTGTACAGTACTGTACCCAACTACAGTATACTGTATTGTAGGGGTCATCAGTCATTTCTACAGTACGGTCCGACAGTATCCCCAGTATTTACCAACATTCTGTACGCTTTAATTCGCCGTCGAGATTGATAGGAGCTGTTTTAGATTCGACCTAGCCTAAAATTGAGGTTTAACAACACGTGCAAAACCGGTTAAAGCTCAAATATTACAGTGAAAGGCTCGACTAAACCATCAGTACTCATAGTCTGTCGTTACTATTGGTTAAAATTGCCTTCAAAGTCACTTACTACGCGTATTTTTAATAGGCAATTAAAATTACGTTGTTATATGTGCTGTTTTAAATAGAATAGAATACAGTATTACGTCAAGAGGATAGCTGGTGACACTTTCATTTTAAACTATCAATGGCAGCGATACTTGACAACTTGATATTGAGCAACTTTACAATTAGCATTGCCATCGGGGTATTTATTTTAATCCCGGTTGTATTTTTCCTTTTACTTCGTCGTGGCAGTAGTCAAGACGTGTTTAGCGCGAATCTTCCGTACCCTAGCGAATACCGCCATGTTCCGAAAGAGATTAAAGACAAGGTTCGTATCGAAACACTTGTTTATCTATCGCTATGGCAGTGGTTAGGCGTGTGGTGGATTAAGCTTGTCATGTTATCTACATATTATACTGTTACTATTTTAGAAATTATAAAGTGTATTTGTTCGGATCAGTAAAAGAAGTAGAGAAAAAATTGTAATATACTTACAGTACATTACTACGGTGAATTATAAGTATCAAAAAGTTTGTGTTTACGTCTGCGTTTAACGATAAATTTCATATACTCGTACAGTACTGTGGTCGTTTGTCAATGATGTGTAATGGTATTGCCGTGAAACAAATATAAATTATTATACATTACTGTATAGTTAACTTATTCACTTGTTTGTGATAGTCTTAGTACTCGATACAGGTACATGGAAGTTGTATATACACGTACTGCATATATTAAGATGTATTTTTATTCTCTGAATTTCGATAATTATATATTTTATAGCTTATAAAGAATGGTTTCGCTTTGAAGAAAGTACCCGAAAATTTAGATGCAATTGTTATTGGTAGTGGTGTTGGTGGTTTATCTGTTGCAGCAACTTTAGCTCGAGCTGGGAAGAAAGTCTTAGTATTAGAGCAACACGATCAAGCTGGCGGTTGTTGTCACACTTTCTACGAAAAAGGTTACTTCCTTGAGCTTGTAATTTTTACAGTTCTACGATTTACATAAAATTTAGTGCTATATATTGATTTAATAATTATAATTATTTATTGCTGATGCATTTTATAACTAGGGTATGAATTCGATACCGGTATTCATTACATTGGTCAAATGCATTCCAATAAGAGCTTAAGCAAGTTCTATTTGGATCAGTGTAGCGATGGTCAAATCGGTTGGTGTCCAATGGATCAAGCATTCGATATCGCATCTTTTGGTAAACCGGAAGAGAGCCGAAAGTATCGAATTTTGTCAGATGTAGAGTCTTACAAGAAACAGCTCTCAGAGTATTTTCCCGAGGAGAAAGATGCTATTGAGAAATATGTACAGCTCGTAAAGGTAGCAATTATATGTGTTGAATCGGGCGGTTACAATGATAAAAATGACAAACATTAACGAAATATTTCTAATTATAATTCAACTGAAGTGGTTTTTTGTATGATTACTGCAAAAGTAGTAGAAATTTTATCGATGAAATTTACAAACGCTGTAACATTTTATCGCTTACTGTCTTTTGTTATGATTATAGGAAACAAGCAGAAATAGTGCTGGTATGTTTATAGTTAAATTACTTCCAAAATGGGTAATATCAGGTCTCTCAGCGACTGGATTGTTGGGCGTAATTACAAAATTTTTTAAGTCTTCGAATCGGAGCACTTTGGAAGTTGTATCAGGATTGACTAAGAACAAAGACCTACAAGCCGTCTTCAGTTATATTTATGGCGATTATGGTAAGATAACAATATTAATCCTTGACAGCTTTCAAATCTATGATAGTGATAGTTATTAAACTGCATAATAGTGGTACTAGAGTAGGAGATTCTTGCTAATAAGTATCAGATATAAAGTAACAATTTTTACAATTGCAGTCAGTTTTTAGACATGGTATTGTTAGAAGTTACTGGTAGTTACATTAGATTAAATGATTCTTTTACATCATCAGGTACTGCGCCTAAAAATTCGAGTTTTGCAATACATGGCCTGTTAGTTAATCACTATATGAAGGGAGCGTTTTATCCACTTGGAGGTCCTGCGGAGATAACATATCATATGGTTTCGTTCATTAATAAAAGTCATGGTAAAGTCCTAGTCAGAGCGAAAGTATCAGAAATCTTGCTCGATGATAACCAGAAAGCTGTTGGCGTTCGTGTCGTTAAAGGAGGAGAAAGTCATTGTATATATGCACCTTGCATTGTATCGGGTGAGATAAAGTTTTATATGTTTTAGTTTTTGCTACTGTACTGTACATGTTTTACCAAGTTTGTTTCGATGTTAAATAATTGCAGATGCTGGTGTCTACAATACTTTCGAGAAGCTTTTACCCCAATCTATAACAGATAGATCTAGAGAAAAATTTGGGCATCTACATTATGCGAAGCATGGCGTCAGCTACATGTCGGTATTTGTAGGATTAAAGGGAGACAGTAAGACGCTTAATTTACCAAATAGTAACTTATGGGCGTATGATAGCAATAATCTTAGCGAAGATATGGAAGAGTATTTATCAATGAGTGCTGCTGAGGCTGCAAGCAATGTTCCTATGATGTTCGTCTCTTTTCCTTCCGCAAAAGATACTTCATGGCAAGAGCGTTTTCCCAATAAGTCAGCCTGTGTAATTGTGACTCTAGCTAATTACGAGTGGTTCGAACAATGGGAACAGGAAAGGGTTATGCATCGTGGTGAAGATTACGATTCCTTGAAAGAAGAATTCGGTAGAAATATTTGGGACAAGGTTATTTCATTAAAACAATTGTGCAGCAATTAATGATTAATAGCTATAGTCAAAATTAAAATATTTTATAGTGTAATCGATATATTTATTCTAATGATGTATTCTTTTTCGGTTGTTATAGGCATGCAGATTTTTTCCACAACTTCGCGATTGTGTTGACTACTTTGATATCAGCTCGCCGCTTACACATAAGTATTACTTAAATGCTGATAGAGGCGACTGTTATGGCATTGATCACGACATTAGTCGCTTTACTTTGGAGAGCACAACGTCATTAAGATCTAAAACTGACATACCTGGGCTTTATTTAACCGGACAAGATATTTTCATCGATGGTTTTACTGGTGCACTAATGAGCGGATTAGGATGTTCTTGCTCGATATTAGGGAGAAATTTGGTTAGTGAATTAACAAAGAAAATGAAAGCTTAGAAATTATCGTGATCCTAGCTTTTGGGCAGAGAATGTTACCTTTCATGTTTATGAATCATGCTATAAAGTGTATCTGGATAGTGTCTGAGTTAGTACTTTAGTTTTTATTTGCAAGCTCCTTCATACATATACGCGTAATTTCTTGCCTTTATGAATGGTGCAGTAAAACGATTGCAGCAAAGTGGAATACTGTAGATTTATGGATTGTGAATTAAATTTTAGATATGAATAGAAGATTTGAATGTTGCATACTGAACCTATTGTTAATTTATATCTTCAGAAGTCAACGAAATATGTATTTCAATATTAATTATAGAATTTAGAATTTACAAATATCATATAGTTTTATAGTCAATCCCTTGCGTTAAAATTTTTATTGTAGCTTCTGCATGATCAGTCTTAATAAATAGTTATCTTTATTGCATCGAATAATATATTTAATCCCTTTGGAATTGGATCAGCATGTCATTAATTTATATTTAAAGTTGAAGTTGTTGCTTCAACAGTAGCTATAGTAAATAAATATTTACAATAAATTAACAATTTTAATTAGGCTTACAAATACTCTTTATACTGGACTGCACAGTCTTTATTAGTGCGTCTATATACAGAAATTGTTAACGATTAGAGTATTTGGTATTGCAAATTAATGTAATACAAATGTTAATTTATGTTCAATATACAGTACTTCATTTTAAGCTGTGCTGATACAGGGAAATTAGGGCTTTAAATCGGTCTTTCACCTAGAAATTAACATGGTCAAAATCATTAGTAACATAAACTATACATTATCGGGACTCGCTACTTACATCAGATTCTGTTCGATTGAGTTTCATTGCAAGAGTGTTAAAAATATCTGGTGAAAAGCCACCTTGACAAGCGCGTAAAATTTCTCGATCGCAATCCCTAAATATGCGTAACAAAGTAGCAGAGGATTTACGAGAGTGCTATAATGTGCATAAGGATGAGAATATTTGAATTAACAGTATTTCGTAAAGGTACGTACTTTGTCCACATGACCACTATGTCTCCATTAGAGGTTGTAGTATGATTTTGGGCATGTAGTTTTTCATTAATAAGATTTTCTTCATCAGTTTCATCCGTATTGTTTTCTGGTTGGGAGGTATTTTGTTCATCAGAACTAATCGAATTTTCGCGCTGTACACATTCATTACCGTTAGATTTACTGGCTTTAAGATTCTTAGTTGCGGTATTATTTCCATCATCATGATTATGAACTTCTTGAGATGAATTACAAATTTTATCAGCGTTGAGAAAACTGTTGCGCTCATCAGTAGTGGATTTTTCGGTGACCGTAATTTCAAGTGGATGATTATTAGTAATTTTTGTTGATGGAGATGTCGCAGCTGATTTTGATGATTTATTGCAGAAACAGTCATCATTTGTACTCTTTAATTCTATAGTTATATTTTTTATAGAGTTATAATTGCCAGTAGAGGCATACGACTGTTTTTTTCTTTCTATATTCTGACGGTGGCAATTGCACTTGCATTGTTTGAATTTAGGTTTTACCCCATTTTTTTCCATAATTCTATGGTTACACTGATTACAAATAGTTTGATTTTTATTTACACCTTCTCGGCCATCCGTCAAGTCTACTTCTTCGAAATAATCCTTTATTTAAAAAAAGTTGAAAAGTCAAATTAGTGAAAGCGCCCTGTTATCAATAAGAATGTAAATAACTTGGTACTACCATCAAGGAGTAAGCCAAAGTTAAGGCAATATTTAATTTTCTATTTTATAACTAATAACCTCCTCGTCCTTTAACGTATCTAGTATTTCTGTCTCTTCAAAATCGCTGTAATTGTTGGCTGGAGGGAATGTATCTTTGAAAAATCTGTTAAATTCATCTATCAAGTACTTTTGACCTTTCAACATATTAATTATTGATTGATGTAGCTAGAAGTGGTTCACAAAGTTGTAAAAAATGTTATTATCGTCTAACTAATTCGTGTGAGTTTAAGTGTTATTCTACATAATAATAAGGAGGTATCCGATTAAGGTCACCTTAGATGGATTTTGATCACTTTGTAACCAAGTTGAGAAACACTTTATAATTTTTTGAAAGTGGACGGGGTTCTTTTCGAAGTGTATCTAAAATAAGATACATAAGATACCATGTATGTGTATTTTTATTATGGATTATGCGATATACAAATTCAGATATTTTGTTTCTAGAAAATAGACGCTGATTTCTGGGCTTTGAAGTAAATTAATAGCTACTTAGCGCCATACCTCCACTTTTCTAAGAAAGTTTCGCGCCATGCTAAAGTCTAGATTTTCCATAAACTTTACAAGCATGTAAAAAAGAGTAAAATAGTTATCATGGATTAAATGTTGGTTTAATATTATTATACTTAGAAGCTAACCATGCCGACAGCCTTTGCATCTTGTGGTTCTAGGAAACCAATAAAATCTTGTAAAAGTTCCGGGTACTTATGCAACAGGGATTGCACTTCATCATATAACTATTAAAAATTATTGTTAAAAATGATTTTAAAAAAATACATTTGAATTTTACGTACGGCATTCCTTACCTCTTTAGGCGATAAATTTCTGCTAGTAAATCCTGTAAGCGTTTCCAAGAACTGTAGGTATAAATCCTTATCGTTTTGTAAGGTAGCCTGCACATTGTACAAGTTATAAAGCAAGTTTATCAATGTATTAATAGCTACATTAAAAAAGTACTATTATGCTACATACCTTGACTTTAGTCAAGTAAGCTGAAGCAAAGCTGTCCGTACGTTGTTTTCGCTAGAAAGATTGAAGCAATCAGATACTACTTGAAAAAACAGTTTGTTACACAGTAACACTAAGTTACCAGTGGATCAGGTTGCAATTGAATTACACCGGTTAAGTTGGATACTCTTCGATTACCATTCCCAGTGGTACTGACACGATAGTGCGATCGTGGCTTAGCAGTACCTATAGAGACTAAAAATACAGGCGTGTTTACGTTAACTCGGATATATTATCGTTTATTCTTCACTATTCTACTATTTACTTAATGCAGGTCAGATATCGTAAATGTAAAAGGTGTAATATTAGAAGGCACATTCGTATACCAGATAACAAAAGGTTACATGAGATATATAGCAACATACCAAGGTTTAACGCGTTCTCTTGAAAGGTCTGTGTGGCAGGCTTAGCTTGACTGATTAGCAGATTACTATCCTGTATCTGAATTTCTTCCCTAAATGGTTTTCGGAATTAACGTCAGGTAATGATATAATAAGGCTATATCCTGTTACCGCTCATAAATAGTGATCTTTAATTAAGATACGTACGTTTTATTCGATTTCAATGATTGTTGCTTCTTTTCGATGACTGATTGTGTATTATGTTGATCATGTAGAGATTGTGCCTTATCGTTCAATTTTCTTTGATCGTCAGATAGGCAACTGTCAGAAATGGTTCTCTGAGACAAATGATTCTGTTTTGCTAACGAATTTGGTTCAGAACTGTTGCCATTAACCGTGTTGTTGTCTTCATTATCTGAATACAATGGCATCAACCGTCGAATTCTAGTGCACTGCATGTTTAGATTCTTTTGCTATAATATATATCACGATAATATCAAGTATTAATTTTTAAGATAAATATTGCAATTCTTGTTGGCTTCATCACGATATTTATATGAGAAAAAAAATCATAGGCAACGAAATTCGTGTTACAACTCTGCATATTTTTATAAAAATGAACTACGTACCTGATACCATTGTGGTATTAAATTTTTAGTACATGTGGGAACGTCTATTCATTTAATAATGTAGAAAGAATAAATAGCATGTAATAAATTCCTATATAAAAATCTCAAATGTACTTAATAATTACCTGGTAAGGGCAATAATTCCTTTTTCTTGTAGTAGTGCTGTCAAGATCATTTAAAAATATTCAACATAAAACTTCTAAAAATAGTAGTTCTGGAACGACTGCATGATTTGATTAATTTTTAATACCTTAACGATGTTATCAGGCGATCGTCCAGAAGCTAAGTTTTTACACCGTATCCTAATCTATGTTTTTGGGATAGTTTTTAGGTTAACAAAGAGTAAATCATAAGCATTATGTTGTTCTATTTAACGTAGTTACTTGTTTAGCTGTTTTAGTTGGTAGTAGATGTTCATGTATTAAATTCCATTTCTTGTTAAATTTGGACAACCCGATTGCTAGTAGGCTGATAAAATATAAACGATCATTGCAAAAATTAATATTTATTGACAAGTATGGGTATTTAATTGTTATAACAGCTACCTATCTTCTGCTGTAGTAAACTTAACACGAAATTTTTCTTGTTGTTTCATAACTTCATCAGTTGATACTGGGATTGAAAGATGAGACAATTGGAAACTGAAATCTTTATTAAATTATCATATAAGAAATGACGTAAGCTTCACTTACGGAAACCACACTGGGGTATTAGATGAGGATTGAGAGAAAATACGAAGGAAGTATGAATTATTTCTTTGACTTCATTTGGGACCGGTTGCAAAGCTAATAAAAGGTGGCGATGTTAGGATACAAAAAATTCTCTATTATGCATTATAAAACTTACTATCATAATGCTTCTTCTTTTTTCGATTTTCGCCTTTAGAATAATCAAAAAAATTTATTAAAACTTTATTCACTTGTTATATTAGCACTGTCATCTAAATGATTTACCATCATCGGATTGATCACGATCTGCGACTCCATCTATACCTGATGGTTCTAAAGGAATGTTACCGATTCGTACTATTTCATTTGAATATTCGTTATTGAAAATAGATTCGGTAATATTCAACCCATGCTTTTCATGTAGTTCTGTCCAATTACAAGATTGTAAAATTATTTGGAATAAATAGGTAATGAGCAATAAATCATGATTAAGGACGAACCATAGGACTTTCTTTTTCCGTCTTCAAGTTCCAACTTAAAGTTAAAAGCTCTTATTAGAATATATAAACAGATTATTTGATTCCAAATATGATAAACAGGAAACATTACTTACAAGAAGCTTTCGGCAGTCCTTTGCGACAGGAGCTAGACTAACCTCGAATGATGATAATAGATAACTTTGAAGCAATAGCTGAGCATGCTAGTGGATGAAAAAACGTAAGTTAAGCTGCGCTAACAATTACAATTAAAGAATAGGTATCGAACAGACCTGGTTTAGCTGTTGTTGTAGTCTAGATCGTTGCTGAATTGTCAAAGCAGAACGTGTAGTTATAGATTCTGAAGATATCGGCGTTGGAATAGCTTCGTCCGAATATTTTATTTCGTGTTCATTCAAATTTCTTGTTTGGACAAAAATTTATTTGTTAGTGCCGTTATAATTAACAATACGTCTATGTTTAGCACGAGAACAGGGAATAACTATAGACTACTAGTTGCATAAAGATAGTATGGAGATGTAGATTAATTAAATTCTGTCGAATTGCAAATTAAAAACGAACTTACGTCGTGATTGGTTCAGTTTCACTATTGTTATTGACCAGGCTGACATCAGGTACATTAGAAATTTCATACTAAAAAAAAAACAATTACAAATAAATCGAGCATATCGAAATTTACTGTTACGATATCAATTGACTTACCAATTCTTCTAAGTTGTCAAAAAGTTCAGCAATTTCTCGTTCTACAATGTATGTTCAGATTCTTTAAAATTATATTCTTTCCGTTGTTAGATAAAATTTTTGAAAGGGAATATAGTATACTAGTGATACAATCAGACTTACGAGAAATTCGAACAGCCTTATCGTTGCGAAATTCCTCTATTTCCTCTGGCTCTTGTTCTGTAAGGAAATTATACTCAACATCATCCAGTTCATTGTCATCCATGAGGTAATCATCTAAGAAATGGGTGATAAAAAATATAACGTTATAACAATTAACTATTTAAAATGTGTCGTATTTTCAGACTATCACCGTTCGTTAATATTAGCCCGTAGTACGCAAGTATAGTGTCCTAATGCTTCTGAAATATGAGATTACCGTTATGGTAAACTGCTCCTTTCAGCCATTCCCTCCAATAAGTGTCATCTTCATCAGATTCATCCTTTATTCGGGAGCTGTAAACAACAGGCAATTCCGGCGTAGTATCGGGTGTGTCAGTGCTAGCTAATAAATGATGAAAGTTATGGAAAGGTGTACTATAACATAACGAGTATACTGTATCAAGCAATTTTGCCGTAATCTCTTACCATCCAATTCCTCTAAGCTAAGATCGTCTAATGGACATTGCGATCTAGTTCTTTTAGCGATTGTATCTTCATTACAATTATCGTTATCACTTAAACTTCTGAATGAATTGTTTTCATCATTTAAATATTTCGGACATTCTTTTTCAGCTCGTAGCTGTTTCGTAACACGTTCATGTTCTCGAACTAGAGCGGCTAGAGAGAGTGACATGTCATCATTTCCATCATAATTTTCCATACTCGTGAGATTGGAATTTGAATTGATATCTTCATTTTCCATGATAGTGCTATCATCTCCCATCCTATGATATAAATTGATCTTTTTGAGTGCGTTGTTTCCATAATTAGTACGATTGCTAATGCGTCCCGTATATATAATAAAATTCTTTAGTAATTTAAGATTAGTAAAATACTGCAATGTTTTTATAACTACAATGTGTTAACTACAGCTTATAATAATGATTTGATACAATATAATTTGATATAATGGCATATTATAGGAATCGCACAATTTCTGCGAGGAATCTTCCATTTCTTCATCACTACTATCGCCACCCTAAACATTAAAAAATGCATAACTTTAGACTTTGATAGTGACCAACAGTACTTTTAAATTGTAATTATCATCAAGAAAAGCGACTAGTAGCATACATAATTTTCATCATCTTCGACTGAGACTCGATCTGGTTTATAATCCTCGTCAGAAGAGCTATCAGGCCATTCATTAAAATCGATCTATACAGGTATACATAATTGCATGAAATAAAACACGATGTGTAGCAGTATTTACCACATTTAAAATTGTAATCATTAAGCTGGTCATAACTTTATCAAAGAATTTAATCATGCACCACATATGTTACATAAGACATGTATCTTACCATCGGTTTCAAAATATCAATTTCTTTCGCCTAGAACATTACATTAATATTATGCCGTTTAGGTAAGTCGATTCTTAAATAAAACTCCATGAATAAAAGTTTTTATGCTGTAAGATTTTAATTATACAATAATATTTACAAAAGATAATTTATTATACGATATTTATAAAAATACAAATCAGACATCGTATACAAGCCCATCATAAAGTTGATCGATATTGACGCAGTAGCCATTGAGAATTTTAAAATTTTAGTCAATAAGCAACTACTTTGAAAGCTTTTAGGAGTATTATAGGGTAATTAGGCTTACAAGCATAACAGCAGCTGGATATTGTTTCAATATTTCCGGTGAAGAGGATCTCCTTAGGTATTCTTTCAATTTTGAGCGGGTTAATTTTGGCTGTAATTAATAAGTCATAAATGCCATTAGATATATTTTACTCGATCCAGAATTAAGACATAAAAAAACTCTTTACTGCAGCAACTTCGTATTGTTTAAGAGCTTACAGATTAGGGTATTTATTCCGTAAATTACATAGAAAAATAGCGTAGATGAGAAATACGAAACATTCTCAACAAGTATCTACGTGAAGAATATAATTTTATTTATTACTATAGAAGAACATTTATTGCCATTATACCTGCCTTACTTTATTTAGCAACAACTAATATTATTTATTAATAATTGTGAAATATAATGTCAAGGTTTACTAGGGTTATCTAGGTGTCTTTCTATTTCTGTTACTTCAACCTAACTTAATAGTAATTAAGTAAAAGAGTTATAAGTCTTTGAACAATGTACCACAACATCTAAACCAATATGAGGTTGTTATAGATCAAAGCTACAAATTGACAGGCAAGTGCAGTTGGCACAGAGTACGGTACCGCTCTAACAAACAAGTACGTGAACAATGATTTGCTGACGGCAATACAATGTGTTAAGGGCTGTACCAACAGCCTGTTTGACCAAAGTAGATCTGCACTTTATTAAAACTTATGCTGCTTATTTATAGTTGCAGAACTGTTCTATAATATCTATTTTGTAGCACACATGTAATGTAAAAGTCAATATCATTTCAACCACAGCAATGATAAGGATTTCAGTACTGTTTACAGTACTATACATTCTTTCTTTAATTGATTTCCTTCGTTGATCATTATTATCGATTGAGTAGCTCATGATGAATAACGGAAGCCCGTTAGCAGCAACACATATCGATACGCACATGTCTATTAAAGAGATTGCGTAATCATACAACATTTTAATCATTGTAGAGCGTATTCCAATAGATTATCAATTTGGTGAAGTGACGGATACGTCATTCTTGATGACTAGAGATTGTTTTGAGAGTGAATATTGTCGAGTGGACTTGTTCAACTAAGTATACTCATATCCACATACGTTATTGCCATACATGCATAAACTTACACATTCTGAAAGAGGCTTTGTAGCATTTGATCCGTTATCAGCGGTTGCTTGTTGGACATATTTCACAACCCTTTCATCAGCAATTACATTCTAAGGGAGGAATATAAATAAGTATTGGCTGACTCATAGTAAAATTTATTACTTTGGTGCACTATACATATACCATATACAGTACTGTAGTAATTTTATCTTATAGGTTGTGTAAGAATTGACTAGTCACTGGTTCTATGGAAGCTATCTATATTAGTTAGCACAATTATTATTTTAAAGTATAAGAGTACAGATTGAATGTTATCAGACGTACACGTATAATACTTTTCACATTCAGGGCAGTCAAGTTACTTCTACTAGCATTGTCTTCAAGGAAATTTTCTAAAGCTTGGTTTATCTGATTATTGAGTTTGTCTAACTGATCTTCAGCATCAATTTGTAAATGATTGACTGGGCTGCCTTCAGGTTGATCTTCTTTTCTCTTTTTCGCTAAGATATCGAATTCGTTGTCGTCTCGTTTCCTTTTAGTTTCCATCCACGATGTCAGTATAGTCAATTTCAGTAATTGATTGAACGGCTTTCCGATCGAAAAGGTATTTGAAATGCAGTTATGTACTACACTGCTCGCTACAGTGTCCAGTACGTTCACTAGGATAACGCAAGTCTTGGTCTTGCTTAACAGTTACATCGTTTAAAGATTAGCGTTGGTTACCGATAATACGGATATTACTTACGCAAGCACCATTTGCCTGATTGCCTTCTTAAATACTTTGGTCGATCTTGAATAAGCGTGATTGTTGTTATTTTGCTTGATAAGTGAATGACTAAACAAACCATGAACATTTGGCGATTGCGTAGGGCAATAAGTAGCAAAAGAGAAAGATACGACGAGATGGTAATATTCTTAAATTGAAATTTAAAGGAAAAGTTTTACCAATAACTGTACTTTCTTCGAATAATATTCTGGTAGAACTGCAAGCTCCCTTGGCAATGACTGACTGCACCTATCTCGGTAGATTTAAACAGTACTATACCAAGGACTGTACTGTACACTGTACTGTACAGTACAGTATTTAATCTTAGAAGTCGCTGACTTCACTTTATCGGGGCTGGTCTGTTCCCATACTGTACTGTACATACTGTACTGTACAGTGTACAGTGCTGTATAGGGCAGTGAATTGCATTTTGGCTACAGTACAGTGTACTGTAGTCAAAATTTAAAGCCCGCGAAATACTGTAAGCTTATTTATAGTATAGTATTTACTAACTATGCGCAAGATGATTCATTTATACAGTATGGCGACTTCGTAACTGTGGCGGTTTCACACCGGTCTGTAGTAAAAATACACTAAATAAGAACTCTAGTAATGACACAAATAAGTATACTAATAAGTCTAATATACGTATTAATATTTCTAGAAAGTCTTTACTGACTGTAAGAATGTACCTAGTTCTACAGCATAGTCGATTCGAAGAAGATTCACTACTAGGTCTTCTTCTACAGCGTAGTAGTCCATGTCTACATTTATTAGTGGCGGTGTCACAGCGGCCTATAGTAAAAATACAGTAAATAAGAATTCTAGTAATGACACAAATAAGTATACTAATATACGTATTAATATTTCTAGAAAGTCTTTACTGACTGTAAGAATGTACCTAGTTCTACAGCATAGTCGATTCGAAGAAGATTCACTACTAGGTCTTCTTCTACAGCGTAGTAGTCCATGTCTACATTGATTAGTGGCGGTATCACAGCGGCCTATAGTAAAAATACAGTAAATAAGAATTCTAGTAATGACACAAATAAGTATACTAATGTACGTATTAATATTTCTAGAAAGTCTTTACTGACTGTAAAAATGTACCTAGTTCTACAGCATAGACGACTCAAAGAAGATTCACTACTAGGTCTTCTTCTACAGCGTAGTAGTCCATGTCTACATTTATTAAAATTACAGTACTACTTGTATACTGTACTATCTCAATATGCAATGCGTAAAACCGTAAATCGTTGTAAGCGCTCTTTTTTTAGTTTCGAAAATTGATACTGTTAGTACAGATATCTCAAGTTTCAAAAACATTGCAGGAAGACTCTAGACTGACTCTGGTTTACAACACTCGATAACGTAATTGATTTATGATCATTGTAAAATGGCCAACTAAACTGTGTAGCTACCTTGTTTTCTTAAAATATTCGCAATAAATTTAAAACGATTCACCTCATTAACGCTAGACAAGCTTTTACTGTAATTTGAGTCGAAGCTCTTGAGTTGGCTGCGTGTCGAGTTGGGTGGCTGGAGCAGCTATCGATTCGAGCTCAAGATTCAAGGGGCAGCCTCGACCAGCGTTCAGCCTAGAGTTGAACTTATTAATCGAGTCGGGCTAGGCCGATAGCTACATTCTGATCATGGCTGTAAAATGTCTAGTACGTAGTCCATGTTCTGACTCTGTTGATTGATTTACTACCTGTCTTTATCTCTTTACATTTACTATTGCACAAATGAATAATAGGCTAGCTCACAGCGAAACTGGCAATCAAGACTAGTAGTTATATAGGCAAAATGTGAAGTAAAGGTATATAAGTAAACGTAGCCACTGTCAGTGATACTCTGTTGTATTCGCACACATGTAGGATTGTAGGTGTAACAAGCATTCAACATGGACTACGAGAAAAAAATAATATTTTTCTAGTAGTCTATGCATTCAATAAATACATATAGTTTACGGGTTTTGTGTAAATTTGTTAAATGGTTAATTGATCGATATCATCTCATTTTCTCTCTGTAAATGGAAACGTAACATTTAATGATTGGATCGAGCCTACAATCGTGTTTACAATAGACCGAATTGGTGCAGTCATGAATAATGATTACTGACATAACAGCCCTTTCTGTTATAGTGTTTACTACACATAGAAAATATTAAAATACTTCATTTTTTTTGTTTAGTAACTGTCAAAAAGTATAAATAAATTAATTCATGGGTACCGAGTTACAAAGCATTGCATCATAATGCAATATATAATATCCGATCACGTCATTTCAACCCATAAAAAGCACATCATACTTATACGTGTACACGAGTTCATTTTTAAACTAATAGTCTACGTCGACATCATATAATGTACCGTACCACTAAGACGATAGTCCGTTATGGTGTTTATTAGTAACTAACCAAAGGCATTTGCTGGATGAATACAGTATATATTAATGATGTCATGCACAATTCTATCATGTTTTTATTCTCAACTTCACTGCATTATAGTTAGTCATCATTAAACAGTTCATTACGATTTGAAGGTACTACAATTTAGACTACTCTTATATTTGTACACAAGACATTGCAGAAAAACGTTTTACCTTTGCACACTGTTAATTAAATAATTAAATTAATTCTTTACTGATCGTGCGCAACCTACATTACATTGAATCAAATAAACTGCAATTCAATACTACCATGGTTTCGTTTTTTTGGTGTACAGTTATCGCATTGATAATATTTTGGTTTTATGTCAAATTTATTGTGCCATTACGATATTTTAAACGTCTGGGTATACCTGGGCCATCTCCTATCCCAATCATTGGCACTTTAGCAGCTGATACCAAAGATGGAAAAGGCAATCATGAAGTGCAGCAGATTCACTTGGAGAAGTATGGCAGAGTTTATGGATTTTTCGTTGGATCGATGCCAGCTTACGTTGTAGGTGATTTAGATATTATTAAGAATATACTGATTAAAGAGTTTCCTGCATTCTCCAATCGTGCTATGTTCTTTAAAACTCCTGGGTTAGAGAAAAGTCTTGCTAATTTACGTGATACTGATTGGAAACGCATTAGAACTGTATTGAATCCTACATATACAACGTCCAAAATGAAACAGATGTTTCCTTTAGTAAATGATTCCGTCGATACTTTCATAAGAAAAATGGAAAGGGTAGCTGATAAGAATCAATCAATCGATGTATCGGATTGGTTGAAACAACTTAGCTTAGAAATTATAACTGCTAGTGCTTTTGGTGCAAAGTGTAACGTTCAAAATGGTGGACATGATCGTTTAATAAATAGTGCAACGGCAATTTTCAAAATGAATCCTACTGTCATCGCGTTGTCATTCATGATGCCTAGATTAGCTCCATTATTTGCTGCTTTCGATAAATCATTTATGAATGGTGTCAAGTACATTGATAAAGCGGTTGCTAGTATTATCAAGATGCGACGTCAGGAAGGTGCTACCGGAGCAAATTATAAAGATCTATTGCAGCTGATGATAGATGCTAGCGCTGCTGCTGAAAGTAACAAGAGCCTGACAGATAACGAAATTATTGCCCAATCGAGTACAATCATGCTGGCTGGTTACGAAACTACAAGTAGCTGTGCTACTTTTACGGCTTATTTGTTAGCTAACAATAGCGAGGTTCAAGATAAATTAATTCACGAGATAGCAAAAGTTTGTGGTAAGCAAGAAGTTACGTATGACATGCTCGGCCAAATGACCTATTTAAATAAGGTTATTCATGAATCGCTACGTATGTATCCTCCCGGTTACATACTGTTACGCGAAGCAACAACTACTTTTCAGTGTAATGGCTACACTTTTCCTAAGGGCATTCCCATATTCATTCCTGCTTATGCTCTTCATCATGATAATGATATCTGGCCAGAGCCGTATCGGTTTAATCCAGAAAGGTTTAACAAAGACCTCGTTGAAGCTCGTCATCCTTGTGCATACATGCCTTTCGGTTTAGGCCCACGCAATTGTATTGGTATGCGTTTTGCAATGCTACAAGTTAAGCTATTATTGATCAAAATTTACGCCGTTTTAAATTTGCAACATGTACAGAGACAGAAATCCCAATTCAAGTTACAGCAGCAACCACGCTAGCACCCAAGAATTCTGTTTATCTTCGAGTTATGTCTCATACCTCTTAATGACTACTTCATCAATCAATCGTTCAATATTTTACGTCATAGTGTTTTAAATTCACACAGAGTTTAGATAGATTCACTTACAAATTCCATTGATCCAAATTATTTAGACAGTAAAATATGCATATACTCGTACTATAAAGTTTTACATGGCTACTTTTCATATATCCTGAATTAATCACTTTTTTGTCGTGATAGAATTACTGCAGTGTTATATTCTGTTTCGCTAGTCTTATTAAATATAGCTGGAAGCACCTTTTCAATATTAGCTTTGTAAAATATTAATTGATTTGATGTATCAATAAGTACTATATAGGATGAAATATGGCTCTAAGTTTCATCTCTAAAGCCTGGAATCAAATACTTAATGTTATAGGGATTGAAGTCGACACTTGAACGTTTACTATAGCTATAGTATACGAGCGATTCTCTTCAATGATACAGTTTTGTTCTGTTAAAATGATGTCGTAACAAATAATGTTGTGCAATAGTGAATTTGAGATTCCTTCAAATTGGATTCAATTATAACAGAAATTTACGTTTTTCTCACATACAATATATTTAAACGTTGCACCATAGCATTCATGTATTACTAATCTTTATATGTTATACGTAAGAAGTAAACTAGTAAAAATCTTTAATTGACACTATGCTACTCAAGAGGCTTTATCACATATCCTAGTTATGCGTATATATTTAAATTTTAGTAGACAGCTTAAAAATACCTTACTACTAGAGTAAAGTCGGATGTTTATAATGACTTTGCAATAATTTTTGCGTATTTGAAAATATTCGAAACGAGTACGATGGTGTTTATATTTGTAACAGCTTTTATACAAATTAACACATTTTTTTATCCACTGTATTACTGACGGTAAATATATTTTATGCATTTAAAGATAGGATTATATGTCTACCTTTTATCTTTACAATATACTATCAATAACTCGTTACAAATTCATCGAATTATGTTCACTGATTAACAGTACATACGAGCGTACAGTACAGTAATAAGGTTCGTGTTATATCAGCTTGCATACCATTTTAATGGAACACTGTAAGTCTCTTTGTCCATTTATTCTCTTATTCTGTCCATATGCACGATGTTAAATCATGAACAAATAAAAGACTATACTTGTGAGTTTAAGAAGATATCATGAGCAATAACGTTTAGTAAACTATGACGGACTAGTATTGCAGAGCCATTTATTAAATGTCTAATATTTCAGCTAGTAAGAGTCTAAGAGATTACTATCATAACAATACAGGAGGCTATTATATTTCTCATCGTTACAGATCTTGCGGTTGAGTAATCGGAAAGATAACAAAAAATTAAGGCGAATTTTTTGATTCCAAGTCTAACAATTGTAGATAAATGCAATGTTATTATGCTTGCTTCTTATCACGATGGTGTAATATTTACCGGCCGAGACTACAATAAGGTATCTATCAGTTTTTCATGAAACAATATAAATCTAACGTGACCAGCACTTTCAAGTATTATAGGGTAAATATGGTAAATGAAGATACAAAAATAGAAGTAGTTCCGTGATCTCAGATACGCTTACATTGTAGATTTCAATAAGAGAGCTAGTATGTTACATGCAATATCAGGGTCTTAAAAATCTCTGGCGATACGTAACACTGGGTAATTTCACTATTTAGGCAATCATCGTAATATCAATTTCTAAGGCTGCCAAGAGGAAACTAATAAGTTATTTCGTGATTTTTTTAGTATTTTTTTTAAAAACGTGATTGAAAGCCCATTCAATTGCCCAGATGGACAAAGGCCTCATATATCCGGTACAGCGGTAACGATTTATTTTATAGTACGCTTCTGGTGTTTGAAATCCAAGGCCCATTACATTAAATGTGGTATCGTACATCCCTTCAGCGACTTTGAAACCTTCCTTAATCATTCCCTGCGTATATAAAGAGTAAATGTATGCATGTCTTTGATTAATTTCATACATCATATGGTACTATTACGATAATATCACGGGTTTCTAGTTAAGATAGCTACCTGTTGAATAAGATTTGCAGCTAACGCATAAGTAACTCCTGTCCAAACTTCTTCGGATTGCACACTTGAGGTATCGATCTATGAGAATGTTACAGTTATTAATGCGCTTATGAAAAGGATTTATGAAAGACTTTAAAGACGGTACGTTATTTGCTAATACTTGCATCGCAATATCACTTATTAATGACGTGAAGTCGCAATTTTATTTAATACAGTAGCTGATTGGTAACATTTTCTGAATAGCTCCAATTTATGATAAAAAGCAGTGTATTTACTAGGCGTAAGCAGTTAGTAAAAATTATAATTAATTTTAATTATTAATAGTTACTTCGCCGTTAGGTTTCATGCCATTAACGGCTCCCCAAGTTCCATTCATGAACTTCATAACGTTATAGTCGAAAACCTTTCGTAGAGCTTTATCAACTTGACTTTTTGGAAAGATCTAGTTAAAAAAATTTTGATCATGTGGTGTATGATCGTTATAGTAGAGAATTTTATATACCAGCCGCAATATGATATAAGCTATTGGTGTATTCAATAACTATCTTGTGAGTTATTTCAGTTAATTATTCATTAAGAACTTACATCATCTTCATTATTGTTAACTAAACCGCAAGCTTGAAGATACCAATGTCCGCACATTTGATCAGCCATAATGCTATCAGAGTGATTACCTTTACTACTATCGTAAAGGTAGTAGTCCCCTTTACGTTTAAGGAATATTAGAAAAATATATTTAATGTATAATCTCAGCAATGCAAGTTTTAGTTGCAGCCAAGCATACAATTGTATTTAATAAATTCAAAACAGCAGATTACAATTTTTTACCGTTCCATAACTTCTGTTGAAAGGAATCGCGACCACGGAGTAAAATTTTAGAATATTTGGCTTTATCTTCTTTACAACCAATCAAGTCAGCTATTTTATACATGATATATAAAGCAGCCAGAAAGATCCCTCCGCAATACGCGCTAGTGACAAAATAAGCATTCTTTAAGACTAAATTTTTATATTTTTTATACAATAAATATTTATGCGTCGTATACGAGTACGTATTTTAATTATAATGTTAACAGCTATTAAATATGGGAACTAACCTAGCACCATACATTCGCCATACATCGTATGTTTGGTCTGCACCATTATTGTCGATGATACCATCGCCATCTGTATCTTGAGATATTGCGGTTTCCATTACGTGCTATATAGTAAGGGTAAAGTGGTATGAACATATTGGTTATTGAATGGTACAGTTTAAATGATCAATCTGAAACTACCTTTGCACATGGCCACATGTCTTTAAGGAATTCTAAATTTCCAGTAGCACAGTAATCTCTATAAATCTAATCGGTATCAAATAGACAAATAAATCATACGTTAACTATTTTTGAAGAGTGCTATTCCAAAGTATTCCAAAGTACTGCAATGAGCTGATAAAATACTTAATATCTATCGACCTGAAGCACAAATTTGGTATTTAAATCAGTCCAATCTTGCACATCAGATATACAATAAGCGTTAATTCGTTTCCAAGGTTCATCGCCTAGTAGATATTGGAATAAAAATGGAAAAATGCAAGTCAAGTGAAACCACTATCAAGTTTAGGAGGTATGTAGATTTTTTACATGGCTCGCCAATGTCATGAGGAACAAATCCGTATGATTTTCGCGGCTTTCTTAGTCCAGTCCACATAATTAATCTTAATTCGGGGTCTTCATGCATTATTGAGGCAGCTGGTAAGGTGATAAGTTTTATAATTAAAAATAAAAATATTCTAGCGTATATTGCGACAATTAGGTAATTTACTTCGCTAGCCGTTTGATTATATATGTATAATTATTAAAGCACTAACCGAAATCGTACTGTATGCTTAGCTCTATCATAGGCCACAATTGAGCCAGTGCAAATGATGCATAGAAATGTACATCGTAGGTATTATACATAAGATATTCATGTCCTGTAAAAGTGAGGGTTTCTAGAATTACTAAGTAAAGTGTATAGCTCAAATTCACAGATATAATCACATTGCGTAAGTAGTAATTCTCAGTATCATACTTTAGTTATATTCTACCTTCTAGGTAAGCAAAGCGTCCATATTCTTTATGTATTTGCTTCCCTTTGCCTGGTACTTCCTTCAAGCAACTTGCTAAATTGGTTTCATCATCTTCATCTCCGTCCGTTTCTGCCCAAATTGATCCACTGTCACTCATATAATATAATTCATTGAAAATAGCGGATTTATACCAATCTGGATAGGATCTATAGAAATAGAAGAAAGAGTCTTAAGGTATTTTCTAACATATTGCAACACCTTTAGTCTTATGATTAGTGTTATGATTCAATAAAGTGTTAGTGCTAAGATTATAGCTAACTCATTCTCCAGTATAGGAGACTGCCACTGATCGATTTTTTCTTCCCAACTTTTAACGTTTTGTAGAGCGTAAACCGCTAGATCGGCAGCTCTATGGCTGCCATTTGGATTAAAGAAGCGAGTATACCTTCTAGAAGAAGACATTAGCATAACACGGTGATAAGGCTATAAGACAAACACAATCTACAAATATAGCGTAATCTCTGTACCTCCGATACTTGATTTCTTTCGCATCGAAATAAACCTCTGGTTGATCCCATGTTAAAGCAAATTCCATTTTCGCTTTACCTTGCGGTTTAACAATAGCAGTTGTAGCTACAGCAGCTCCAATAATTTCACCCTTTTTTGATACTGGCGATTGCGTTGCTAATTGTAGTAAAACGGTCATAGAAAGTAGAATATTTATAATCTAATTTGCCACAGAGTAAATAGTTACCTTACAATCTTTACATAACAGAAGTTATTTACCTTTCGTATTGGAAGAGTTCTCCAATTTACCATGAGATAATAACTGTCTAGAGATTTCCCTTCCAGATCCTTTCGGATCGAAAGATACCGAATTTGATACAGATACTGCGGGGTAGTCTCCAGTCTACCATCAGATCTTAAATTAATTTACAAAATTTATTTATCCGATAATCTTTATTCGTTTACCTCAGGGCATTCTTTAGCGCATATTGTAAAAGTGCATGGTTGGAGAGAGGCACGATGATGTAAAAGCACTCCAGATATCTTTGAATTATTCATATTTTCATTGCTAGATCTTGTGAATGTTTCATTCTGATGTCCTCCAGCGCTATCGTGTTCGCTTCCATCTCCATTTTGAAAAGTGAACATGATGGATACTTCAATCTCGTCATCACTTTGATTGTCAATTTCCCAAATAAAGCAACCAACTGGTAAGCAACTATCCTATAAAACGTATTGTAATATAATTTGCATAATAAAATAGATTAATAGAATGTGAAAATTGTTAAATTTTATTGAAGGTCCTCGAGTAACGTACTTTATAATTGTGTGGTATGATAGGAGATATTTGACGACAAGTTAAAGTCACATTCTGGCCCGGTAAATTGTATGTTGTCCAAGCTCGTGGATACAAGGCACGATAAGTAGCTTGAGATCCATGGTATCCCCAAAACCAGTCACCCAGTTGAGCTGACGACGGACGGCATGGTGATAAGACTTGCTGTATATAAATATGCATATGTACACATAGCATGAATTGACTGGTAACGAGATGCACACTGTAGCTTTCACAAACAAGTCTACAAAGGTATAGCGTTTGTACATCAAATATTGCATTATAACCTGATAGGAAGGTTCGCCATTTTTACGAATAGATACTGTGAACTGAAATACAAGAGATTATTTTAAGTAGTGCTCCTTAGATGGTCATAACGAATCTACTATACCTAAGCATTATATTATTATACGAAATATTGCAAATTAATATTACTAATATCTGGTAAAATGTTTATAGAATAGAACTTTTATCAGTAAGATAAAAATCGTAGCAGTTACATCAAACTAGTCATGTGATAATTTTTATAGCTGCTATTATGTTTACAAATCTATAGAACGACCAGAAATATCCTTTGGTAATGAAACATCATTGAAGCAACAAATCGTTTATACATGCACTACAATCCATAAACCTAACAACGATAATTATAAATTTGCATTGCATAAAATTATCACTATTAATGTACAGTATAAGAATTTCTTCTTGAAATTTACTGCTTACTTGATCAGCATGTACAATATCATAAGTATACCACCCCGGTCTTAGCTGCCATCTGCAAAATTGCCCATTCCAACCTCGCATGATAGTTCCACATCCAAGGCCGCCAATTGGCACTCCTTAAAGGTTATTAGAAATAATAAGCAAGATCATCTACGAGTAATTAATAAATTACACAGCACACTAGGAACGGCTAAATAAGTACTAGTGCAGAGTAAAATGCAATACTTCAGTTGTTTTAAATACCTACTCATCAATAGCATGCAATTCTATGGAGATATTACTCCGGTATAACTTTACCAGTATACGATATCGGTTTAATATAAAAAGCTCTATCTAGCTAGCCAGTATTGCTTAATTGGTTTAATGATTTTGTCTCAAACAGTTGATCCATTCTTTCACATGATGCATTTACAAGATAGTTGTAGAAATGCATAATTGAATTTAAGATGTAAACGATGTTCTGCACAGCAATGATAAGATTGTATCCTCATACTGTACAGTAGTTTTAGTTTGGTTTCTGTCAGTAAGTGATATCCATACCATACTGTTTACACTCTAATCTAGACTAATAGTGAAACTCTACAGCAGCAGGTGTAAACATATCTTAAGGTATGATTGTACATATATACAAAACTAGTTGTTTAAGTTACCAAGTTTATATCAAGATAATCTAGCTGTGAACTTTCTTTTAATTTATTGCTTTGTGATGAATTGCTAATTGGTGTCAGCCTTTAAGGATTTTATGATTGCATCTCATGTACATACGTACCGTATAAACGATCGACTTGGCGTTTCCCAAATAAGTCGATGAAGGGCTCACGAGAGTGAAATCGGTTATGTAAAATGTACATACCATACCTTTTTCCGAGTAAAGAAAATTAGCAGACAGCTTAGATTTTAGTTTAGACCGAATTATGGTACTCTACGCAATAAGATTGGGGTTCATTCTAATGCAATTGATTGCGAGACAAGCTTTTCTTATTTAGTCGATAATTATAAATAATATGCTATCGAATAGAGAAACTGCAGATAGAAACTAGCTGTTTGGGTCAGAAATATTTATATGGTAATGGCTAGCTCTAATAATTATAATAGCTTATTTTCGATACGCTGTTGAATAATATTATGAATCAGGGTTTAGCGTCTAACTATACAAAAGTTTTGTTTTATTTTCAAGTAATTAGTATGATCCGATATGCTAACTTAATGCGCGCGCACATTAAAATATTCTTCTTTCTAGGATGTCTACTTGTCTCAAGTTAAATCGATATTTGTAACGCAAAAATGATAATGTATTTAAATTACACGCGCTAGGCCGAAGTACAGTACTGCCATTTAGAGCAACAATGTAGATAGATAATTTTATTATTTATTCTTATCTATTATTAATACTGTAAAGACAACGCTCTCGGTAATATTCGCTAATACGTACAATACATGGCATATTTACTCGTATATGTAAGTTCGATCAGAATTTAACGAATAATTCGTAGCACAGTCATAATCAATTAATTAATATTATAAAGAAATACATGGGGTATATCAATCGATGCTGGCTAAGCAAATAATTGTAATTAATTTTACATTCGAACGGTATGGTTATTGATTTTACTATCGCTACCTGAGACCCATTTTGAGGCTTACTAATACTTGTTTCGGTCGGACATCACCGAACCGGAAAGCGTCTTGCTTAAATTTATGATCTAAGTTGACTTTCCAGCCATAATGGCCAGCCATTGTCCTCGGTCTTTTCGTCATTTTTCTGCATTAACTAATCTGCGTATAAACATAGGAATAATATTGTTATCATTTTATCGGTATACAGTACCTTAAGTCAGTATACAATTAATTCATTATAATAATTGCATTAACGATAGGCATGTAATAATTTAATTAGGACTTTATTATGATTCCTTTTCAGATATAGGATTCAAATCTCTTTCGGATAAGTATAGTATTTATGCAGTGATGGATAAGGATACAGCACTGTTTACAAATTGGTAAAAGTATATCTTTTATGAAGATACTGGATGAGAATTTCAAGGTAGCATTACAGTGCTACATAGCCCATTCTATTTCGTCCAAGACCTGTTGTACGGGTGTATGAGCTCGTAGTTTCATACTCGTGCAGCAATGTGATTTACGAGTATATAGTACAGTCAGTATACCATTACTTTTAAGCACAAAGTACCTTTTGCAAAGTATGCATGTAGCTTCTATGCCATACTACTGTGTACAGACAGTTTACAGCTTTTCTATAATTAATTACAATTAATAACATTCATGCAGGATTTTAAAGAGTGGCGGAAGCTATACGCGTCGACAGACTGATTTGTAAATTCGGTCGCAGAATAATTTCGTATATTACTGTACGATTGAAATATTAGCTGTTTCTAAGCTATTTTATTACATTCATACGTAATAAGAATGCTGTATCTTTATTATTAACAGTAAATTGAATCAAGATAGTAGAAATAAGGACTCATTCGACAATACCATGCAGTCTATAGGACAGTAGAACAGGTTCATCTATAGCTTTGTATCTTTTGTATCAATTACAACTACAACAATGCAAATGGGATACGGTTCTAGCTGTTAGTCTGTTACGACATTAGTAGATCATGAACAGTACTGCATAGACAGCATAGGGTACGGTATTCTATTGGTGCATTTTATAATTTAGTTATCAAATAGCATAAATATGTACTAGTCATCCTTAAATATACGAACATAATTTTCAGCAACCAGCCCAAAGATGGTCCTAGTTTCTGATTTCCGATGGATCGAATAATGCAAGTCCTATGGGGCGGAGTACAGTAGTATTATACTGTACTGTACTGTACAGTACAGTACACTGATCAAGGCTACTTTCGACAGATTGTCTTCTACTGACCATGGCAGTACTGTATGAGGGAAATAGCGGGCCTACAGTGCATAGTACTGTACAGTTAGTCGGTCTATTGGGCAAACCTACAGTACTTACACAGACTAGACTCAGGGTCTCTTACACAGTGACAGTGCTTTCCTAGTCAAAGTCTTTGAAAGACTGCATTTCTAAAACTAAAAGTTGGTCAATCACTACGGTATAAATCAGACATTGAGAAGGTTTTGCTGCGCGGATCCGTGGATTTTTGCTCGTTGTCAAGGTTAAAGAATTCCATTTTATTTGGGATTTTGCTTACTAGTAAAGAAGACAAAAACTCTGGGTCCAGTGATCGTCTAGCTATTTTTCCATTCTCATTAGACTTTTACTGTACTGTATACAGTATTATTAATGAAGGTTTCCAGACGTATTTCTGATACTATTTTACCATTACTGACTCGTTCTACTAGTGTAGTAGCCAAATACTGAAATAGTACAGCATTCGCTTGAGTGATTGATTCGTAAGGAGTGAGCAATCAGTGAACAAACACTAATTATATAGTATATACGTAACATATACCGTAGATATACATTATATAGTATACTGTGCTGTATACTGGTGATTATCATATTATCTGTAAAATCGCTTTAATATTACTGCCGGTGAAGTACATACAGGCTACGTTGTTGTACCTTAATGCTACAAACTGTAAACTCTTTCACTGTAGCGTGGTATAGCATCAGTTTTGAAAAAATTAATTCAATTTAATTTACAGGGATCTTGGGATCTCTGAATTTTTTTGACTGGATTGATTCCTTTTTCTCGGTATGGAAGACTTGGTAAAGCGGTATTACAGCATACTTAAACTTGGCTTAGTTTTGCTACTGTAGAAAATGTCTCCTGTGGTTGATTTACGTCGTCTTCCCTGAAACGAGATGATCGAAGTCAAAGCGTCTCTGATCGGTCGAAACGTGTATGTAGCTGGAGAGCAGTTGCATTGCATTATAACCTTGACAAATGTGGCTCAATCGGACAATGTTAAAAGTACTATCAACTTGTTCAATAACGATAATAAGGATGATACTGGAGTTGAAAGATTAGCTTGGTCAACTGCTCAAATTCATTGTCAGTGTGTTGTTAATGAATCTCGGATTAATGTACCCCAAGAATACAAAAATACTCAGCGTAATTCAGATCAAGCAGTAGATATTGGTACTTACTTTGCACCAAACCGAGGTAAATTTTTTGATCTACTTGACTAAAACGTACGTACGCGTATATTTGTATGTTACATTGTAGTTCAGCTTGCATTGCTTAAGTAGTTGATATTGCATTGCAAGGATCAAGGTTGCGTGTTGTACTGTGATACTCCCTTTAAAATAGTGCGTAAGTTTGGGATGAAGGGACTTTTTGTTTACGGCTTTATGCACATTTACCGTACACAGGAAATAGGATTGCCTTTTACGTAGAAAATAGTAATTATAGCAATTGAAACGTTATTTTTAAACTACTAAGTGAGGTAATCGCCCTAATGCTCTCTATATTAATTAAAGAGCGTGAGTGTAAAATATAGTGGTATTGCACTGTACTATACTACTTACTCAAAGAAGAAGCAATAACTACACTGTGCGGTAAGCTTTATTGTGGACTAGTCTACATTTGTTAATCAAGGTGTAGCACAATATTGGATATTGGTTCTACAGTATAGACGTAAATTGTAAGACATTTACAAACGCTCTTAATGTCATTAATACTGTATGACTGAATAAGGCACGGTGACTTTACTTAACAGCTGCTGATTTATGAGGTGGTGAATTCATTATTGTACGATAACTATCTTCAAACGAATACTGTACATCTAGTTATTTGAAGCCATACGTATACATTTTTATCAGCATACCTATGAATGCTGTATATTCTACACTGTTTCATATACACCGATTCACCGCTAATTGTTTCATTAGTACGTAAAAACGAAGCCTAAAGCCGTATTTATTAATAGATGCTGTTCCTGTTGCAGTATTTTACAATGACATTTTCAGCATGAGACCTGAATGATTGTACAGTACAGTATGAATTACCGTATGGCATTGTTCAGGCTTTCGTCCCTCGCATTTTTTAGCAATCCCTGTTTGTCTTCATTTATACTATGCAATAATAATAAATAAATCTTAGGTAGAGAGCACAGATTCTTATAAGATATCTTAAGACACCATACTATTACTTCAACAGCTATTTGATTCATTTAACTATGAAGCACTTGTTTAGTCTGCACTAAATGAGGACTACTTTTATTTTTACTATGCCCACCATGCATTGTACTATTTACATACTGTACATTTGAGTAGGTGTTACATCTTACTTTTGCTACTTCATACAGTACGATAACTTTGCTGTGAATTATATAATTGATCGAATCATCGATTTAACCAAATATAATTGCGTTACTTATACCGTTTCTACGAACTTTTGTAATAGTTTTTTGACAGATACGGTACAATAATAATGATGATGTTCCCCTATCTAATGCTTGATTTTATTAATTTATTAATTCCAATACCAAAGGCTCATCCATATGGAAGTTGTTATTGCCTAAAGGTATTGTTTGAACTGCAACACTATGACTAGTGCAACAGTAACATTACAATGTAGCTTGCTTTCACCGCAACAAAAGCGATGAAGAGGAACGCAGATTATGCCTGATCCATCATACATTAATTTAACTACGTAATTTTCTATCTCTGTATCGCATGCCACTTGCTATAAGTAGTAGTATACTATAATAGTAAAGCATAATAATTTACGCTGAACACTGCAAATTCAATTTGCTCTATTCTTAGCTGTTTCATTACAGATTTTCATGCGCTATTTTCAAGTAAGTTTACTATTGGCTGACTTTCTTTATAACTATATACTATACTAATATTGTAGTGAAAACGTGATAAATCTGAAGTATGATAACAGTACGGTAGATATTACGTTTAGTAACTATAAGAAACGAGTTAGCAGATGAATATTTATTCCTGAAGTATTTCGCTTCCTTCATTCACAAGAACGCCTATATTACAGCTCTAGCTTGGCTTCCGCTAGCTATTACTCCTTAATTAAATATAGCTTTCAGTATTCCATTCATGGAATTCTTTGGCTTACAGTAATTAAACGCTTCCAGTGGTTGTGTGCGTGTGCTGCATAAGCTGTCATATTTCGAATTTCGTTAAAGTGTAATTCGATTGTACAGTGTTATATTCATGGTGTGCATACCTAAACAGTAGCTGACTAATTTCTGTAGGTGATGCTGGCCATTCTGCTTACTTAAGTAAACCACAGGTGTTATGTTGTGACTTGATCCTGGGACCAGGTGTTTCAAAAACATGTAAGTAGCAAGTGACTATTTCATTTAACCAATAGTAATACTTGATATCACTCATGGCTATCTTGACTTTGTATGTAGTTCATTACGTAGAAACATTACCTTATAATTGTCCTCCGTCTTATCGTGGTAACAATGTTAAATACGCATACAAACTGAGCATTGGATTCCAGAAATTACATTCATCTATGAAATTGTTGAGAATACCTATGAGAGTTATAAATATCAACGGTAAATATTATGAATACGTAAGGTAGTTGCTTACCTAGTACTGTAGTGTAATGTCATATTAAAAGGTACAAGTGGTATCATTATAGTGATAGTGATATTTTAAGTTGATCATAAGTATTCCGAAAACGTACATGAGCTAGTTAGTGTTGGCTACATTACCATAAACTTATTCTTTGGCTATCACTATCCCATAGGCGTAGATGATATGCAACAATACATGGAAACAGAACCTACGGAAATACCTACAAATCCATTTCTTAGCCACCTTAAGAAGGAGAGTTCCTTTCTTGATAATGCTCTAGAAGTACTCTCAATTCAAGCTTCTAGACGAAATTTAGGTAGGACGTTTAGATTTTTCAGTCTGCATTTGACAATTTATGATGTATTTATTGTTTTTTTATATTTCCATGATATTACTTTATCTTGATTGCTCATTTTATTGAATTATCATCTCTTTAGGATGCTATTCTATAACTAGTAAAAGTGGTTTGGTTGGTAAATTTATCCTCTATAAAGTAGCTTATCGATTGGGAGAAGACATTGTAGGCTATTTTGATTTTGCTGAGGCTCAAGTCAGCTGTTTACAGGTTTGAAGTTGATATTATATGTGATAATTAGTCAATACTCTCTGAAATGTTATCTGATCAATCAAACCCTATGTACTTTCAGTATACCGTCGTTTTACAAAGTTTGGAGGAGGTCAGGAAAGAGTGTTTAAAGCATAGTTCTCAGAGTCGATCCGTAAACGCCTCATACTCTAGATTTTCCGAAGCCTGTATATCTACTGTAAATACACATTTTATTCTGCCAGTTCCTCTGACCGTAACCCCTGGATTCGATAGTAGTCTTGGTAAAGTATCACATATTATTGCATAATCATTACTATTGGTAATTATCTAACTAAAGTGTTGACTACTTACATATCAATTTTAGTAACTTTACGCTGGAGGTTGCGGTTCGAATTCATTATCAGTGTACATGACCTAGCTAACAGTGAATACAATGGTAGAAAACACTTACCAGACGAAGCATGGCAAGGGCCTAGTGAAGTTGAAACGGAGTCATTAATATGGGACCTTCCTATTGAAGTTTTAGCTACTAATCCTGTACAGGCTTTTCCGACGGTTCCGGCACGTCTCACAGCTAATCTTTTACTATAAGTATACTATTCAGTCGCGATTAAGTACTGATAAAATACTGTCTATAATAAGTGTATATCAATTTAATGATTATTAATAGCAACAATTGGTTTTTCCGACTGTAACGTTAGAGCTTTATCTCATTTGTAAGCATGATTCTGAAAAAACTAGCTTAGATTTATCAAAAATTATGTAGCTTCTTCGTCTTCTAATAGGATTTATCTTATCTTAAATAATGATAATTACAAAAGTAATACAGCGTATTAAGCAATTATTAAGCGTTTATATTACGGACTGTACTGATACGTATAATGTAATGAAAGTCTCAGCTAGCATGCTTGGGCTTTTAAGATGTCTAGTTAATGAAATAAGCGAAGCTTAATATAGGTTGAACATCAGCGATACTCTATCATAGATGTTATGAATACTTCTGATCGAAGAATAGTTGCAGTTGTTTTATTGTGGATGCAAAAACGATCATAATCCTAGCTGCTTTATTATCTTATGCTGCAGTAGGTGATAGAAATTTTAATATAAACGGTTGATGCTCTCGTTTAGGGCATATAGGAAGCGACGAGCTCTTGTGTAATGTATTTTAAAGACTTTATTATCGTGATATATAAAAATTTATGCTCTACGTATTTTGGCGAATGCTTGTATAGCGTACGAAGATATTTAAAATTGCACTGTTTGCATTAATAAAAATAATAAGATCTTCCGTAAGTTTTCGTTGTCTGCGAATATGATTGGTTTCAGTATCCTCCACATTACGGTTATCCATAAACAACAATAGAAATTTCAAGACAATATAAAATAAACACTTCTGAGGTCACCTTGTTACCTCTGGGCATCAATGGCTATACTATACGCGCATACCGCTAGTTATATTTTAAATATTACTTCATAAACGTAGCAAATAATTTATTATTTCTACTATTACTACATAATTTTTAATACGTATCACAATCAAGTTTGAGAGCAAAAAATTCGAAGTGATCGCATTAATAAAAAGCTTGCTGTTCTCGAATTTAGACTGCTGCACATTCGGAGGGGTACCATGATTAATAACAGTTGATTTTGTTTCTTTTGCCATCTAGTAAACGGTAGAGGAACCTCCGCTCTGTAAGTTTACCACAAAATTGGTTACGGTCATTGTAATGACTAGTTTGTTACATTGCTTAGATAATTCCTTTTGTTGATTAATCAATTATTAATGAGAGAATGAGTTTTATATATACTTAGATTTCATAATTAAGATAGAACGTCATTACCTCAATTGCGTCGATTTCTTCCTCTGTCAATAACTTCCTTGAATAAGTTGCATCAACACTGATGGTTGACGCTAAAGTCCTACTTGAAGAAGGAGTGACTGAAGGGGAGATAGCTGCCGATGGTTTGTTACCGTTGGATATTTTTACAGTAGTTTTACCTATTAACAGTAAAAAGCAAGCGCTTTCTTAATCATTAATTAATTAATGTTTGTCTCGTTCTAATGTTGAATCGGTATGATGCTGATGGCAAGTAAGGTCGATTGAGTACACTTTGGGATAAAATATGAACCGGTATATGATATATCTGGATGTTTGTTGCTACATGAAAAATCGTGGTTTCTTCGTTTTAACTAATTAGTACTAGGATGCTGAAGTAATGACCTTCTTTTCAAAGTCATAGTCTAGTAATAGTATTCCTGTCTGCTGCGTAATGTACAATATGATACTTCGGGACTGATACGCGTATACCGTATTTGCACAGTTTATTCACAGAAGTATTACACATGTATGATAGAAAAATGTTCCACTCTATATGTTCTGTATATTTCGAATCATTATGCTACAGCAAATTTCATTTTTACTACCATTAGTTTGATAAGAATTATTGACACCCCTGGATTTTATCGTGCTAGTACTACTAGGAATCTCTTTCTAGTACAAGTATAGTAATTGAGTAACAGATATTCTGTCCAGTACCTTCTTTTTTCTAATGGTAGGTTTAATTACAGCACGCGTACCTTATATCTACTATAGTAGCTATTGTAATTATAGATGTAATCCAGAGATATACAGCAGAATGTGGACTATAATATTATGATGATATGCTTATGCATAATTGGAACATTTAAGCAGCGAGCATACATTCCTACAGGTGATGCAATACTGTGTATGCAATATGTTCGAATGATTGTGTCGATGTGAACGTTCCTGTAACTATGTAATTATAGTTATTATTAATTATTCAGCTAAGTGCTAATAACATTACCATACTGCTCATTGTTTGACCTGAGGCTAAGTATTAAAATATGTCAGATTACAAGATTAATGTATTGGTAATGGTAAAAGTCAGGAAGATTATTCCGTTAGGGTTAAATGATATTTTGGATCAGTTTATCCGAAGATTTGATCCTGATAAAAATGCACTGTAGTGTTATACTGTACATACTATTGTATTGTATGGTGTACGGTACTGTACTGTATATCATAGGCAATCATGGTTGGTTTCATGACGATCACAACAGTACGTATAAATCTTAATCTGTGTTGTAAAAAGAAATTTGTTCAGTTACTGTCATCAGTTTTAGTGGTATGCAAATGTATAATGATTGTTTTACAGTTATTATATCGCAGTAAATATAATAGATTTTATTTATAAGCGTTTAAATCAAGTACACGCCAACTTGGCATTGTCCAGTACACAAGATGAAGTTAACTTAACGTGCTACCCATCACATAGCAACCTACGTAAGCAGGAATGTTGCAGTCAACAGAGGTAGATTTTATTCAGGAAATACGCATGCAAGCGTATATGCAGTAAATATTATTTACATATAGTTACATTGTATACCTTCATCAGCGATTAGCCTTCTTCGATCAGGAAATTTTATAAGAGGAACGCGCGATTGGCGCGTTTGATAATTTCGCCATAATCTAATGGAGAATCGACCAGCAGCCATTACAGGCATCACTATACCGTACTGTATTAAATTTACAGTAAATGTCTGTAATACTGTACTGTACCGTAAGTTGGCCTAAGTTGGCTTGGTGATCCACTGGACCACTAGAACTGGAACGCTCCTCAGACGGACGGACCATGCATATTACAGTACAGTAAATGGTACTAAAAAATGTTAAAAAATAGTCACTCAGTGTGGATTTTCCGAGTCTGTTTTCTAAATCACTCGTGCAGTGTTACAGTAAGTTAATTTAATAACATTTATAATCTAAAGTTCCAATTACAATACAGTACTATACTGTAGAGCTTAGTAACAGCCAATGGAATACAATGTACTGTAATATTACTTTACTTAGAAAAAATCAGTTAATTCAGAATGGACTATCTGCATACTACTGTAAAGTACTGTACTGTCATAACCAAGCGTTGGACACAATCTGTTGACTAAACGTCCGTCCGTCCAAAGGAGTATCCTGTCTGTGTTATTCTTCTCGTACAGTACAGTACAGTACTGTACAGCACTGTGGATTTTCTGTACAATCCGAAATCGACACCGAGTCATACAGAGTGCTGTACACAAATCGTGCCATCGGAGAATTCGACTGAGATCGTGTCAGCATTTATGACGTTGTGATAGAGCGTGACAATATGGCTATCTGAAGAAAGGGTAAAGCCTGCTTCTGCTTTTTGCTGAGCACGAATAAGAACTGTGATCTCTTGTGCTAAGCAGGCTGTTTGGATGAAAGGAGACGAGAGTTCATGGTTTGCGTCATGGAGGATACTGTATTATACTGTACTTTACAGTCAGCGAAGCACTGTCTACGAGTGTACAGTACTGTACTGTACACTGCTTTTGCTGAGCTATTTGTACCAGGTGTTCTATGGATGTTATTAGTACACGTGCACATACAGCACTTTATACTTGTATATCAACTATGGAAAGTAGCGTGCTTACGATTCTGCATTGTGTGCAAGAACCGGAAGCAGCAGACGCTACCTATCCCATGTCCCACTGTACTGTACACTGTACAGTACAGTACGTGGTACTGTACAATACAGTGGAGTTTTGTTATTATTATTTTTTCTATTGTTATTTGTTAGCCAAGTACATGTACAGTACACTATACTGTATGTGCAGTACTGTACTGCTGCATGCACACGATAAAATAGCATTCAGTAGTACTGTACAGTGTTTATAGTCACTGGCGCTCATGTCATACTTTGATTTATACTCTGCACTGTTTAGTCGTTAGTAGTGTTTTTAATTTAAGTCATATAGTCAACTACAAAGTAGTTCGATTCTGCTAAATTATAATCCTCTTATTAGTAGGACGAAAGATACTATTAGGGAAAATCGCCACCACAAGGAAAATTATCTATAAACTACTCAAAGTATGATTTTAATGATTGCAAGATGCCAAGGCGGTATGATGCAACAATTTTCGTTGACTTCTTCGATCATTCGACGATCCTTAACGCTATCGGCTGTTGTTCATCATCGATTGCGTATAGGTTGGTTTATAATGTCGGTGCTGATGTCTGTGAAAGCATATATAAGTTTAATTATGATTTACCCATAGCTTATAATTTATTTACTAAGATTCTTGTTTATGCAGAGATGAAGTTGTGGAACTGTATACAATAGTATTCTACTTTATTATATTGTTCTCAGTACAGTACTGTACTGTACAGTGATGATTTTCAGACAACTCGATGTGATCCTAGTTCGGATCTTGTAGACTACGCAATTTCTATCAAAGTAATGTTTCGATTCTCTGTAACCATATTATAATTACATATCTAGTTTAATGTGAGTTGATAACATAACTGTAGTACAAGAAGTTGATCCCAAGAAAGTATTAATATAGCACGGAGAAACTTATATCGACGAATATCGATTTGTCACAACGGTTGCACTGTACTAACTAACGTAGGGTCGCGCGCTTAGTAAGCATTTCTGATTGTAGTAGCACTATATCTTTATAACGACTACGTAAAATGTTTGAACTAGCTCCTAACAATCTATCGAACCTAAGGGTCAACATGGATATTGAACCTAAGACTAAGAGTAGGAGATGTTGATGATAATAGTTAATAATGCATTAATTAATTCCTGTCAGAAGTACAAATTTACAGTATAAGAGCTGTATGCCAGTTGAAATAGTATACAGTACTGTACGGACGTTTGAATCAGGCAGTTTCGGATTTGAATAAGATACGCATGGACTACCGTAGATAGCTAGAGCTATATTGTATCATGCTCGTTCATGTGTAATGTGGAATTACATGCACACAGTTGAACGATTTGATTTCACTGATGTATCTACAGTACAGCTGGCTAGTTCTGTCGTTATGTTATGACAGGCAGACGACTATTGGTTGTCGTGCCTCAGTTCCTCACACTACGCAGGTAGTAGCTTTGCGATTTACTTACACATCATAATAATAATCCTTAAAATTTCTACTACAGGTACAGTATATTGCGATTTAAGAAGTGTGGCAGTGATAAAAATATTCTATTCTGCCGCTATAGCAGTTAAAAGCATATTTTCTGGGCAACAAGACGACACTGTACTACTCACCGTACCAAAGTCTTTTATCAGCGTCTTTCGAAATCCTATGTTTTTATTGTACTAATCTGTTGTTTACTACTGTATAAATGATGGTGATATACAGTATATGCGGAGTCAGTAGGCATGGCGAAACACTGTACTTTGCAAATCGTGACGATAAGATACAGTACTATAGCAAAGCACAAGAGATTTTACAGTTTTATAATTAATTGTTTATTAGTTTTCTTATTGATTTAAGAGTGATACTGTAACAATACAATATAACTTATAAAATTTGTATTGTATATATAAATTATTACATTTAGATCGTTAGAAGCTTTGTATTTATTAAATACTAATATGGACTAAAATTTCTTGGTTCATGTGCTGAATGAATTAAGAGTTAAAAGCTAAAAATTTTTCTATGTGGATGACTACTGCAGTATACGTATGCAATAGTGTATTAGCAATAAGTATGTACTTTAAAAACTGTGCTTATAGATATTGTCCACAAGCTATGATAGCTCTATCCACCATACTTTAGTTGTTACCGAATATTGTGAATGATTGATTCACCTTGCATGCTTATAATCATTCGAAAAGTACGAATACCCACTGAATTGAATTATAGAATTTTTTTGCGAAGTTAATACGTACGAACTAGAACCATCCCTCTCTCTAAAATAAACCGTCTACGAATTACCGTATCGTTGCTGTCAAGTAATGATAATAACAAATTACTGTATGATATTATTTGACTTGATTCAACTTATTTGTAGCGGTTAAGATTGTATTAATTATTACCTATGTTCACTTTATAATAAATGAAATGATAGCTTTTATCAGGCTGGATTAACTAGGCATTATGCCATTGCTAAAAGCTTTTAGCGATACGGTAGATACTTATCCAATGACTTCTTACTTTAGGTTTTAAGAGCAACATCACCATAAGCACTGATCTGCCAAAATATCAGCGTCTTTTCCTATCGGGTACATCGGCTAAGTCGACGAGTGCAACAGATGGTGGAAACAATGAAAATATTGGCAAGTCTTCCTCTCATTCTGGCAGTGGCGGAGGTAACAGTGACAGTCGCAATGGCTCTGGCAAAACTACAACGACATGCCCCAAGTGTGGTGATCCTTGCTTAGTTATGCAACCTTTTGCATGTAAGTGATGTTAGAGTGCCTGATGTCTGTTGTATCGTAGTGTTACCATCTCACCTTTTATGATTGTAATCTGTCAATGATAAGATGCTTTAATAGATGCACGTATGTACAACAATTGTAAAAACATCATTATATGTAAGAAAGGCTTTTTAAGATCAAATATACTATAAATTAGTATGATTGTTTTAGTATTACATTCTAATACGTTTATAACATATTGCATTATACATTTCCTTCCGGAGCTTACAGCAGTAGGAGTAAGATTTGTTAAAGCGCTCTATAGTTGCTAAAAAGCTATGAGCTTGTACTGTATAATAGTTCATCTATACCAATCATGATGATAAGCTCATTCTAAATGTCAACAGGCATTTGCTATACGCTATAGCAATATTTTCAAATACTGTATCTAGTACAGTAAGTGAAATAATCACTTTCGACATATTTCAGCCATAAAATATTAAGCGATAGATTTTTGTGATATTAAAATACTGTTGTGAGTGCGCTAGCTATAATAGTAACTTAATAGACAGATCTATAAGATCTTGACATTTTTGTATTAATAATTGGTTTTCTACTATTGATGTTCGTCAACGTTATCGTTATATTTAGATTCCAATAGATTTGTCAAGTGCAACAGCTGTAATCATTTGTTTTTACTGCAAAATGATAGTCAGCAGCAGCAGAAAGTGAATGATGAACGCGCTAAAGCTAAACCGCCAGAGGAAATGCTAAAAAAGCCGCCACCTCCGAGAAAGGTGTGTGAGTGTGTCATGAAGCTGTAGATTATCGTCGTTAAGTGAAAATTTTTATACTAATTCCTTTAGTTATTTTAATAAAAATACCGGTATTGTGATTACTAGATTAGCTAGTAATATATGCTTACATGCTTTACTACAGATTTATGATTATTTGTGTCGATACATTGTTGGTCAAGAAAGAGCAAAGAGAATATTATCTGTAGCAGTTTACAATCATTACAAGCGTTTATATTTCAATAATTTGCCTGTACTAAGTAAGCCCGCATTCGATAAACAAAACTGGAAGCAAAAAACTGACGGAACTAAAGATCAAGGCAACTTGATGCAAATTAGAGGTATTGCTTCACGCTTATTTTTTAGCATTGAATTCAATTTTTAGAAGGATTTAAGCTAGCATTAATTCCTTACCGTTTGCTTGTAGACATCAACTTCTTAATGCAACATACTTCACAAGGACGTAATGCCACTCAGACTAATCAGCTACAACAAGAGACTCCAATTAATGGAACAGATTTATTAGATAACAATATATCTGCACTAAAGCTTGAGAAGAGTAATATTGTTCTATTTGGACCTACTGGTTCAGGCATGTTTATGCACGCTCCTTATTTTCATTTAGAACTTGTTATATTTTCCGGAACGAAGAATATTTTTGTCTATTTAGATTGAATTTCGTAGCTTATGAATGTGTTTAACGTTCTCTTTGATAGGAAAAACATTATTAGCTCAGACTCTGGCTAGATGTCTAGATGTGCCTTTTGCTATTTGTGATTGTACTACTCTAACACAGGCTGGATACGTAGGAGAAGACATAGAATCAGTTATAGGAAAACTATTACAGGTTATTTCATTGTGCATTTTAATTGCATGGACTGTATTAGGTATGAATTCATAGCTTTATTACTATGGTTAACGATTGTCTATCAATTTCTTAGGATGCAAACTATAACGTTAGTAGGGCTCAACAGGGTATAGTTTTTTTAGATGAAGTAGACAAAATAGGCTGTGTTCCCGGAATACATCAGTTACGTGATGTTGGTGGAGAAGGTGTCCAGCAGGTACTGTTATAATAGGAGTCGAAAATACACCTTCAAAAATTGAGTTATCTATTATGTATATCATGTTTGGATACAGTTATATGTGAACAATAAGCTGTAATCACTTTTGACTACGACAACATTAAATTATAACCATTTTTTTATCTTACAATATTAGGGGTTACTGAAGATGTTAGAAGGTTCGATCGTTAACGTTCCTGAAAAAAGTTTAAGAAAGATGAGGGGTGATGCTAATAGTTTTGCTGTCGATACTACTCATATCCTGTTTGTTGCCTCTGGAGCTTTTAATGGTTTAGACCGTGTAGTTTCTCGTAGGAAGCATAAAAAGGTTAATATGCTACGAATTATTTGATAGTGCTTTGAAGGTACAGCTGCTAAATTATTGATAAATAACTGAAACATTATCTACTTTATGCGATAGTTTTTAGGCTTCGGCGCCCCATCGCTACAGAAACTTGGTAGGCGTGCTGCTGCAGAAGCAAGTCTTGCTTCTGATCCTATCGAAAGTTCGATTGAAGACTTGAAAGAAAGAGATTTACTACTGTCTGATGTTGAAGCACAAGATATGATTGATTTTGGGCTAATACCTGAGTTTGTTGGACGTTTTCCCGTGCTTTGTCACATAGAAAGCCTAGATGAAGAAGCCCTTATGCGAATTTTAACAGAGCCTGAAAATGCACTTTTACGACAGTACAAGGCTCTTTTTGAAATGGATAAGGTTTACTCTATTCTATTACATAACTTAGATTATGTTAATGCGATATATGTAATTTAGCATATCTTATTGGAGTTTTTAATATGGCTAGATATTCTGGAATACTGTTGTAATCTTGATTGTATCTTTAATTTGGTAGGTGCAACTGGCTATTACAGATGGGGCGTGCCTAGCAATCGCCAAAATGGCACTACAAAAGAAAACTGGAGCGCGTGGTCTTCGTTCTATCATGGTAAATCAGAAAGATTTTTAGTTTTAATTTCAGTACTGGTTTGAATATGTTAGTATCTAATTTCATGTTTATTTTTCTTTAGGAACGTCTACTTTTGGATTCAATGTTTGAAGTACCTGGATCGGATATTGTAGAGATAATTATTGATGAAGACGTTGTCAACGGTAGAAAAAGTCCCGTGTATATAAGCGATTCTTCGCAAGCTTCAAAGCCTTCAACGGAAGAATCTGATAATCAATTTTCAGATGATATTGTGAGCGAAAACTACGTAAGGAAAAGCGCTGATGCGATTCAAGCTTAAAGCGTAGATTTCATGATAGTACAAAAGAAGGAAGCTGATTTATGAATTAAAGACTAAGATTATTCCTTGAATAGACTTATGATGATATTTAATGGAGTAACTTGCTCAGTAAATAGTATTTACTGTTGGTACAATTGATTTGATCGACTTCTTATATGGATCAATGTTAGTAAAAGTGATAACATTTGTATTACTAACTTAGTCAGTTCAATTGATTCTTTTGGTTGATAATTGCGGTTTATCGTGAAATCGTTTTGTATAACTTAGAGTGGATATCAGCGAAAATTTAAAGCTACTATGTAGCTAGCCGTATAGAATATTAGTATATGCATACCTTGATTTTGTTGATTGAATTTAATGCTTGCCGTAAACATATACTCTTAATAAATGTATATGCTGAAAGTAAACCGAAGAAAAGCGAATTTTATGTTACTAAACTACATCATGAAAGTCTTTATAATATAAAGTAAATGTAATTTAACTGCTATCGATCGATAAATTATTATTTTATGACGATATCATATGGGATACCAATGACATGTTCATCCAAGAAGATTGTAGCTTGCGAATTAATTTGTTAATAGTTTATCATAACGAAGGTTATGGATTGTCTCTTATAATTTTATAATATTGCACTTTTACATGTCTAAAATTGCGTTTATATTTAATGCAATTAGCTTCTGTATAAAATTCAATAAATATTCGCTACTACTTATTGTAACGATCTTACGATCATATGTAATGTGCTCTTTAGTAGAAGAAGAATTTGACTGTGTACTCTTTTACACTGTTATTTGGAGTCGCAAGATGAATATGCAGATAATGCAATTAGTTCAACTGTAAGTACATTCAAACAAAAATTTCGTTATTTCTAGCGTTTTTAATAGGCAATCTATACTCTTAATTGAAATCGAAGTAGGCAGCATGCATACATATAGCCGGATAGTAATGCAGACTAATAATCTTATAATGCATAATTTAATAAAAGGTAAGTTCCCCTCGGTAGCTCAGCGTTATTGGACTTGTAGTAGTTCACAATGTGCTAAATACAGTACTTTACCGTTCGTTGACACAAGTCACACAACCGAGTTCAATCGTGGCCGTGAACGAGAATTTAATGTTCAGTGGATATACGTCAAATTTTGTAGATCATCGTGGACTATACAACATAATATTCACAAATAAGTCGTAAGTTTAAGGCGTAATACACGTACATATGATGTTATATTGTCTTAGTAAGTAAGGCAAAAATTAACTTTATCATGGAATTTTAAATTTTGTTGATCGAGCAGCCTGTAATTCTGTTATACTTGTGCGGTATATACCAGTAAATGAATCAAAATATAGCACTGTAGTCTATGCTATAACTTCATGGCCTCCAGCTATTGCGACTGTACTTTATGTTATACGCGTACAGTACTACTAGATAGTGAAACTCATGTACTAGATTGTATGTACGTCTGGTCCTTGCTGCTAGTTGCCTCCATGTGAGGGCGGTACAAGAGACTAATAAAGGAGTGGCATTGCTTCCTATTCACCTTATTTTATTTATATTTATTTAAATATTTACTGTTAATTTAATTAACTGGTTAATTATTCATGTAATTTTATATTTAATTACAATAGCGATGTAATCTAGAGAGTACTGAGACTACTGACAGTGAGTATTAACTTTCATTGCGATAGTAATAGTTACATATTCTTCATACTACAACTCTACTCCATCCACATGAAGCAAGACATACGAGTTTAATTTTACCATTGCAACTGCCGATTGACTTTTTATCGTAGTAGGAAACTTTAGCCTTAATCTAAATCTATCTATAAATTCGCTACTAGAACTAGTTGCAGTTTGTACTCCGCAATCTCCGGTTTTACCTCCTAGGCCGAAAGAACGTAACGTTGGGTTTGATCGTGGAAGAACGTAAGAATAAGATGAGCTAGTTTTGAAATTTTTGAGACATCTTGATCATGACTAAGTTCAAATTTTATAGTAAATCATAAATAAGTTTAACCATAATGTGTTTCATAACATCCTTTCCTGTTATGTTGTATGACATAATTCAGTTTCCGCTAGTGCAATGGACTGTATAGTACAATTTTCACTCAGGTAGTCTTCATATACAGTTAATCTGTATACGAGTATGTATTGTATGATAGTTATACGATTCTGCTGTAACTGAGTGGCATTATAATTCACGCATTCATGGTAGCTATTAGCCGAGTATTTCTACTGCTCTACGACTGATAATAAATAGTAGTAAATGATGCACAGTGACCACAAATGTATGAACTAGTGAGTCACAATATGAATTGTTTAATATTACCACTGTAGTATAGGAGATTCTCTCTATACAGTATGACAGTATGATCAATGACTATTTGACGTATGGCCAAGTGGCTAAATTGTATGGATTAGTTAGTTTTTACAACAAATTGATATCGTTTGCGTTTTTACAGGCCTTGATTGTATAGGACTATAATTCTCTATAATATGCTTTGGTTTAGTCAGTACAATCAGGGACAAAATTATTGGTGGTACAGTAGTAAAGAAGACTTTATAAGCTCCCTTTCTTTACTGAGCTTATTCCATTCGACGAAAGAATCCCAGTCAGTAAACTACATTTCATTTAGTAAGAAATAAATACGTACGTCAATGATGAAGTAACTAAGGCGTTGTCAAGGAGGCGTAAAATAGGGTCATCCTAGTCTTATGGTACTATCCACCACACTAGTTCACTGCTGTGTACCACAGGGTTATTTGCATGGGCTAATATGGGCCCCGTGTTACGAATCGAGTTAGTGCATAGGGGTCATTTTTTCCCGTTCGGGCTGTGGCTGTATTACCATATCCAGTATGTTACTGTTAAAGGGAGTGTCAGGCGAGAAATACTCTCTTCCAAGTCCCTGGTATTTTACGATGTGTTTCAGTATGAGGAACGATGATTGTTTTTTCCCTCTAGTACTGTGGTTGGGTACGGTACGGATCGGAACGGATCGGACCCGATACACCATGGGCAGTAATGGGCAGGTATCAAAGGTAACAACAGCCCAGTTCTTGACTATTCTAGTCAAATCAAAAGTTGGCCATAGCAACTTTGTATGCATCGGTGGTACTGTATGCCACTATACTGTATATCTATTTGACTCATTCTACAGTATTCCACCCTACTGTATATTATCCAACCACACTACCCGCGATACACGTTGAGAATTGATCTCGATAGGCAATTTACTTGTTGTTTTCTAGTACAGTAGTGGAGTTGAAAGCGGAAAGGTTAAATCGCTCCGGTAGTATATACCAATAGCGATAGTAAATTGTGTACAATTGAGTAGATGTCACCGTATTGATTGTCAAACATTGATTTTTTATCCATAACATTGAAGTCTGGCATTTTTATAATCAATCTGACGATAATATCGCTTCGACAAATTTATCCTGCATAACTGTATCTATCTTTTATCATCGATCGTGTTGATTCGATTGCGCTTTCAGTACAGTCAATGTGTACTTAGATTTTTCATATCGTACTGTTGAAATAGCTATACATCATTTTTACGAGAATGTCAGTACCTTCTCAAGGTGCAGAACAAGTACCTCTGGAAGAGACCAAGAGTGGCAAAAATGGAACTACGAATGCCCAAACTGAAGGTACGCGTGGAATACTCCCATTTTTTAATATATGAATTGTATTGTAAATTAAATGATGTGTGGATCATATTGATAACTAGAATTAGAATTTAAACTAGACGAGCACGCTGTGGTGTACTTGTATCTTTTCGTCGAATGATTTCCATGTACAATATTGCGCGCTAAGGCAACGCTTTAAAAGCATAGAGTAGAATAAAAGCTTGCCACTATATTGGTCTACTGTGTACCTATACTATATCTTACAGCAGCAACATCATCAATCGACTATTCTCTCCTACTCTGCGACTCTATTTTGACACATTGTTAGCTTTAAAGTAGTATTCATTTGTGGTGTTCACTGGATAGATTGGCATCTTATCCATTAATTAGCATGCACAACGTAGTAGAGTTAGCGCTTTGTTAGCGAACTTTTACGTGATCGATGGATTGTACATGGTTTTGAAACTTCAACGCGTTGCTTAATACAGCCCAATGGGCGTAACATGTCAGCACTTAACGTTTGGCTAGTCTGCATAGGATTACTGTTAGTTCGAATAATCAGAAAATGGCGTCCAGGATATATTCAGTTAATGCGTACAATTTCTAAATTCAATCACACTACAATCCATCGTAGAATAACTTTTAAGTTAATACGTAATTACGTTACTGCTCTGTCTGTCCTGATGATCTTTTAGTGTAATGGCTAAATTTGATTCAAGCTACAGCAATATTTATCTATCTGTTAGATGATAATTTTGTGCGAACGATCTATATCAACGACAGGACAAGAAATTTGGATCAAAAATTTGCGGTAAATCAGCTCTAACTTTCAATCTTTCTTGTATTAATTGGTCATTACGTGTATTTTATGGAAATATATCGCATCGATTCTGAACTCTTCTTTCGACATTACAACATCAGTATTGTTTATTGCTGGAATTTCCTTGTCTATATTTAGGTTTAGTCTCAATTCTTTAATTTGAATAATTAACGTATCCAAAAACTTTTACTGCTTTTATTCATTGCAAAATACAGTAACATCCCATCGTTATTGTTGAATTGTTTTTGTTTTTGATTTTTCGATAATTTTTCAAACCGCATCTTTCGGTTGTTATTAGTATTTTACCGCTTCACTTATGGAACTGATTAAGTGAAAGTCTTCGCGCTATGCTAGATCACGGACGGTGCACACAAGTCAACTATAATTTGAGATGCACACACATGGCGAGCGTTGATTGTATGTATTTCCCTGTAGAAAATGCTTACATAAGCTAAACTAGATTATGGGTATTTCATTAATCGACAGCATTCTTAGGCATTATCCTTCTCGCTTACTATACCTCTACTGTACTTTGTAAAGTACAGTAGAATAACTAATTATAATTAGCCTTGCAGACTTTGTGCTCAATTACAAGGCAATTTTAAAGATTGGACAGATCGTTTATATCTGTTTTATGTACTGTACCTTTAAAATGTCGAATTGGCTTAGATACATAAAGATGTGGCTGTATTTGATCAAAACTATAGCGGCACATAAGACATCGGAAACTATTTTTTTCCATCGATCTGTAGTTTATACAATGTACCGTATTTTAACATTGACTAGATTGTAGATACAGCCTGGTGCATACTACAGCTCATGTAGTATAAAGCTAGAAAGTATCAACATTACCATAGAAGCAGGAGAAATAAACCTTCAAGGTTAAAAGCACTATGCATATACGTATGTTGTATCTTCTGAAAGTCTATTTCAACGATAAATATATACAGTATATATAATTACTTAATGACTCGATAATTTTTAAGTTCATTTGGAACTAAAAAACTATTGAAATACGCTTATTATCGTTAGTCCTTTTGTTTTTAAAAATGATAGTTTTTCAAGTTAATATACATGTACTTAAAAAGCTCTTATATTGCCTTACTGGCTATACGCATATGTCTGATGATGGGTAACCCTTTTACCTCTAGTAAATGGTGTGTATAGCACAGCACCTTAGACTTGAAATGCTATTTCCTTGCGATAACTTTCCTACCATATTTCATATTCGGTACAACAGAGCAACGTGCAAGTAAAATACTATTTATTGAACAGTATACGTATAAATATTGCGGGTATATACAGTAATAGATGACATATACAATAGATTCTAAATCTTAGTCCCGTCGTTCTCTTTCAATTCTGGTTGACTATTCTGAAAGTGTTTGACAGTTGCATCTGCGCCATTATACCGTACACTGGATCGAGTGATATACTCTGATGAGTTTATGATATATATAACAAACATTATCGTTCTAGGACAACTTCCAATGACGCTTTTTTATTGTTCCTAGTTATTACTGTACCTATGCAGTACGTAGGAGTAATAATATATTGTACAATATCATCAAATCAAGCAAGGGTAATTCTTAGAACATTCGATCTCTAGGCTTTATAAGTCATGGGTTGTGACCCTTGTGAAGAATAATCTAATTTGCAGATATTTATAGACTTACTACATGTGCAATTGAGTAGAAAATGTGATTCTACGTCATGAAATGAAATCAACAAATTCTAGGATTTCGTACAAGTACAGTATAGTAACGCTGAATTCACTGAATCAATCGATAATTAACATGTATAATTGTTATAAGTAGATTGGATTGAAATGGATCCATGATAAATTACTAATATACGAATGCGAGAATATGCATACGGTTAGTAGTCAGCAAGGTACAATTTTACTATGGCTTGGATATTATGTGAAGATAAATACATACTATATAGTGCATGAAGTGTATGGAAATTGAAAGAAAGAGCTTTATTACTTTTTAATGGTTTTACTGATGCAGAGAGTTCTAAACATAAAATTACAGTAGACCAGCTGCATATTTTAATAGATAGCCATCTGGACTTTATTTGCATAGTATGCGCCTGGATACTTAGCATTGACATGGTATTGCTTCTTATTGATGAGTTTTTACTGGGTATTTATTGACAGCTAGTTGCATTAGAATTGTTCTTACTGCATTTTATCTCGGTGATACTGAGGGTAGTACTAGCATGGCAACATTGATAAATTAATTGGTGAGTTACAGCAGGCCGCTCGCTCTATGTGTTTTCTAAATAATTTATGGCTTCTTTAATTCAGCACACCCGATGATTTCTTTCTTTCTTGTTAAGTGTTACAATACATGGGTGATACCTAATGGTTTGCTAAACTACAAAGTTCTCATTGGAACTACAGTTTTGTCGGTAATTTCTGAAATTTACTCCGGAATTCGAAGATAGAGAAATGTCTTAAACTTATTTCTATACTTTAATCATAGTACAGAGTAGGTATATTCTAATCGACTGTACACGTATTATTTTGTTGTTTAACATTCGGTAGTCTTCATGTTGAATTAATTAATATAGTTAGGATGTATTACTTTTGTAGACGATACTATTATGATTTATTATATCAAATTCTCACTTTCGTTACGGCACTAGCAAAAGTCTTGATGATATCGTTATTGAAATTGATATGAAGGTTAAGGTGGTGTCTTATTCTATTTTATCACCACGATTAGGGATTAATTTTGTTCATATGATTCCACGCTATTTCGCTATACTGTACATCTATTGGTGGTACCCTCTGCTAAATTACAGTATTTTGAATGTAGTATGCTTGGAAATAAATACCTTGATGCATATATAGTTTTTGCACGCGAATGGACGAGTCCAGTACGATCATTATTATGTGCCTTGATAATTTAATTGTCTTTGTCCTTTTATATGTTGATGACATTGCAGTCGGGTAGTATTGAATGCATAATGACAAAATATTTATTATTTTACGTCTAGTGCAACAGTAGATACTCGTAATGACATGAGATTCTCAGATTGATAGACAAAATCATACTGTATATCTAGATCTTCATTCCAATCGGCCACAAGCGGGCTGCCAGCCATATTGAGTAATAAATAAATAAATAAAATACTATTTCATAAATAAATTTATACACGAGTACCGAATGCCTAATTACACAGAGATAGATTTAGGGTAGTAATGTTGGACGATAATAATCCAGTCATCAATGCGAAAAATAAGTGCAACGACTGCCATGTTGCTGTCTGATTTGACAGAGTTTTGTTGTCGATTTGTGATCACTTCAATATGCTAACGACTCGATAATAATGCATAACGTAATATGAAATTAGAGATTTTCTGAAAACTACGCCTATAATTTATCCCTTTATTCTTTACTAATTTTTATTACCTAACACTTATTGATACTTTGCCCTTCTAATACAGACGATAGCTATACGTGTAGTACACATTCTATTAAATATTATACGTACGACGTACATGGAACAAAAAGTGCCTCTGATTGATGATGATGATCCAAGATACTTAGTTTGCTGTTAAAATGTATTACTTTCAACTGACTTTTAAAATATACGTGTGCTCGTATTCGCTAGTGAAACCGATAATAATAATATCGGATATTCAATTTCTCATTTTAAGAATTAAAAATTGTTCAAATTTTAATCTTGTAAACGATTTATTTTTCTTACCACAATACGATCAAATAATTCGTATTCTCTACAGTCAAACAAAAGATTATTTACGACTATTCAATTTTTTTCTTTTTAATTTTCTATAGCATTGTCACCGTATTACTGACAGATAAAACGATTAGTTGGTTAAATATTTTATTTTATTAGTTATTACATTGCATTGCGGATATACATATATTAAATTGTAAAATTGAAAGTATAGTTAATTTATCATATGTTATGATTTTGCCTAGGATTATACGTGTATAATCTTCCGGCTTTTCAATCGATTTAATGTACAATGAACTAGAATTCATAGGACTGTATTATCAGACACAATTGTAATCATACCTGGGAATTGAGATTTAATTATGAATCCATTTTATAGGTATTGCTTTCCTTTGCAGTACAGTAATACGAGTATATATATGGCACTATTCGTTACCTGTAATAAAAGTGCTGTAGAACATCAATTTGGAAGATCATTACAATTTAATATAGTAAATTATAATAGCTTCCGTTTACCCTGCTTACTGAATAATCTCTGTCTGAATTATAAATCATTGTAGTAATAGCCTAAACGTAAAGCTAGACGAAGTTGAATGTATAACATAACTATATTGTGTGTTACATACTGTTTACAGTACAGTCAGTATTCATTTTACAATATTATACAGTACAATATATTTTTTGGACGATCAGGATGTCCTTTACACGTATAATGTGATTAATCTTTTGAAGCTGCAGTTAGTATAGTTAGTTATAGACTACTGGAAGTAACACCATAATATGATTAATCTTTGAACGCTGCAATTAGTATAGTTATGGACTACTGGAAGTAACACCAGATTCTTCATAGAAGCACATTTTAACACTAGATGTGACATATTCTGTAAATATACTGTAACTGATGGTAATCCGGGCAGAATTAATTTTCGCAATTAAAAGTAAACACAATGTAAGCACTTTAGTTTTTATTGCCGGAAAATGTTCGATTATATTATTGCTCGATCACTAGAATTACTTTACTATTACAAGGTATTAAATTACTAGATATATGTCAATGCTTATGACAGAATAAGTAGCTACGATTTGATTAATGTAGCTTTTCGCTTGCTTCTTGCTTGATTTAGAAGTAACAAATCTACAGAACTGTTTAATAGAGAATAAAAAATGTAACTTACCCTTGTAATAACCAAAGTCGGAGGAAATATTTTTATTGTTCTTAGTAAAACCCAATCAAGAATATCTGGATTCACTAATCAGTAGCAAACCATAAATTTTGTACTTCATCCAGTATACTTTCTGCTGTTATGTGAAATTTGAATACGACAGAATTATGATATTAATAGATGGAAGATTATATTTTATTGCATTGTTCATTTCCAGGATAACTGTATATAATAGTACAGTGATGTGACGTTACTAGTTAATGTTAGGTTGATATATGTATATATTCTCGTATATTTACGTCAATTGAAGAAGAGTCTTCAACAACATAACCAAGCAGTAGTTAAATATTTATAATTTAGATTTATTGTTTGTTAAGATAACTTTATCCCATTTATGACTATTTTAATTTCGTACACACTATCTACACAAACACATATTAACTCTCACTGTCAGCAACACATTGCTATTACCCTTTTATCGACGTAATTCAATGATAATCGTAGCATTGGTTAGCTAAATCTGATAATGGAATTGGAAATGATGCTTTTTACTAATTCTGGTGTCTTCTATGCAGAGAAATGACATTACAACATCGAAGTATACGATATTGACATTCCTTCCGATCAACCTGTTTGAACAATTTCGACGTGTAGCTAATGCCTATTTTCTTTTTCTACTAATTTTACAGGTAAGTCTTGCGTTAAAATACATTTTTACTAAGTCGGTGTCAATACGTATCTAGTGAGTTATACTAATAGTCATTATAAAATAATGTATAAATATTAATAAGTAACGATCGCATAAGTGCCATAAAAAGATGTTATTATCTCTATAATCTAACAAGTGACTATTAAAAACTCGTAGTATTTTGCAGTACTGAATGTTTTTTACGGTGTACGTGTTCATTACGAAAAATTTTGTATCCGTAGAATCACATACAATGCAGTAGTATATTATATCGTGTCTACGCATAACAACGCTATACCAAATATTAATCGACAAAAATGCTATTAAAATTGTTCTGTAGATAAAATTATTAAAAATGCAATTTAGAGTGATATATTATCTGGATTCTGTGACATCTTTATTAGTACGGTCATTAAATTTTACTAGAGCACATATTATGACCTTTGCAACTGTATATCGGCTATACACATTTGTTCGATGTACTTATATATATGCCATTCATTCTCACTTGCAATAACAGTGTATACCACAAATTAATGCTCTGAACCCGATATCGACGGCAGTGCCATTGGTTATAGTGCTAGGAATCACTGCTGCCAAAGACGGTGTAGATGACTATGTAAGCTGACTAAAATTTTACGATTCTTTACATTAGTCATTTATTTACAATTTCTTATTTAAACACTAAAATCGAAATGTTATGTATTTGTACTGTTCACTAAATAGAAGCGGCATCAAAGTGATAGGAAAATTAATAATAGAGAAGCAACAGTATTGCAAAATGGAAGGTTATTTCTACTTATTACAAAACTTGAAGTAAATTACTTAAGTCGGTGTCCTCATTACTCTTCAGTTAATTTTAGCTTCTTTTAAATACAGCTTTCAACCTATAAAATGGAAAGATGTAAAAGTTGGCGATATTGTTCGGATAGAAAACAATCAGCACGTTCCAGTAAGTAGAATGGCATATAATACTATATCTTGCTAGCTTTGGTATGTACATTTCTAAATTCATTTTCTAACTGTTTAGGCGGATATACTATTATTGTCGACAAGTGAGGCAAGCATGTTCTGCTTTATTGAAACCGCTGATCTTGACGGGTACATTTTAGAACTTTATGTAGTAAGCTCCGCTCTGTAGCTATCATTTGGCTGTAGGGCCGATTTCGACTTTACTGATGTCCAGATATTGTAACATCATTTAAAACATCTTAAATTAGTACTGTAAAACTCTGTCTACTACATTAATGATAAATAGAAACGATCTGTTTTCACTGACATGCGTAACGGATCATTTGATAGTGGGTAATTGAAAGTGCGGTATTTCAGTAGGTTATATAATATCTGCCTTGCAAAAATTAACTTCATTTACGTGTTATACAGCGAAACCAACTTAAAAATTCGTCAACCACTTGCCGTTACTGGAAAAATAGGAGTAAACGAAGGCTCTTATGTCAACTTTACTGCAACATTGCAATCAGAGTTACCAAATAATCGACTAAATAAATATCAAGGGACACTTGAATACAATGGTGAAACCTATGCGATTGATAATGACAAAATACTATTGAGAGGATGTGTTTTACGTAATACAAAGCAGATATATGGTACTGTAGTGTTTACTGGAAAAGATACGAAGCTGATGCAAAACAGTGGTACGTACAACTGATCGAATGGTGATGTTGTAACCATTGTATTATATTTTTTCGATTTGAATACGAATTTAAGTATTTCATATTACTAGGTTCGCCGCGTTTCAAGCGCACCCGTTTAGATAGAGTCATGAATTCATTAGTCTTACTGGTAAAAACTTGCTGAAATTTCAAACATTAATACCTATATATAACATGTACATTGTGCCATTTCTTGTACGTTATTTACCATTAATAATTATTAATCCTGCTTTGTTATTATGTAACGAATGTACTTCTGCAGATTTTTGTCATACTTTGTTGCTTTTCTCTTATTGGTGCAATTCTTGGAGGTTTATGGGAAGGTAGCACAGGCCAAGTACGTTGTCTAGCAAATGAAAAGTAGAAATAAACTGCGTAAAGCAAAATAAGATAGAATATTTAGCTGGGTCGTTTATATAGTATTTCAGGCGTTACCTCCCGTGGGAAACTTATACTCATGACCCTGCCAGCATCGGAGCTTTGTTGTTTCTATCTTACATTATACTATTGAATACTTTAGTGCCAATATCATTGTATGTCAGGCAAGTATTAACCTGTACTCTGTTTGCTATACTCATACTAGAGTACGTATCAGTTTACTCAATTATATTATTACTATTTCACAGTGTTGAGATCATCAGATTGGGTCAAAGCTGGACTATTGATTGGGATATTAAGATGTATCATGAAAAGACTGATACGCCTGCGAAAGCTAGGTAAAAAATATTGGAAAAACTAAAATTAGTGACATTTTAATATTAATTTATGTTTATATCCATATTACATTCACGTGATATAACATAGTAAAATTTAAGATATTAAATATTATAATACTACGTCAGGACTACGACTTTAAATGAAGAGTTAGGGCAGATTGAATACATTTTTTCGGATAAGGTAAGTTTATTCATCGAATAGCCTGTACTTTTTTAATTTAGGCTTTAATGAAAGATATTCTTCATCTTTAATAGACTGGTACTTTAACGCAAAATGTCATGACATTCAATAGATGCTCTATCCTTGGAACAGTCTATGGTCAGTTAATAGCTATAGTTATATTTACTAAAGAAGATGGTTATTTTTTTTTACATTTTACTTAATTTACTACATTTTAGGTGATCAGGAATTATCTGAGCGATCATTTTCAACCAATAAAGTAAGATTTTAGAATTTACTTAATTAGTGTGTGATATGAATGTTACTGTATATGACAGTTAAAACGTAGAATACGATTAATTATGACTGGTATCATAAATATTCTAGAAGGTTGATTTTTCTGCAAATCGCTTTTGCACTCCAAAATTTGAATTTTTCGATCAAAATTTGTTGCAAGATTGTCATGATGGTATTAAGGTAATGTGGTCTATCACAAGTTAGCGAATACATGTTATGCAACAATTTAGCATGTACATGAAAATATTTTTGACTGGTATTGATTGTATCGTTGCATATTTTGTAGGACGTTCAAGAATTTTTTCGTTTGCTTGCGTTATGCCATACGGTAATGGCTGAGGAGTCAGAAGGTAATGATCATTTGCTTTAATTTTAGCTAAATGTGATATCCCTAACTATCTATATTGATTCAACTAATGTTTTGGCTCGATGTTTAGGAGAATTGGTGTATAAATCTCAATCACCAGATGAAGCGGCTTTAGTCGAAGCAGCAAGAAATTTCGGCTTTGTTTTCACGGTAAATATTTGCGTATATCATATTAGTGTTTATACAGCAACTTAGTCTAACTTATTGTTTATGCTGCAACAGTTTTCTTTCGTCTTAAACATTATAACTTCAGATATGGCTTGACTGCATACAATCGTTGTAGTGAGTTTCGTGTATACAGTACTGCCATTTTACCAGTAATGCTCTGCTAGCGGACTGTGTCAACGATATGTTATACGGCACTTAAGATATTTTGGGATATCATATAACTGTCACCGTCTATATGTCTTAATTTTTCGGTATGATCACTATTTTGATACGCAAAGTATTATCCGTGACTTAATTTTTCTTAAGTTAGTAGTTTTAATAATTCCGAGATGGACTTGTGATGCTCTTATGTTAGGTTAGTTTGGGGCAGGTAGGGGAAGGTTAGGGTTTAGTTTATTAAAACGGCATATAGAAAATGCCAATGGGACACATTGACTGACTAGAACGCATTGATAATAATATGACGATTATTGGTACTTTAGAATAGCCCTAGATATTCAAATTTTGTTATAGCTTATATGCAGCTCGATACTTATGAGTTATTGTTTGGTTTTTTGCAGACTTAATATTAAGATTTATAGCGACTTCTTTGCAAATAATACGCGATTTATTTATTATTCAATGAAATGATCCTTGGAAATCTAAATCGATCTATTTTAATAATATAATCAATATTTTGTCTTAATATGATATCAATTCTTATGAGCCATGTTACAAGATGTGCTAATCTCTTTCTATACAACGCTGTCTGAATGTCATGTATCTTATTCTTGAGTTTTCAAAAATGAGTTAGGTTTTGTCACTTGTATCTATAAGTTTCACAATCTTGTGCGAGAGTTTGGTAATGTTATAAGGATATCATAAAATAGTAACCGTGAAATTTTTCTATAGAAACGATCTTCCTCGATGGTGATTTTGGAATGCCTAGGACAAGAGGTTCTGATTAAATTAGATTATAAAATTTAAAATGTGATAAGGCTTATATTTTATATACCAAAATCTTTCCACCATAGGAACAATACGAACTTTTGTGTACATTAGATTTTAACAACGTTCGAAAGCGAATGTCGGTATGACAATCTTTATTAATTAATTGATACTATAGTACCAATAATTTCTCTTCAAGGATATTAAATCTATATTAAAATTTTTAGGTTATCGTACGCCACGGAAACGAAATTGTGTTGTATTGTAAAGGAGCAGGTAAGAAGTAGACGAATATCATACATTCATACTTTGTCTGCTTATGTATTAATTTATTCAAATCCTCCAATGTAGATACTGTCATATATGAACGCCTCGAAGGTTCCAGTCCTGACGTGCAGAGTAAAACCACTGATCATTTAAATGTAATGCAATATCTCTTACATATGCTACTACAAATTAGTATCATAACCATTTTATATTCTTTTAATTTACGTATCTTTATTGCTTAAATTCTAAGTCCTTTGCTGGTGAGGGTCTCCGTACTTTGTGCTTGGCAAAGAAAATAATTGATCCAAAATTTTACACTGAGTGGAAAGTTAGACACCACGCTGCCAAGTAAGAATTTATAGATTTTTAACTAACTTAAATATGCGTAGATAATGGTAAACCTTGTCAGAATAGAACGGACCAGGTCTGATTAAATATGATTTCGATTTTATTACTATCCTAGCACTGCGACTATCGACAGAGATGAGAAATTAGACGCGGTTAGTATGATGAATTGGCGCAATTAGATGCTACCAGCAGCATTGTAAATATTGTGACTACATTAACGACGAAATTTTTCAACGTAGGTGTACGAAGAGATTGAGCAAAACTTAACTCTAATTGGAGCTACTGCCATTGAAGACAAACTTCAAGATGGCGTTCCAGAGACAATAGCAAACCTTACACAAGTAAAAATGTTGAATACGATATTTTAGCATAAGTAAGCTTTGTACAGTATTTGCCAGACTAATATAAATAAATTATTAGGCAAATATTAAGATTTGGGTCCTGACTGGAGATAAACAAGGTACAGTACTGCATATTACGAATTATTGTAATAAAGTCATTTCATTTGCGGAGATACCTATCTATCGTAGACATTACTTTAGTGATAATGTAATCATAGAACATCTTTTAATCTCTTTATCATTTCAAATTTGCACCTCGTGACTATCAATATCAGAAACGGCTATAAATATCGGTTATTCCTGTCGATTACTGACGGAGAGCATGGACGAAGTTTTTATTATTAATGGAAATAATTTGGACTCTGTAAGATCATCTATTGAAAATTTTCAGCAGCGAATAACTGATATCAAAGGGCAACCGCGAAATGAAAACAATGCACAAACTTCTCAGGAAGATGTATGCTACCTGTTTAATCAAGATATATCTCTATTTTTTCAAATTTTACTGCATTATTAATGCTATTATCAAAATTTTCAGCGGGATGTATTTGGATTAGTAATCAACGGTGATAGTTTGGTAAATATTTTTCTGTTATATTCTCACATACATGAAAATCCAGTGTATCTCAATCTATAAAATATATCCTTCGTTATGATTACCTAGGCGTACGCTTTAGCAGACGATTTAAAATTGACCTTTTTAAATCTAGCAAGTCAATGCAATGCAATAATTTGCTGTCGAGTTACTCCCTTACAGAAGGTTTGACAGCTATCGAATATTTTAATTACTTCTTGAAGTCTACTTCGCTGAGATCTTTGCAAATATTTTAACGCATACTGTAGGCCCTTGTAGTAAAGCTTGTCAAGGATAATAAAAATGCTGTTACATTAGCTATTGGTGACGGTGCAAATGATGTCAGCATGATAAAAGGTTAGTACTGAGTCGCTTCTACTTCGTTGTTTGATAGTCACCATTACAACTAATGGCCAACTTCTAATTTTTAGAGGCTCATATTGGTGTTGGAATCAGTGGTCAAGAGGGCATGCAAGCTGTAATGTCGAGTGATTATTCATTAGCGCAATTTAGATATCCTTGAAATAACTTCATTTAGATGTAAAAGCTATATTTTTTCATATTAAATTCAAAACATTACATTTCGATCTTTTCTTTAACGACAATTTTAAATTTCTTGAGCGTCTTTTACTCGTTCATGGTCGTTGGGATTATATGCGAATGTGCAAATTTTTGAATTATTTCTTCTACAAGAACTTTGCCTTCACGCTTTGCCATTTCTGGTTCGGTATTTTCAGTGGCTTTTCAGCTCAGGTATTTTGCGAAGAAATCAAAAGTTTATACATTCTAGTAGCATACTGGTTTATTCTTAACTTGCATTTATTGATATGATTTCATGTATTTCTAATATTACCATCTATTTTATAGGCTATATATGATAGCTGGTTTGTTACATTGTATAACGTGGTATTTACATCATTGCCGGTCATTGGTCTTGCTATTCTTGAGCAGGTAAAAAAATCTTGCATTTTTACTAAGATTTTTCATCACGATTGATAGATTCGCCGTTGTAGTTACTTCGAAATTGACGGTTGTGATGTAACCATTTTACCTTAATAGGATGTTAACGATAAATACAGCATTCGACATCCTCAAATGTACGTCCCAGGCCAACAAAATGTCCTCTTCAACGAGAAAATATTTATGGCGTCTCTATTTCAAGGGGTTTGCGCTTCGTTGGCGCTATTTTTTATTCCATATCTAGCATTATATATGGGAGGCGTTGATTATAATGGTATTACATTAGATAATTTGCAGTTTCTTGGAACTGTAATTGCGTTTACATTGGTAATAGTCGTGAATTTACAGGTAAATCAATATAATAAAGATATTCTCAAAATTATGTGCCTATTGCTAAAGAACTAGTGGTATATTGATAGCCTTGCTTTAATTTTTGTAGATTGCTTTGTATACGAAGCACTGGAACGTTATTATGCACGTTTTTATATGGGTCAGCATGTTATCATTCGTAGTGTATGCGTTTATATTTTATTCCTATGCGTTCTTTTCGCTATCCGCTTCACAATTCAACTACGTTCGAATTCACTTTCAAGTATTCTCCAATCCTTATGCTTGGTTTGTTACTGCAGTTGCAACGGTCTTTATTCTAACACCAAGTGTCTTACAAGAATATTACAATACAACTATTCGGCCTTCGTTAACGGAGCGGATACGATGGCAACAAATTAATCATGGAGACATCGATGATGGCTCTTTACATTCGGCTACTGTAAAACGTAGAAGATCAACTCACTCTGGCTTCGCCTTTTCACAAGAACCTGGTATTAGTAGTGTTATTTGTGCGGATAACCCAAATACGCGTTCCACACCGGTACCAGTATAACGGAGATATACTTTAAATACTATCAGATATGCAGATATAGTTGTTGTCAGACTTACTAGAAATATTCATTCATCTGATCATATATATTCTCACTTATGCAAATATAGTGCAGTTAGCTAATACCATGCAATTTGGTCAAAAATATTTTTACTTATTTAACGACTAAATTGATTTGAAATGAGTAGTATGTGAGCAATTTACTCGTATAACATTCACATTATAGTTATATTAATTTCATTCGAAGTTAACATTAAAACAACCTAATTTTTATCGTAGCAGTTACTACGGCTGACTTTTAGCGCCATTATGCTACTAGTTCTTTTTCTACCCGTTTGCTGTTTGCAGTAGATATTTTAGAATCTTTAATCTCTGTTCTAATGATTATGCACGAAGGTGATTGTATCCTGGAAAGGAATTGTGATGTATAATTAGTTATGATAACGTTGTCTAATCTTTCGATTTTAAATAGTATTTTTATTGATCTTAAATACGGTCAAGTTTTTATTAGTTGCTGCTGTTCATTATAGTTATTTATCTCGACAATAATCGCTGGTGGCGATGGTTTACTCATCTATTTTTGTAACCTATAAATATCAATGACTTAATGTAAACGGTGTAGCTTTGTATCATAATACGAGTTTTAATACAGATAGTACAGTATCACCTACGCTATATACCTTCGCAAATGATCAATATTAAAGCGATTCAACGCTTTGTGTTTGTTAATACTATGTGTTGGTATAATATTTTTGCAAATCACAAATGGTATGCGCAAAGGGTATCGTATTAGATTATCATACATCGTTCTGCTCTACAGTCGAACAGAAGGCAATGTAGATAATTCAGCTGGTTCGCTTGGCAAATACCGTTATGTACAATATGATATATTGTATATCATGCGGATACTACATATATTTAATTGCAGTATTTTGCTGATGTCACCATATACGGTAGAGCGCTAGACGCTTGTCCTATATATGTTTATGTAGTTGGTAAAAATTTCAACGTCGTAGTTCATACGAAGATTTTTAGCATCTGAAGTATAGAAGTTATTTAAGTTCAATGCATTAACTCAAACAGCACTCCAAATGACCATGATTATTTATTTATTTTATCAATGTTTCAAAAATATTAATAGCTAACATGGTGACCAGCTAAGAAATATTAATTACTACTGTAACAATAGCTTTCGCTTTGTCGACAATACGCGTATCACCTATGATACATGGACATAGTTTACAATAAGGAATTTCCTTTTGGCGTGTATGAAAATGTTATCGATATCCTGTTTACGAATCCAGCAAGTGGCTGTAGGCTATTGTTAAATCAATAGATATCATGTGATGCAAAAGAACGAAATCCTTTTACATTATGTACAGTAATAATTATTTTCAACCATTAGTCTAACAATCTTTAGCTGTAAGACATGTTCGCAAGCCAGACAATATGGAAAGATTTGTATTTACTATATACATTACACGGCATGTTGATTTAATTAGTTATTCTTTTGATCCTTATACTTATTGCATATTTATTTCAGTTGCAAGTCAGCTAAGATGAAGTCTATTTGTGTAGTCAATTCATAATCTGCCAATTTTTGCCTTGCTGTAAATTAGGTAGCTTTTGATTGATTCCTGAGCATCGTTCTCCAAGGATGCTCATTTTCTAGGCGCACGTTGTCTAATGCGTAGTTTAATTTGCGTTGATAGTTTTCCTCTGCCGTCTAGGTACATAGAATCGAAATCAGCATATAAAGATCTCGGGCGAAGTCATTGATTTACTAGACATACAGTAATTATAAACTACTTTAACTTTATAGAAAATAGAAATTTAATGTAGAAGTACAGATTGCATACACGCGGAGATTTTCGCTGAGTGCATCAAGATAACTGCTTAGAATTTAATTTTATCAATACTTGGAAGGCAACTCTATATAATTTTAACATGATTAGACATTACAATTAACTTACAACTTCAATTTGATCATGTTTTCGCTGTCGTAATCTTTCAGTATCTTTGATACGGCTTTGATAATTGATTTGCATTTCTAAATCACGTCTGTAGGCTAAATCATGCTGTTAAAGGAAAATCGAAAAATATACATTATTGCCAACAATTATCATACCCAGCACATATTCGTATTACCAAAAATACAGTAGTGCGGATTAATAAATAGCGAAGTAGCGGTAGTAAACTTCATATGATAATTAAATAATACCTCTTTTCTTTCTAATTTTTGGTGTAATTCCAAGCGTTTGTGCTCCTCCATACTGTCCAGTAGCTCCTGACGGGCAATTGCTTCTTTAGCCTGGCGTTCTCGGTTTTCTTGTACTATTATTGATTAATTAGTTACAATTGTGGTGTAAGTACGGCATGGTAGACAATGATATAGGTGTTCTACCAGTTGTAGAGCTACATGCGTATGGTTATGGTATGACTTCTGTATAAACCGAATAGTGAACATTAGTTCATCCGTAAATACTTGAGAAGCTTACATTTAATTTGTAATTGTTGTCTTCTGGTTTCGAATACTTCAGCCATCAATTTATTACGAGCTTCAGTTTCTCGTCGCCTTTGCTGATCTCGTTTCTGCCATTGTTTTTCAATCTAATTGAATAAGTTGCAGGATTGATTAGTTACACCATAATTGAATAAGTTACAGGATTAAATTTTATTAACTGGTGGGAAATAACTTATGATAGGGAGAATTGAAAATATCGGAGAAAAATATTTATCTCATTTATTTCTTTGGCGTTATTCGTCTAACATGAATATCAAAGTTTAGTTCGAAGCTTACTAGATAACTAACAAGTTAGATTTTTTTATTAAGTTCGTCATTTTTTCATGTTATAATATTATTATACGAAGTTTCGTCGAAATTTCAAAACGTCAAATGGTTAATCTACATATATACTCTAAATCAACGAATCTACGATTGTTATGAGTAGCAAATCTTGCTACAAAGCCCGATGTCTTATAGAAATTCTATTTATAAATGACAACCAATAATAGAATTTTAGCATCTTTTATGATTACCTCAGTATTTACTAATGTGTCCAATTCCTTCTCTCTTCGTTGTTCTTCTAATTTTTGTTGTTTAAGATATTCGTGATATCTCATAGTTTCTTCGCGTAAAGCAGTCTTTTAGGAAATAATACAACAAGAGAAATAGTAATTAGTTATTTTTACGAATGAAACTTTTATATAAGAAAATTAATGTTAGCTATATTGATCTTAGAGGTATGTACCGAAAGCCAATCTTATACTTTGTTGTAGATATATTTAACATACCTTTCTTTCCCTTTCTTGCTTTTCTTCAGTTCTTGTTTCTTGCATTAATTGTTCTAAAATTTTCATGTCTGTATCTAACTCTTCCTGTAATTCTTTAGCTTGTTTTCTCATTTTCAGTCTTAATGATTGCTCATGAATCTTCCTAGTTTCGGCTTGGCGAGCTATTTTTTCTTGCAACATTCTTTTTTCTTCTAGGGCTCGTAGTTTAGCTTCTTCCGCCTGTTTTATGTAAATATTTCGTTAGGAAGTCGAAGCAACATTGTGTATCAAGCATTAAGTATGGATTCATGTAAACATTATAACCCTCATACAACAAAACAGCAATTAAAATATTTTAGAATACGTAATTATATTGCTGCATTTACCATCAGTTTCGCTTCATCTTCTTTCAGTTTAAGCAGTTCTTTCTTACGTGCTTCTAATGCTCCCATCTGCATAGTTTGAGTCTGTCATGGTCGAAGAATTAGTGAGTATTAATCATGGAACTATTTGTGCATCGAGTTGAAGAGTGATATAGTATTGTAAGAAATATTGCATATACGAAATTGGAGTAAACATGATTGACGTAAGCAATTAAATATTGTACGACTGTATTCTGTTTCGTTTAATTTCAGTAATTCTGTGTATTTATTATAATTATTGAAAGTAAAAAAGCTGATTTTTCAATCTCACCTCCAAAATTTGCTTATTTCGCTTATGAAGCTCCATAGCTTCATTTTCTTCTCGTTGTAATTTAGCTAAACGGTCCTTCTCCCATAAATCCGCGTATATTTTTTCTTCTGTTATATAAAAATTTGTTGATATGAGATAGCGGAAGGCAAAGATTCAATGAAAAGTTTACTTAGTTAGACATAAAAGTAGAAACTTTACATTAGTATTTACCGTTCTTGTGTTCTTGTGTTTGTAATTCCTTAACATTTATTTGATACTGCCTCTCTTTGGCAACTTCCACTTCAATTCGCTTGGACTGTAAGGTTCTCAGTTCTTGGCACTGTTCTCTATAATTCCGAATAGTGTTAATAGACCATTAATGATAAATATTAGTTGATCCTCTTACAGCTGTGTTTGCTTAACACACTTCTTCTCTAACCTGAATTGTTGGTCCAATTTTTCTTCAACCAGCTTTTGCCTTTCTATTTCTCTCTTTTCTCTTAAATATTTGGCTCTTTCCCTCATTTTAGCTTGTCTTTCTATTGTAGTTTCTTCCAATGAAGCTAATTCTTGTAAATATTGCTGTTCCTCGCAATAAAGTAGTTCGCGTAAGTGATCTCGTCTTTCCTCTAAAGCAAGGCGTCTTTCTTGACTAGCTTCATCCATTTTTCTATTGATGTGATTTCGCATGATCTTCTTTTGTGTGCTGTTTTCCCAGTTAGCCTGATGTTAAATATCAACATTCTCATTTAATTGAAATTTTAGAATTCGAAATAATAAAGTTAACATAACAGTTATAAATTCTAGCTAGAGGCAAGGGTTGAATGTTAACATCTGATTCCTTAAGTCCACCAATACAATCAACTTTCAATGTTACCTTCATATCTGTTTTCTTAGTAGTAGCCAAGATTTCTAAAGCATCATTGCGTATGTTTTCTCGTCTTTGTGATGCCATTACGATATGATCTGATGAACGAAAAGGGCGAGGACGAGCGACCTAACGTTAATACGTGGAAACGTAATGATTATTTTTATAGTAATTGAGGGTTCCAATTTATTAGCGTTATCCCATTTTATATAGCTGATTTAGCTGATATACATTATATCATAATATAGTGTACGACATCGTGACAAAATTTTAAATTTTGAATGGAACTGATAAATAATGACTGATATATCGCTCTAAAAATTTTCTCACTTACCAATGCTACGCTATGAGGTGTAGGTCCTGTTATTTCACGAAGCCCTCTGGATCTATTCGTAGTTGCTGCCATCGCGATTATATTCAATAAGTAGTTTTCGATACCTGCGATGCTTTAATTATTTTGTAGTAATAGGGTTAAGTAATCTCCAAAATATAAGCGGCTTAACTGTCAAATTTACGATCTTTGCAACGTTCTTCTGACTTTGCAATGTAGAATGTGTACTCAACGCACAATAATGAAGTTTTTTTATCTAGTGAGGACAAGTAGTAACGGCCTGCTTCAAATGAGTACGTTTGTGATTGCCACCTAGAAACTAATTCGTGTTATATTACGGGGAGTCGAGAGTTTCGAGTCCCAGAATGATACGATGCTTATATTGGATGTAAGATATCATCTACAGTATAAAACAATTTTCTCCAAAGAGTTGTTTGTGCCCAGTGCGTATCTATGGCAACAAATCAACTTCCAACGGTTCCTCAGCAACCACGCACAATCGTAATTTATTATTAGACACAGTACAGTATTAATGTTTGTTTCTACAATTTAATTATTGCTGTAGTACTGTACTGCATATGATTGCACCTTTGGTACATACTGTATCATACCGTAGTTTACTGAACAGTGAGTGAACACTATACTGTATCATTTCCAGATAAAGTACCGTAAACCGTAGTAAACCGTCATAGTCTACAGTACAACAAATTACAGGTTCTCGGGCGTGGCGAGTTTGAACAGTACGGTACAGAATAGTACTGTACATTACAATACTACTGCACTGTACTACAGTATTTTGGTTCAAACTGAAACCGGAACTCTCGGAGGTGTATCTGTGACACTTGTGTTCATCCATACTGTAATTCATTCAAATAAGTGAGGATTACAATTTTATCATTGGTATTATAGCATAGCAATTTGCTGATTGAATGATCATATGATGCAACGCACCGTTTTCTGAATACCTAGAAGACTCAGTTTTCTGACTTTCAATAAAGTACCTTCAACCGTCTCTACATATATTAGAATCTAGTATTTACCGTAATAAATTAAAATTTACGGTAGATATAACATTGAAAATATCATTTTATTTTTTTTATTTATATATTCGGATACAATAAAGCATAAAAACAGCATATCATTAATATATAGCATTACTAAATAAATCTACGGTTATCGAGGCCAATGTCTATTTGCCGTAAGATATAACTTATATTGTACTGCTATTTACTTAACGAACTACGATGATATAGTTTGCTCTATCTAAACTTTACCCGTTGGAGACTATTCATAATTAATTAGAAACAAAAAACATTACCTTATATCAGATATTAAGTTTAATACGCTATTTTTACGATGAGAAATGTCAGTGATTATAAAGAATCTGAACGAATCCAAGTAACTGAATAATAATAGCCAACAAAATTGCGTGCAAGATTATACATTTACAATCACAATTTAATAACTACAGTAATATCAAAGCTTATCATAATGAAGACATACTGTACCAAGCATAACGAATTTCTGATTGGTATAATCAAATTATGATATCAAATGCCTATCTTTCCTTTGTTTCAATTAATCTAAACTGATGCATTGATAATGAAATATCCTGTATCAAGATGAGTTATAGAATTATCATATGGATCCATCAAAAATACTACTAATACTTTCATTATAAGGAATTTCGTGCTCACAACTTTGAAGATATTGAAATAGGCAAATTATAACATAAGTAAGGTTTAGGCAATCGATTGAACTTCCGGAATAAATCCTTCCCAGTAAGTGATCAACTATTAATAAAAGATTTTCGTTATTGTTATCAATCAGACATAATACTTTAAAACATAAACTTGAAGATGCCACTTACTTCCTCCTGCGTATGCAATAAAGATTCAACATAACGGATAATTATATCACGGAATTCTTTCACTCGTACTTTCTGTAACAGTAATGAAGATATCATTGGATCAAAAATGTTACTTACATTGGGCTTGTTCATTTCTTTAACAATAAATTTAGGAGCAATGGTAACTTTACCTCAAATCTTTCAATTTCATCTTTAATGTCATCAGAAATCTTTTCGAATGCTTTTTGTCCATTTTCAACCTTTGTTTCCCACTATTTTACGAATCAACACATTATACTAAACTTTGGCCATAACCACGTAAAATATAAATCTATTATCATATTTAACCTCCTTGATTTCTTGTCTAATTTGTTGCAGTTTCTCCGTTTTTCCTCCAGCTTGCGTCTTAGCTTCAGTTTCTCTCTTCTTCGTAAGCGTATTCTGGCAATTTTGCCAATGACTAAATACCTTCACGCGCTCATGAAAAACATTCTGCATAGCAAATGATATTAATTCCAGTAGTTTAAATAACAGGTTAGGATAGTTATTTTAGATAGCAGAATATTAGTTTAATTGCAGAATCTAATCTAATCTAACCTTTACAGGAGTTAGTAATCGAATGTAGTCGCTAAGTAATTCCGCCAAAAGAAAAAAGTCACTTTGGGTCTACAAGTGGCACAATACATAATGATTTTTTTTAGTGATAGCAAATATTAAAGCTAGCAAAACAAATACTTTTAGCCTGACCTGTTTTTGCATTAGCTGATCAATTTTCTCTTCTACATCTGCTAATTTCACGAGAGCATGGGATAGACCTGTATTTTCCTCAGCGTTACTAAGCATAGCACAAGCTTTTGCAAATTCACCCGTATTTTTAGCGGAATCTATTTCATGAGATAATCGCATATGAAATTTAAACATACTGTCAATGTATTGCAACAATAGCTGTAACAGCTTAAGGTTACTGAAGTGGTATTATAATTCGAATAAGGATAATTAAAATAAAGACCTTTTCTGGCATTTACAAGAGACATGACGCATTCATACAGCTTTTTTAATTGTAATTCCAAATTTTCAAATTGATGTGACTTTTCTTCGAACCACTAATACATAATAAATTACGCAAAATATTATTTTATGCTTAGATATATAAGACTACTTAGTAGAAAGATTGCATACTCTATCGGATTCTAGAGATTTAGACGTAATTTTTTCTACTTGATGGCCAAGTGTTTTGGCAAAACGCTTCAATCCTCCAACGCTTAATGCCGACATATTCGTAGCATGTGGTAACTATAATGAAGACCCCTTACAGTTAAAGTCTTAAGAGATTTCCAAGTAAAAATTACGGCATTTGCCTTACATCTTGCTCGTTCTCTAGAAACTCGCGCAGTTCCGTATCTTTCCTTAGGACTGGATGCGAAGCTGTACGCAGTATGTATCTAATAATTTAATAAAGAGTGATGCGGCATTTTAGAAAAGATATTCTGTCCAATTTGTAAATAGAAGTAGAAGGCAAATACCTCTCCAATGCAGCTCTTCGTTTTCCAACAAAATCCGAAGCACCGCCTCCTTCACTGAATTTGGCTTTTGTATTACCTTTATAAGAATATTCATACAAAGTAAATGACTGGTACTATCAGCATCATTCTAAATTAGTAGGAAAGTATGCTATTTTGTTGTACTTTACCTATCATACTCTTTTCCGGTGCTGGTGGAACTATCACTCCTTTCGGTGTATACTTCTCGCTGAGTCGAGAATATAGGGCTAGAAAGTCGCTAAAGCGACGTTTAACTTTCGATTCGCGTTTCTTGAAGAGCGGCAAGTTTGTCTAAAATGTAAGGTATATATACACGATATCACGTATATAATACAGAAAGTTTAACATTTGGAAGTAATACGGAATACATTCCAAATAGATTAATTACTTAGCGTTACAGATGCAGCAGTCCTTTTAAGCATAAAACTCTAAAGAACTGTAAACTTTTTATTAACTAAGTAACTAAGTAACTCCACCGCGACTGCTACTATACACGTACATAAGGATGAGTAAAAATATAAGGATTGCCATATTTTATTTTCAGTATGGTGCATAAATGTGTTATACAATTAATTGCCACTCGATAATAGTTATGTCATTGCAAGTAGTAATTTAGCTTTTACTGTTGATATGGATGGTTGGAGGATACGGATACAAATTGCTATACTGAATGTCGAATTACACTAAGAAGTTAACATCTGGTTAAAAATAAGTGTTAACGTTAAAAGTAATACCTTTGTCGTTATGGTATACTTATAATATGAACTCATTCCGTCACCTGTATGAAACAATATTTTGATAATGCGTTTCAATAGAACCCATAAAGATAGCATAACAATATAACAGTCATGGAGTTAAAGTTATATTACACTAGTGCAATGTGCTACCGAATGCAAATAGAACCTAATTGTATACTTAAGATACTTAGATGTGATTACTATCGTTACAGACGAACAGCTTACTATAAAATATTATAAAACTAAAACAATGACGCAATTCACTGACCAACTTTCTCCGGATCCGAAACCGATATTTCGATAGTTGCATCTTGGTCAGTGTCGTTACTTTCATCTTGATCTTCCTTAGAGGTCTATAGAGTGACCAGATTGTTTAAATATTCAAGCAATTGAGATTCCGATAGACAATTGTGCATCATTTATCTGAAGATCATAGTGAAATACTAAGACAGCCATAATGTGAACCTTCATAGATTTAATTCAGGGAGAATTACAGCAGCAAAACAATTTAAAATGAGAAAACTACTTCAGAAAAAGCAGCATATTAAATCGTACTAACTATCCAAAATAGTACGATCACCATAGTTTTACTTTTGCTATCAACTTTACAAAGGTAATATCAAGAATTTTAGAAAGAGATCTTTAGTACAGTACATTGCCGTAAACCATTCTACAATAGGGATTATTAACAATCATAAACTACAGTTAAACGATAATTTGTAAATACTACAATCGAGTAAGCTCAATTTTTATGTGTCTACGGACTCGCCCTCAGATTGCAGCTCTACCAATAGTTATGCGTAAAATCATCTTTCAATATTGTACAATTTAATGTGCGCTAGAGATCTTATAAGAGAGAGAAATGAATTATCTAATAACCCAAACACTCTCGTCTCTACTGTGCAGTATAGTGTACAGTACATTCAGTATAATCCAAGTAGCATAGATACAGTAGTTACTGTAGCTGTAATTCGAAAATTATAATCAGTAATTTTATGTTTGATCTCATTGGCAAAGAATGTGTATTTTCAATAGACTAGTGGTCGCAAAGACTCTATCGTCGTATTGCGCATTTTGTAATCATCCATTTGATAAAATAAAATTATACAATACTGTACAGCACTGTACAGTATAATTGCTAGCGGATAGATAACACTTTACTATCTTTGTGTGTTCGGGCTGATGATATGAAATATGTTAGTTATTTAATCGACCCGTTTTTTTAACTAAAGATTATAATTACGCGTATACATACTGTAGATTAATTAATTAGGTTAAGTAATTGATTTTAAACATAACTATGCTGATACATAACTGTTGCTTTCTTGTTATGGTAGTTTTAATGGCAACGGTACTTCAACTAATGTAAAGTATTGAGTTACCCCTATATGAAACGATTTAATCATGTTGAAAGTGTGGCCGATATAGTATCTCTAAAGTGAAAAATGAAAAAATCAATAGCGAAACTGCTTGCATGTGAGCGTACTTTGTAGATGTACGCGAAAGGGAGAATGTGGTATGGTAAACTGGTAGTAGAACGTATGCTGATGATCGTGGCCAGCATCTATGCGCGTATTTGGATCAGATCGGATATCAGATGATCGTTCAATTAGGCTATCGATGATAAGTTACTAACAATAAGCAAATAATTTATCAACAAGTCATAATATGACAATCCAATATCGCACTTATCATGTTTCCAGTCAGTAAAAGTAGAATCAAATCTGTCTTCAATTTGTATAATTCATAGCAAGAGCAAAGACTGTCGTATCTATTATGACCATATATTGAACACTCGTCCAGTACAGTGCTATGTTACAAAACAGTAGAGTACAGTATTTCGATATCCATTAATGTAAAGGCTATATATAATTACCTCAGAAATATCTGGATTCTGTTGGCTGTGATTATCCTCCTCCATCTCTACATGATGATCTACCTCCTGTTCTGCAATAGCAGCAATCTGTGGACTTGCTTGGGTTTCTTCATGATGTTCTTGCTTAACTTCAGTGGTAGTGGCGTCAGCGATTGCAGCAGCAGCGCCAATCGGTTCTTGGATTTCTAAAGTCGTTTTAATACCGACATCAGCGTCTTGACGATCATTAAGAAATATAGGCTCCTCTTCTAGTTCAGGTTGTTCAAAGCTTAGATTGCTATATTCATCGTTAGTATCGGAGACATTAGTTGGTTGGGTGGTTTCTTCATCCGAGTTGTTACTATCAAGATCCGGTGGAGGTTGTTCGCGTTCGGCCATGCTGCTTGGTAATGGTGGATTACTGCAGAGAGACTGATCAATTTGGTAAAGGTTACTGACGGAAAATTGGGGTATTGTCCACTGTACAATGTACAGTACACGATATGTAGGTGTATCATGCAGTATCACGGGTGGACCACGGTCCTTAATGGTTACGTAACTTCATCACTCCAATCGGATCCGATCCGATCCATCAGGGAGTTTATCCAAGGAGTCTGTGCAGTACGATCGGAAAATGACGACATTCAATCTGGTAACTCAAGCATTTTACTATGAGTGTGCAGATTTACGTGACAGGTACAATTACTGGCTTACGCGTACCGTACGGATAAACTGGACTGTATAGTATACAGTACAGTACAGTACTGTACGTACTGATACAGTCTATAGAAAGAAAAGCAATTGGAGGCCATTGCTTTCCACTATCAACTACCAACGGTACGAAATCACCTAATTCAATATTTGTCAATACTGCCAGCTGTACTGTACAATGTACTGTAAAGTACAGTACGGTGTACTGTGAAATGGACACTACTGTACTGTGTACTGTAAATGTAGCAAGTGAAAACAGTATCATTTTAAGACCACGTATGTTTCCAAATTTTGAATACTGCACTCTGCACAAAGTGCCTGACTAGCTAAAAATAGAAGATAGAGTAAAGTAAAAGTCCGTTTTGCTACAACGAAGATTAAAGATTAATTATTGTTATTGTAGAAGAGTAATACAGTGAGTGTTCTAATCTAGTCTACTTCAAGTTCAAGATCAATAATGGCAGAAGCACAAGACGCCTTTAATACTCCCCAAAAAGAGATGCCACACAACAATGCAACTCCAGTGGATGAAGCGGCTCAGATTCGAAACAGAAATCTAATTTCTGGTAATGCTGTTAGCAATCAACCAGAAACAATGGATGAACAAGATAATTCGAAAGAACCTTTAGGTAGTCTAGTTTGCAAAAAAATGATGTTCAAGTAATAATAAAATTCTCGATGATAATTTATGTTGTGACATCGATACTCTTACACCATACGTACACTGCACTGTATACATTATATACTGCATTTCAACAAACTTTATTAGTAATACGCAATATCGTAGTAAAAAATCGCTGGTAATATACTGATGATCAGCCCCTCTTTCCTAAAAAATAGATGCTATTTTCGTGTACACTACGTTGAATTTTACTTACACTTTCAATTTAAAGTGATCAACTAGGAAAATAACCCATTAGCTAATGATCAATAATACTGTGAGAAGTAGGCACTGCATTTGCTACAGTAATTACTACAGTATAATGTCGTTATTAGTCACAGCTTGACGATAATGTAATTCAACTAATTTGACCTACTGTAGTGCCAGACTTACGCATGCAGTATTTGCCGGTTAAAGACTAAGATTCAATACGATGTATTCATAAATGACTTCTCTAGCAACTTGGTTCACTTATACTTTACTCATGAACAACCAGTAAAGCACTATGGCTGTACATTGACATACAGATACGATGATCTCAGCTCCAACTTGGGTTGAATTACACTATGGCCAGCTTAATGTATGACATATGCACAGCACAGTTTGGTAGAAATCCTCAGAAATTTCGTACGCTCTATGATACTGTACTCTACATACAGCATGCATTATACAGCATAGATCCACACATAAATTCAATCGAAACATCTCATTAACCAACTACCTAATACCAGTGACCTGAAATAGTGTACTTAAACAAATCGACCCGTAAAATGTTTAGAAATACACCTTTCAAAAATTTCTACTTGCAAAATACAGTATATCCTGCAATAATTATATAATTAGCTGTCTTAGATTTCAATAACGGTGTACAGGCGTGTCACTATAATAAGATAAAAAAAGTAGGCGAGCCATTTGACGCGTACCTAGATCAACGAGTTATCCTTTAATTTCCTTTAATTTAAAAAATTGTTATACTTTTCAAAATTTAGCCGATTCGCAGGTAGCTACCAACGAAAATAATAAAGGTGTATGGAATTGGATTTCTACTGCTGTTGAAAGTAGTATAGGACTCAATGCAAGTAGTCTTGTCAAAACTGCCAAAGAAAATTTATCTAATGTTAAAGGCAGTGCAGTTGAAGGTGCTCAAGCGATCGGGCGCAATGTTGTTGAAACTACAAAGGTGAGAAAGCTATTGCTTATTATCTGATGAGCATGCTAGAGGTACCATGTGTGATAAGTCAATAGTGATGTAAGAAAAAAGATTGTTATAGCTGTTGAAGTTCTTGATTTGCAGCGGTATACTCTAACAATTTATGAATTAATTATGTATGGATTCTAGAAATCAGTAGATATGATGATGTCGACATTAGATCCTGGACTTTCTGCTAATCAAAGTATGTGTGTTATTGCATTGCTATAAGCAATTAGTAAAATAGATAAGGCAGTATTACAGTGATACTAATTCTTATACTACTATATTATATTGAGCCTTGAAGCAAATTTACGTAGTACTGCGTTATTAAAAACACCCTATCAATATGCTCTACTAAAAATCTAGATGTTGACAATCTACCCGTCGAGGTTATTGTGTCCGCAAGGAAAGGCTATGTCGTGCAGGCAGTGCACGACTCGTTTAAGGAAGTCTTTTATTATGCCACTGTAAGTTATCAACCTTTAGAAACCGTTTTAAATATGGCACCACAACCGGTTGGCTTTTCCGCAGGTCTTAAAGCTGCAAAACAAATGATTGCTCGTACTAAAGATGTTAACAATAATCGTCCTGACATAGTGTATGTTGGTGTCTCAATCTTTATTGCTGAAGTGGTACCCGGAAGGTGAAATATAAATTTATTTTTAAATCGCAGTTATTTATATACCTACAGTACAGTAAATACATCCGAATCTTTTTATTATTACGAAATGAAGCCACGCATACCTTTAATTAATAATGGTCATTAACTGGCCAATAACGATAATATTGCTGTATACAGTACAAACTGAAAAGATTATAACTTAATGTCTGATACTTTGAATAATTATGTTAATTAGGAGTATTTTCTTTTTTTAACAGTTGGTTCGAGATAACATGTGTAGCCCTTGAAGATATCGCGCATGATATTTGTTTAGAGACTTTCTCTCAGGCTTCCAGAATTCCTACTGAATATGTTTTGAAAGCACAAGAGCAAACACCTGATGATTACCCTTTGAGATGGTCAGGATTAGCTGTAACTTGTGGGCATCTGATTAGGGCTGATCGTGATATTGACGGAGATTGGCACGAAGAAATTTTTGGATTAAGTCTGCACGAAATTGTTGCTATAGCAACATCCGTTTTAGCTGGAGAGTACAGAAAAGCACTAGAAAATTTAATAGCTTCAGCCAGAGAAACTGCTGAAGCAATAATCGAAACTCAAATAAACTTAAAGGGTTCAGATTCAGTTATTGAATCGCTCATCGAAACTGAAGGGAACATATAATAAGCATTATTTAATTTGTCACGGTTTCAAATATAAAAAATTTTACTCAGGGCTTCCATCAAAGATATAGACTACAGCATTGTTTATGTCAATGATAAGCTATTTATATAAAATTGACATTTGTTATTTAATATCGTATTGTTCATCTGTCTCGAACTAATATTTGAATTATTTTAGATGCTTTGCTTAATTTCCTCACTAGTAACAGTATTTAAAATGTTGAACTTTGACTTACTTTTTTCCTAACAACAAAATATGGCTTAAGCGCAATAATTTTACTTTATATTGCCGAATGTATAGCAGATATTTACTAAGATATAAACTTAAGAAGGTAGCCAATGCGGCAATACTAAATTTATGAATTGCATAAGTTTATTAGAACGGACAATAATCCTATAGGTTCCACAAATATTCCCACAAACAGCCATCATTGACGTGATGAATCACTAGCAATTTATTGTTAATTATTGAAATTATAAAATGTTATTAAATATGTGTATCGTCGGTATTTTACTAAGGAATTAAAACATAGTAGGTTAGTTGTCATACTGCTGTCTATAGAAGAACTAGTCAGTTAGCATACAAGATCCTTATAAGAGAAAAGGTTAAATAGCAGATCTGATAAATGTATTTATAGCTTTGTACGGCTACTATTCTGTATCAACGATTTCTGCATCAACACATCAATACATTGTGGATTGCAGTCTCTGATTAATTATAATTATTAAAATTATCATAACTTCGTAACTTTAACCATAAATTGTAATTATACAGTGCCAATCATTTGGCTTAACAAATTTCATTGTATTATTATAAATAGCAATAATACACTTAAAATTACAAATGTAAAACATGCAGGTTCATAAATGATACCGTACTGTCTATGCAAATAGAATATATTAACTTTAGTAATAACTTTGAATACGAATGCGTATCCTACATAAATTTAAAATTCTACTGTTAAGTCAACAGAACATTATCCAATAAAATTTGGCAACGAAATTTCATTAAGGTCGAAGAAGCGGCTATTAATACAAATAATTACAATTATATGTTGATTCGCAGTTATACGTGTGTTGTAAAGTCGTATCAGATACAAAAAGTATTTTAAACAAAAATCAGATTACTAAAACCTTCGTTACCATTGGGTTACTATTCATTACAATCTGGTTGGTATTATTCAAAACATCTAGTGGATAATCACTAGCAATTAAAATGTTACTTCGTAAAGAGCAAGAATGTAGATTTTTTCTACAAACTTATATACTTCTATCAACGCTATAAGCTTCTGCAAGATTAGCTAGATTATCTAAAGCTTCTGAGTACGTGTCTTCTTCCATACCAGTTTCTTTAAACTGATGATAACGACGAAAAGCGACTTTTTCGGCTTGATTGAGTAGAGATTTTAGGTAATGTTGACTAGCACAAGTCGATTCCAAACTTGCTATAGCCGCCATATTGCAAGCATCTATGAAAATTATATAAAGATAAATTTTTAGATATAGATAGGATCTAGGATATCACTTCTGATCACCTTCCATCCATCTAATTTATTAATTCGAAAAAGTATGCCTACGTCATAATTATACTAGCAATATGACAGTGCAGGATTACCTAAGTTTTGTAGCTCTTTTTCGTTACTAATCAGAATAAAAAGAATAAAATGATAGTAAGCAATAATAATAGTTAAGTGGTCAAAGTAGGAAGGCTGCATTAGCTATCATTGCGGTACTTACTACCAAATTAAGAATTAAGATACAGTAATTGAATGTAACATTCTCATAAATATTGGAAAGTTAGGCAAAACCTATGCTATCATACCTAGCCTTTTTATAGAATTCTTTTGTGCTATTCTTTGAAAATATTGACGGAAAAGGTGCACTGACGTTGCACGCATCATTAACAATCGAGCACAAGCTGCACATAAGCAAATAATATTTAACTTCTTATAGATGTATTACCATAGATATAAGTATATTTATACGTTTTCCCAATATAACAGTAAAATTTCATTAGTTCGTTGTTACATACCTCAACGAATTAGGATATGATTTAAATAACAATTTCTGTAACATCGTTTTTGGAGTATTATTATGTTGCAAACTTTCGGACATCTCTCGAGATGGTACACTCCTATTCCCTCTAATATTTAGCAGTGAAATATACTTTATGATAACTGTAGTTGCTTGTATAAAGAAACTATATCACATCACTTACTCAAAAGGAGAAGTAGTAATGCCACGTAAGGTAACATAACGAGAAAAGGATACATTCTAAAGAATGGTTTATATTAATTAGTTAAAATTCTATTAGCGGTAGTCACGGTAAGCGATGTATTTAAATTGCAATGTAAATGCTTACTCTTTCTTTATGTTCAGGAGATATGCACGATAAAATAGAATCCAAATCTCCATTAAGACTTTCAAAAAAAGTACCCGAGCTAGCACCATTGTCAATCGGCAGTGGAAAGCCGGTAGATAACGATAATATCTGTATATACGCGTTTATAGTTAAAACATGGAAGGTAATAATTGAGCACTTGGAAAGATTACCACATAAGCTGGTTAAAATCAAATTTAAAATACTAATCGCACATACTTTATTAAAATTTTTCAATTTTAATACGTATATTATCATTCAAACCTTGCGCTCAGCTTCCGTTAGAGCATCGTAAAGATGATCGGCAGTAAAATTGCTAGACAGAGAACTACAAATCTTCTTTTTTAGTATAATTATAATCGAAGAAATCATGCATATATCTTTTACTTATTCAATAATTTGATCATTTTCTAACCGATAGGGTAGTGTAGCGGTATCCAAAGAGGCAGCAATGATACTACTAGTGTGATACATCGAAAATGGCTATAAATTTAAATCAGGTAAGATGCATTAGAGTTGTAATAATTACATATCACAAATGAATGTTACTGTTATTATATACATACATACAACGATTATACAATTTTTATATCATTAACTTACATCATATTTTATGCTATTAAATTTTACTGGTTCAATACAACCGACTGCTGCTGATGTATTTAGTGACAATGGTAGGGTTGCATTACAATATTCGTGGTAGTTGCACAGTGACAACACAGTGTTTATAATAGTAAGATCAGTTGATGCGTCCTAAGTATTAAATTGATAATTATCAACCATAATTTACCAAATACACGATATAGTCATAAGCAGGATTTACCATTGCATGGTTTACTACAGGGAATGGGTTAATATTTATTATTGCTTTCGACCGGAATTCGCTTCGAAGGTCTTCTATAATTTTGTATCCTAGTCCACCAAATCCATCATAAATATCTGTAAGTATATGAAATCCCTAATAAAGAACAAAATAGAAAGAAGACAATAGTTACTAATTGCAAATCTGATGTAGTATAGTAGTATATCATTTTTGCAATAAACTAAAGTAAAGTCTAATTACTTGGAGATGATCGCACTCCTCAGTAAAAAAATGTAGCTTATCTTCATATTCTTCAGCCATCTGCATAATGAATGATAATTTCTATCAGATATTTTTACCCTATAATTGATGAAATGAATAACATCCAAACGACCATCGCAAGATGACTTCCTATACCTTATCATAAACATTCAAACCGTAAGTGAAGGTATCGAACGGAGCAAATGTAGCATTATGCATGAATTGTGGCACAATACATAATGACTTGGGGTGCCAGTGTATACGAAGAAAGTCAGACCAAACTGATATTTCGCTATCTAAGTTATTGTATATTCTGTCTCGATTAACTCGAGAAGTATTGCTGTGACTACTACTACCCTTCGAATTCTCTGCTTGACCCAGTGTATCCTTGTCCTTTGCAGAGTTCAAAGCTTCCTACATATAAGAACATACAATATTAACCTTCGTATGCCATTCCCAAAATTAAAACTTCTACAGTATATTCTATAACAGCTATCACAAACTCATTACAAATTGCTTATTTTATTCTGCATAACAGCTACTGTGTCAAGTTTATTAGTAAAATTTATTATATGTTTTAACTAGTAGTAAGAATCAAATGTTTTGAATAGCGAAAATAATAAAGGTACCCTCTGCCTACTATCCATCACATAAAGATCGCAATGTTTAATAAAAATCAATAACGTTTAAGTTGCAGGAGATTTTAGTTGAACTTACTTTGATTTATTTGAAGTAAACTATCAAGTGCTGTTTAATACTGTACAGCGTTATAAATTGTTTAAGTCTTGTATGAATTACACCTATTGATTCACTCTGCTTACGTTATCTTCATATTCTAAATCTTGCAAAAATTGATTTTTTAAGGCAGGTTCTGTGTAATGTTGCTCTGTTGAACCGGACCTAAGTAGTGTAATGTACGGATAAGCAATTCATTTCGAGTACATTATTATTAGCATCATATTACTTTTCGTGGAATCCTCAAATATTATTAGTGCAGTTATAAAAATTACTAAAATGGCATAATAAGTTTCGCAATACCACAACGTAATGGCTAATTTCTCAATCGAAATCGACAATTAGTTTTTACTCAAATATGAATCATACCATGAAGGTAATTGATTCTGTGAGTCAGATTCCTTTGTATTATAAAGATTGCCTTCTTCTTTTAAGCTATTCAAGCTACCTATATGCGCAGATAATAGCATAACCGTATAATCAACGTTATTAGGAATAGATGTTCCATTCATATTAGTCTATTATAATTAGTAATTTTGTATTTATTTATTTGCAAAAGAATCAGTATCATTTTACTTTATTTCTAATAATGCCTTTATACTCAAAGATTAAGTACAAATACAATAGACGTTCTACAGCATTTTCTATTTTATCTTATGATAAATTATAACTATTTGAAAAGAATGTTTTCACTGGTATGAAATAAAACACCCGCGTACAGTATACCGAAGGGTGTAAACCTAGTGTAAGTCATGAAATGACACTGGCAATAATGTACGTAGTGCATGATAACTATGAACGAGAACACATTTTAGAAATATGTAGTAGGTTGTAGACAATATAGCTCAATTTCTGTAAGGTAATTATGTAAGACTAATCTTATACATCTTCAATGCAATCAATTTCAGAAAGGGAGGGAACAGTACAGTATATCGTCATTATGCATAGCTAACGGATATCGGATGTGGTGCCGTTTATAGTATATAAGAATTAATATAAATTTATAGATATCTATTTTTACCTTTCAAGTCAAAAGCTATTAATCTTGGTGTATAAGTTACTTGACCCTACAAAGATGATAACAACATGTTGAGATTTGCACGATTCATTCCCTCATGCTGCAGAGTAATTGAAATGTGCAGCTAGCTATCTTACATTTCTTGTCATGCCTTCTCTAAACAGAACATCATGATCAATGTCCGACGTTGTAACTTTAGATGGATCATAAATAAATGATCCTTCCTAGTATATAACATTGAAAAATTCATTTTAGTAATCTAAAAATGTAAAGTACTGTATATTTTCTACGTTTAACTAAACAATTCTTTGCATCTTCTAGAATGTTTACAATCAAATCAATGAATAACATTGCATCGGCAAGAATGATAGGATTCTTTACGACCTGCAAATTCCACCAGTGTGCACCAACAAAATTGGAATAATGACCAATCTGTATTGATAAAATTTCTCCACGATTCATTAGGCAACTTTTTGAAGCAAAGTAAGTTAGTGATAATTAAGGAAGAAAAGGCCTTTCCCAGCAGATTCCCAGCTACTTACCAACACTCACACAGTACAAATCAGCTGGAATCGCATATGATATACTGTACTGTATGGGTATGAGTTGGCCAAACCAGCCCAGTCGTTATGTGACGATAGGAAGCCCAATGAAGGACTGTACACTGTACAGTAAGTACTGTACGCTACTAGAAACATACCGTACTGTGCACAGTACATTATGCTAAATACTCGTACTGTACTGTACAGTACAGTACATACCTGGTTGCAGTAACGTGTGGAACAGTAAATAATTCTGCTCTGGCAGTCTAGCCCTAATCGTTTCAAAGATAGAGAGGTAGGCAGGGCAGTAAAATAATGTCGAAGCGAAACGGCCCGAGGATCCTAAGCAATCTTTCGAAGGAAGCCATACCAGTATCTAGTAAAGGCAACAGAAAAGACGATGTTTTAGTACAGCCTCCACCTTTATACCCGGTAAGAAATGGATTGTACAGTGTGATAACGCACTCTGTTCGCAGTGTTCAGCACAGTACTCTTACAGTCTATTCAAATGCTTTTACTACTGCATGAAAATAACTACTCACTTAACAAAAGTATTTAACTAATGCAAAGATCCTAAAGTACCGGTTGCAGCCGCTTATAGAATCCTAGAATTAAATTAATCCAGGTCGTAATTAGTTGGAGCCAGCGTTGATAGTGATTATAGTTACATAGACAACGTAAGTGACTAAATTTCATAAAAGTAAGCTTGTATTACTAGTATATCATATTCCTGAGGTGATTCAACAAATTGGAGCAACACGCATGTTAAGTGTACAAGTATACTGTACACTGTAGACTAGTGTAGAGTATAGCAAAAAATTGTTCTTTAACATATACTCTACACGTGTCTTTAGGCAAAAATCATGATTAATTGCAGTATAAGGCAATTCTAGAACTTACGAATAACACATGTTATGAGAAAATTATATTGAGCACGCTTTATCAAGTCTAAGTGTATATTAAATTTATTTTAAATTCCATTTTTAATAATGATAATGCAGTAAAATATATCGTGTCATTCCAATTCAGAATCGAAGCTGGATCTTGCCTGTAATTAGCAATAGAGGACTATCTTAGATTTCAAATTGTTGTATACTGTAATTCATCGAAGTAATGTCCTAATTGTTCAACTGTTACTCTTGTTTTAGAAACTTGAATGTCTTCCTGTTCCCTGCAATAAGACCAAGATCGATATTTATATCAATGCATTAAAGAACGAGTTTAGAGAAACGTTAAGAGAGTCACCTTACTATATAAGGGCCCGAAATCGTGCAAATGGTTAGAACAGTGATTTATTCTGCATATTCTTGAATACTGCATTTTTATTCGTATTGCAATTTTAAGTAATCAATTTTATGATGCTATAGCTTCAATCAGATATACAGTGCTTAGTTTACCAAATGCAACCATCACTCCATTATTCTAAACACACTGATGATAATTATAATTATATAGGCGTATATAATGATTACAAATATTAATAAATGTCAAATTGCTTTTTAATCAAATAGATATTAGAAGGTACTCCGACAGGTATAGACAAAATTGCGAAAACATCTCTGCTATTCCTTTTAAACTATGTAAGTACTAAAACATTCATCTTGCAAAACCGTATAGATAGCTATAGTTAGAATAGACAGTATTGCTATGAATGATCTAACGTTATATAAGACTTTACGAAATTACTTGAAAAATTTAAAGCAAAATTTTTTACCTAAAATGTTGTAAGGACAGAAAGAGTCGTATAGCCTGTTTAGTATAATTACCTTCAGACATTGCGTCTGAAATTGAGAGTTGCCGTTAAGATATGTAAAAATTGTATTTTTATTACTGTATATACTGTAATCTTTATGAGCAATCAATTATTATCAGCAGAAGTATTATGGATACGTTATATTCTATTTCAAATATACCACGTAAATGCTATGATGACAATAAGATCTTAACATTCTAGTACTATGAAACACATTAGTACTCATATAAGTCAGTATTGCAATAATTTGGCATATCTTTAACTAGGTTGGAAAGATGTACCGAAAGAGCTAAGAATCAGCCGCAGAATCAAGAAGGTCTTTGCAGGTAACACCTTTAAATTGTTCCGTGTTTATATCACTCAGTATTTAAAAGGCTTTATTTCATATCTGTCTAGCTCCAATTTCTGTACGCCATCCTTCCATGAAATCTAGACTTAGTAGAAATGAGATAGATCATTTAGAGGTTAACCCATTACATATAGGACAATTGAATGCGTTGTATTATTCTATTCATATTTTATAATATTAAGTAATCTATAACATAATGTACCTCAACTTTGAATAGAAATTAACCAAAATTGAGGAAATGTTGGAGAAAGAGGAAGAAGAGGACCATGAGAAACAACAAGAGTTAGAAGATGAATGGGAGGAAGAAGACCAAGACGAAGTAATTGCTATTGATGTAACCTTATTTTAACTAACTTAAAAAGAGCTTGCAGTAAAATTTTCGATCTGCAACCTTCTATTCGAATCGATATGTAATTAAATGTTTCCTTAAATGTATTGCATTTGCTAGCTTAGTACTTTAAGATTACTTCTCAACAATTAATTTATTCCTATTGCGTTGTAGGAAACCGATTATAATTTAACATACTTTGATAACGGTGAGGACTACGGTTTCCAGGAAGATGATGATCTGGATAATGAAGCTACTTACTAAAATATGCAACTAGTTACTGTATAAATTGTAAAATAACAACTTAACTATGATTCATAAAACATTTAATTGCCATGATATTCTTATTAATATATGCATATCTAAACAATTATAAATGCTATACAATATTTCATATGCGTTTTAGCACATACAGGCAATGTATTATATAATCAACCCCTGCTGATTTTCTTGAATCAGAAAATTCTGTATGTAATCAGTTGGACGAAAGCACATCCATACAGTAATCGTATTTTTATTTCTGGAATTGGATATAATAAAATACACTAGCATAATTTTTCCGAAATTTCGAAATTGCAGCACCTATAATGTTGATAACATTGCGTTCCTACGATCAGGTTATACGTATATTCTGTATACGTTTCAACATTATACCATCACAATACCTTGTCCTATGTAATATTACACGATTACTAATATTCATCTGTGTGGGAAAGGTTTTCAATCCTACTTGTATGCTTATAAACTAGGAGTAGGTATGTTGTACGAGATAATACACTTAGACTTTCCGTGCATGTGATTGTTATGTCTCAGGCTAGTAGAACCTTTACGAATAGTGACGCGCACAAGCTTAGGTGATTAAGAACTCCTTTATTGTACCTGGTCCGCATACCAAAGATACACTAATACAAGCTACAAATGTCGTACTATACATAACAGTGATCCTAATTAATGCTAAGTTTTTTGTCGGTTCTGATCAGCTTTATTTGCATTCAGTAGATATTTTTATTTCGATAGCAAGATTATGGCCTTTTATGTATAGTAATACTGTAATAGCCTGATTAACGAATAAAATATGACTTCATTTCTTTAAGCTGTGAAATATAGTGATTTCAATACAATATTGCACGATTTAGGCTCGATATCATAACTTCATTATGATATAGCAGTACGTACGAGGTACGTACACTAACTGGTATACGACAAACATGCGCAACTATGTTCATAGGCTTTGAGCCTTTTATATTCAATCTTTTATAGTGTTCATAGTGTAAGATACAGTAGATAGCAAAGTTTTTGCTAATGCTAATATACAGTACCATAAAATTATCGTATACAAGTCTTTTTCGCTTTTTTGTATCGCATACACGGTCACATTAATATAAAATTGTATTTTAAGATAAACTGCTTTATCCTCATGTTACGCACTTGTATATACGACTGACTAATAGAAGGACTAAAATGGAAATTACTGGTCTGTAATTTCACACTTGATTATCCTTGTTTAAGCATGCAAAATGCACGAATGTACTACATACTATATGGACGTACTCAGTAGAAAATTGCTATGATTTGAATATCGAGCATAACCAGTAACACGTTAAATGTTGTACTATTGACTTTATAATCAAGTAAAGAAGAATTATTTTGAAGATGGAACCACGGGATATCTTCACTAGCAAGCTACAAATTCTACATTGCTCATAATAATTATACTGTATTATCAATGCTCTTGAGTCTTGATATTTATTTTGTTGGTCTTTAAACTGACATTACTACTTTACAGTTCAGTATAGCTTATACCATATAAACTATTATACTTTCGTCGTTTACATAAAAATTACCATTGTGTGCAAGGTAGAGACCCTGAGAAAGATACGTGCTAAGTCAATGACAACCTTTTGTTAAAATTAATGCAAAATATCGTAATCTGTACCATTCAATTTCTAAGTTGTAGTAATAATGTTTACTTGTTGCCACAGTCTCACGTAATATCATGTTTAAACAATTAATTTCATACTTCAAATTCAATATCTACTGTACATTTTGACCGACAATGATTATATCATTAAATAGTCTTAAATCATTACATCATCTAATTGTCAACAAACAATTAATGAATTGATCAGTACTTTCTTACGAATGCACATTGGTATATTGTATGTAATTGCGTATGACATATGCTATTATCTATGTAACATATGCGCACGAATAGTAGAATCTATAGACATATGCTACATTCCGTCATAGAGATGTGCATAATTTATTCAAATAATTTAAATGAATGAAATTTATCGAGTGAGGAATGCTTGTAGTTCTATCTGTAAAATCCAAAAAGGTCAAGGATTAGATTATGCAAATCATGAAGTTGCGCATAATTTAGTCGTTTATTGTTATGTTTTATTCATTCCTGATTTGATCATCTTGGTGCTGCCGTTCATATACTATTACCGCATCCTGTATATTGTAAAGATAAGGATATAGAAAATCAGTTATCTAGAAATAATAAGCCAATCAATAAAGGACCCTCAAGATAAGCGAGATCTTCATAAACTGTCAAGTATATAATATCCACTTATAAATAAGCAATGTACTGTAATAATTTAATGCTGAATTATAGTCTACGATATTCTCTTTATATACATGCAAATACGCTTTGTACAGTTTATAAATCATATCAGAATATGATATATTATAATATTAAAGCACACAAATAGAAAATTTACTTACATGTGCGCGATCCAAAGTGCACTGCATGCGCATATATATATTTACAAAAGTAAATAAGCAATTAATCTTTTGAATATATCCATACACCTAGTATATAGCATATAGTATCCATTTAAATTATATTATACAGTAAACGGATCGATGAAAACTTGCGGGTTATGCTAGTCAAACCTTCCGCAACATTGTATATACTCCAAATGTTGATGTGATTAGGACATATAAAAGTCTGTGATATCTGTGTGCTATTGCTGTAGTAGAAACTACTCAACTAAAATCTACAGCATTTTAGATGAATATTGTAATTCCTAAGGTTTAATATCAATTTTATTTAATTAATAATCTTCGATCGTATATGGCATTTTGTACAGATATAATAATTAGAAAAATACAAGTTGCTCCGCAAGGTCTCGTACATTATACATATAAATAGAGCCTTTAAATTTTACAAAATTCATTAATCTTAGAAATTTTTCATATAAGTACGTGTATACATATATATAACATAATAAAGTACAATATATCAATCATTTTTATGTTTTATGTAAGCACGCGTACAGTGTATATTTATGATAATTATTTACTGTGTCCCTATACCTATATGCATATACTGTATAATATACAGTACACGATATATATAGTGAACAGATATCTACGCTATTTGTAACAATACTCACTATAGGCGAATTTTTAGTTATTCTATGTTGTTTAATAACTTGTTAGAACGATAGTATAATCGACGCAATACGGGTACATTTTAATGTAGCTCTGTTATTATTCAATAATGCTAACGCCCTGATATAGGTCCTTAGCTGTAAATTGATGAATGAATGTTTACAATTGACTTGATCTGTTCAATTTATGACTTAATACGATAGGCAATTTAATTTCGATCATTGATACTGCTTTTACGCACACCGTTAGCAGTACAGTAGTATAGACCGGTTATTACGACGTGACTTGTAAAATGGTTGGAGCGACCGAACAGTGACTGATCGTTTTGTATTAGAAACTTTAAAGAAATATAATTATTCAATACTGTGATAAAAAGCAATAAATACATGAAGTGCCAATTGCTCAAGGTTGTACTAATCTGTTTTCATGGAATTTGAGCCCAATTTAAAGTATATTTCTTCACAATTTAAAGATATAATTTAAGGCAACACTATAGCTGAACATCTTTCAAATATTTTCGAGGGCTTGCCACGCCCCTATAATCGTGGTCTTATACAGTACATACAGTACAGTACAGTACTGTACTGTACAGTCACTACTGTATTTTAGAGTACTATACACTGTACAATATAGTGTCCAGTAGCCACAGTAGTCATCTGACAGCTCTGTCCGTCTGTATACTTATCTAACAGCACTCAGGCAAAAGCTATTACACTGTCGTGCTATCGTTTGAACAAACAGGGGCAGGTGAAAGCGAACGAATGTACATACAATTTATTGTACAGTACAGTAACCGGCACACCAGCCCACACAGTTAATATTTTCGTCTTTTTAATCCGATTCTAAATGACGTTTCCATTTCACCTTATGTTATACAATCCTTGTCTGGATAAAATTCTATAATTATCGTTGATCAGTGCGTATGGTGAAGGCTGTCTACTAACAGCCCCATGAATCAGGTTGCGTATATTATTGCGCAAAAGTCCCCCTTGAAGTGAGTACTGTATACTATCAGAGCGGCTATCGTACTCATTTTAGTGCTCTACTGTAGTGTGCAACATCGATGCCTTTACTCAATCGTTGCTAGTTTTGCTGTCGACGTTGAATTCACAACTAGTTGCCTTATCGTCTACTTTGTGAACGTAAAGAGGTAAAGTAAGATAATTTTGCTTATTGATACGATATGATTCAATTATGATCAATATTGAAATGAATACCATAAATTGCAATGTTAATCTGTTACTTCATCGGGTTGCAACGATTGAAGATGATTTCTAAGATAGTTATATGTACGTATATGTATATGTTATATATATATACTCTACTAAATATCCTGTAATGTATTGTATTATTCTCATCACTCACTGGCTTTAGAAACATCCAATGTCATCTACCTGTTGGTAGTCTTTCCTCTATATCGACTAAGTTGGTACAGGATTGCAAAAGAAGATACGTTTTAAACTAATCTGCTTCATATCGACTATACTGCACGTCATACGGTAAACGTAGAGCTTCGGATACCTTGATCACTTGGGACACCAGACGATAGCTTGTATTACATACTAGTGATACTACACAGTAGAACAGTGTTAGGACATCTTTATTGATAGACGCATACGTTCGATCGATCGTGCAAGTAATATAGGAAAATTCATTCACAATTTACTTTAACTAATCTCAGCAACGAGTAGGAAAAGTCCTTGATTTAGATTACAATCGATTCAACATTAAGCACAATAAATGTATTGGCAAAATCAAGGAACACTTCTTTCATTACTGATGTAATGTTTTAAACTCAGTAACATATTGAACTTGTACGTTGAACTTATCGACTACTGTCATAGCACATTGTTGGTAGACTGTAGAAAAAATTGATTTTTTAAACTCTAATAAGGTACTGCAGGGTACTAAACCTACAGTATAATAAAAGTTAAAAGTTGCTATCATTAATTATTACGATCATAGCCCACCGTGGTAGCCGAATACTAGTAATATAGCCACGGTCTTTCTAACTCAAAATCATAAACTTTTGCAGTATTACCTTCGATTTGCAATTTTGTTAAAATCTATCTATTGGACTAAACCACTTGATAATTGCAAATTGGAAAAACTACTAAATTTACCTAATGGGTGAATCAGACAATACCGATGAAAAATCGCGATTAATCACCGATGGTAGCGGTCAAAGAAAAGCTGCTCGCAGCAGTAAGACTCAATTTGTGCGAAGTAAACGCCGAACTTATTTATTTGGCGATCGTGGAGCTACCGATGCAAGTATTGGTGGCGATGATGAATCGGAAGCATCAGAGCTTAGAACAAGGTTTGGTAAAAGTCCTGATGATGACGATAACATCAAAGTGATCCAACGCCAGATACGACCGGAAGATTCATTAAGAAGTTTTGCATTGCAATACGGTTGTACGGTAAATCTTATATCCCATTCATGTGTAATTTATAAATGTGAATACCTATTAAAAATTGTCATACCACAAGTATAAAAATGTGGTTAATTTGATTTCAATAATCCTAACCGATCAATAATAACACTACATTCAAGCTGATAGAAATTGACACTAGTATACATATAATATTTAATTCATTTCCTTATTGTACTGGCCATTTAAAATAAGAAAAGCAATACACGATAGTACACTACCTTAAAGTGTGGTTAACAACATATTGAATTTTTTAAGTCTAATAACTTCCAACATCATCAGAAATGGTCATTTTGCTCACATGCTGTGTACTTCCAAGTACCATTTTCCTATTTTTGTTTTAGTAAGCTTTTAAAAGTAATAGCTCATATTAATTTATATCTAACTTTATACTGTATGTTCATAGCTACACTAACTTTTACAATGGCAATTGCAAATCATACTTGCTATTTCATTAATAATTACCATACTGATAAATTTATAGAAGTGTTTACAATCACGAATTAAATCATTTAATTACAATCATGATATGACAGATGAAAAGTATCACTGATGTAAAGAAAATATAGTTTATGTTCGTGTAGTACATGAAGGTATCCACACAGACTATTTTTCAACCATCTCTTCGTCTTGATTGCGATTCCAATGAGGTCATAATGATCGCCATTGTTGCCTTGTCACGTTGTCACAGTGACATATTGCCATCTTTGCCATACGATTGTACCTTGTGCGAAATTACTAGGCATTAGTATTGTAGTAACAGTTCATCGCTTCGAATTAAAGTTCTGTATCATTCACTAAATTTCTACATTAAGAAATACAGTTATATCCTAAATTTTACTAGACGAGCTAGCCATGTTAAGGCAGCAGTAACGCTTTGTCTACTTCATATAGCCCTTAAGGATTGCTGGAGCAAATTTTTAGATAACGTTGCTATAACTGTGGTACAGACGCTATCTATCTAAAAATTTAGTCAGATAAATTGATTATTGAGTAAACGTGTTATTAGTTCTATCTCAACGGTGAACAACACCATGCTACAGTCGAAACTTCCGAATAGAAGGTTATACAGTTCATTACTGTATACAGATAGTCTGTTCGTTGCTATTATTATAACTTACGAAGTAAGAATCTTAAATACATTATAATAACAAATATGACCGTTGAAAGTAGACTTGCAACAAAGTTAAATTTTAACCAACCTTTTATTAATATGGCTACATACTGTAGACGTGAATCAGGTCTATACGGATATTTACTAAGATCAATCCCATATTAATTAATGCAGAGTTATAAGGCATAATATTGTAATAATTGGTTTAATTTCTTCACGCTAAGTGTTTATAGATATCAATTTGCTAAGAAATGTTACCACTTAATATTATTTCATTAAAAATATAATCGATTAATAGAATTCACTTATATATGCAGTAATTCGTAATCCTTATCGTCATTATCATAATAGTACTTGGAGAATTAATGCTTAAAGTTGATAATTACAAAGTATAATGCATAGTATAATGCATAGATCTTTCTATTGTGATTTTAGGTTGCGGATTTAAAGAAGATAAATAACCTCTATACCGATGCAGGATTTTACGCTTTAAAAACAATAAAAATACCTATTAAAAAATATGGCGTTTTAGCTGAAGCAGAAGAGGAAACCCAACTTAAACTTAATCGTTCCGCAGGAACTGAAGCTGAACCTGGAACTAGTGAGACAGATGATATTGAAGGCGATTTAGCTAATCCTGATGAGAAAGCTGAAAAATTCTTTAAAGAAAAAGATATCGAAGTAGAAAAATTAAAGGAAGCAACACAGAACACTATCAAAAAAATGGATGACGATGATCCTGAAGCACCTTTAATGTTGGGTAATACACCCAAGAAAGAAGATAAAAAGTCACTAGGCGCAGATTGTGGATTAAGTTGGGTTGGGGTTTTGGTCGTTGTTGTTATAATTGGCATCGTTGCCCCTGTACTTTACTATCTGTACTACACATACTTTAATAATTCCAATCAAAATGAACCCGTAGAATCTCCAACTCCATCATCTCCGTATTGATATTAATTTGCGGCTACCAACACGATGAAATATACAACATGAAATGTAAGTGTATCAAAAATAGATACCATATATTCAAGTCATATTTTTCTTGCTAATTTGTTATAATAATAGCTTAATAGCCAATAACGAAAGACTTGTTACAAATATCTATCAAAGATAAATATTCTTAGTTTTATACTGACTAGTCTTTCGTCAGCTGAATATATCTATTTTAAAATTACAAAAATATTATTATAAGCATTGTGCAATGAAAGAGATGCTTATTGGATAGGATACAGGTTCTTATTTGTGATTCTATTATTAACAGGAAATCTGATATATGTAGAAATCATCTTTGAATTTATGCCATATTACCCTGCCTTCAAGAAGATAAATAACGTCAAGTTGTCGTTAATTACTAAATTTATAAGCAATGCTGCTTGTTGTTGTAGACGGTCGTTATCGAATTTAGTATAGCATATGCAAATTATCTATATCAGTAATTTATTTATTCTTCAACAAGAATTACTATGTACATTTTTAATATTATTTATTCGAATCACAGAATTGCGTAGATTGTCATACGTAAGATACACTTATTACTAAAACGGGTATCATATCCCGTCAATCTGCCATACATCAATTAATAACACAGTACGACAACAAATTTTAGTATATATATAGGAAATTAAGCCTGGCCATACCAAAACTTGCTATTTAATATAATATAATTTAATTTAATAGTCAAAGGAACTTTGAGACAATTCTTGCTTTTATAACTTTATTAACTATACACCTGACTACACTTTGGAATTAATATGCATACAATTAGGAAGTCATATTTTCGGTAATACAGTAATTACAATAATATTGTTATTTGATTATCGACATCGTTTTCCATAATTTCATCCATAATCCCATACAACTTCTCTTTCATACATATTATGACTCCAGTTAACTTAAAATATCTGTTTGACCTTACTGAAAAAGATGGAAAAATTGAACCAAATTGGTGAAAAGCAATCTTCTGAACATATAATTGAAATACATGTGAAAGTTTTTACTTAAAACCTTCTTTATCGCAAATCTTTTAGTTACTTTGCCGTATTACTAAATTTTTGAAATACTTTTTACAATACGTACCTTTATTTTTGAGTCCAAACGACAAAATGCGATATTGTATTGCTGTAGAAACAGAGCGAAGGTGGTAGAAATAACTTATGATAGAATTATTTTTACTTCGTCAATGCTGTCACAGTTAATTTTATCATCATAACAGATTAACATTCGTTGTTTTCACTATTCGCAACAAATTCGTGAGAACATACTACATTATGGCTTTCATTAACATCACTTTCCAAGAATTCAATGTGTGTAATTAGCTTAATAGAAGAATTATTTAAAATATTATTTGCACTGTTATGAAATGAGTATGAAATGGTTCCTGGGATAATACAAAAATTTTTACGTAAGAATTTTATATCATGCTTTATTAATACAGAAACTATGCCTACGCACTCTTTGATAATAATTACAGCTGAAATTGTATTAATTCTCCATAAATATCTTGTTTAAATTCGTCTACAATACTACAGGTAACATCGAACATGGATTCCTTATAACCTATCTGTTCTGATATAAAATGCAATTTACTTATAATTTTAGATAAATTCATTTCAGGAATAAGTTAAGAACTTTTATAATTTCAATCTTTGCTATATACCTAATGAATTGCCTTTGCAAATTAACAAATGTTCAACCTGTGAAACAAATAACAATGCTGAAATGCTTCTAAAATTAAATTGCTAAAATAAAAAGGAAAAATTTCCATTATTGTTTTGGTTTTGATACGTGATTTTTGTAGATAATACTTTTATATAATCATAAGAGCTGTGACTTTTCAGTGCATCATGCTGAAAAAGATATAACACTATGATGGTACTTATAAATGAAATATTATCTAACAGTTGCATTACTGCAGTACCCGTAGCGATATTTCTACCCTATCCATTAGTTGAATAAAAATGCTGGTCTCGTTGCAAGTTATAAAAATAATACGTACCGCATTGTAGAATACCTAAATACGAATAAATAAATCTATTTACTAATGCTCCCTAAGTTAAATTAAATTTTAAGGTTACCTTTGGACGCAATCGATTAGTCATTAATTTTTGCGATCAAATAATACACACTACCATTAGAATAGTATTATGTCGAAATGTATTAAAATTTGGAGATATTATCCAACGCTTTGCATTATATTAAGGTAGAAATGTAGCTACGTTGAGGTGAAATATATCCGTGCTTATTATGACCAAAAATGTATCATCGCACTTGATTTCATAATAAAAATGTATATAGTATACTGGAAGTAATCAATTTTATTCTACTGTACAATCGGAAGTTTAAGCTGATTAGTATAATAAAAAATTGGAGCAGAAAATTTATTTGGTTTTATGTGACGGAGGGTTCGAAGGGTCAACGGCTGCGGACTTAGTAGCCCATTCACAGAAATTATGCAAGGGGTTTGAATATCAGTGGATATTTTATTGTAGGTAGTAACGGAGGTACAATGCGGTAGTTACGATAGATCAGCGTGTAAGCTGTCGTGGAAGGATCGTGAGGAAGTGCTGCTACTGCGACTAATGCAACTGACAAATCTGAGGCAGAAATTATCAGTATTTATAGATTAAGAGATAGAACACATTCAGAGAGCAGGATTGTAGAATTAGATATTCATAAACAGACAAAGTAATAGCAAATGATTAAAGGAAACAGCGAAGACTGTAAGTGCTATAAATAACTAAACATAACAGCTATCTTTGATTATAGTAGAAATAGACTGTAAGGCTATCTATATTCAGTTACAGTACAAAATGTCCATGATTAAGAATATGGTAAGACTACAGTGACATCTAAATACATTGCAGTTTACGATCAATCAATTTTTACTCCGCTGTCAAAATTTAAGTTGATCTGCACGGTAGAAAAAAATTGAAATAGAAATGTATTTATCTATGAAGATGTTTAGAAGCAGTGTGATCCATTTACAAGGAAAAAAGCCATAAGTCTTTAGGTAATAAATTTTTATCTATTGCGAGTGATATATGTCGACTGAACAGATGTGAGCACTGAGTGCAACTATTTTAGCCATTATTGCTAGAGTTATTCCAGAAAAAAAGTGAATAAAACTGTTGTGTTAACAATTTTTCTTATGTAAACCTGTCTACTTTCCTTCAATTGTCTAGATATAGTTATAATTAGTTATTAGTTTCGCCTCGGTAAATGGCTACGTTTTTATCGGTTTCGTATAACAGAACTTCGTAGAGAATTGGAAGATGTTCAATTAGACAATCCCAAATATAGACAGCAATATTCTCTGCAGTGCTATCACAAATAGAAAGTAGCAGCAAAATTAAAATTAAAGCTGTATAGCGATATATAATCTTAATAGTTGCTTAATACAGTATTGAATTACCTCGGATAGTTTGCAAAGTACGGAACGTCCTTATCCAAATTCTTATGATCTAGTTGTTTCATAATGACTTCGTTAATAATCACTTTCAAATCAGCGATATTCATGACCATTCCTGTTTTGAGATCGATCTACAGCAAAGGCAAAATTGAAGGTAAGATACCTGCCAGGGTTCATTGATAAACAGAATTTAATATACTGTATGCAGAAGTAATGCTAATAGTTAGGGCTACTACTTTCTGCAATTGAATTTTTATATTTACTACACATTAATCAACCTACAATAACCCTTACCTCTCCTTTCAATGTTACTTCAACTAGGGGTAACAGAAAGAATATTAATTTACAATGCAATAAAAAGCAATCAGCATTGCACATCAAGCATAAGAGAAGATACAGTGCCTAATTGTTTACAAATATACTGGATACGACTACACCGAACATTTACAGAATGTAAATATACTACTGTTGGATGTTATCAACTAAAGCTTTAACGAATTAAAATTATTTAATTACGATGGATATACTGATTACTATATATAATATGACATGCAATCACTATTACACGCATAATTTAGAACTAAATATAATATTTTATAATTGGTAACCCATAAGACTGCACACATTTAAAGACAAGAAGTAAGTGATCACATAAATCGTTGTGGTCCATTTTCTGCATGACGTACGTTTATAATTGTGGCCATGTCCATTTTCGTGATTGCATTTTCCATACAAAGCGCGATTCTCTTCATCAGTAAAGAATGGACTGTAGGAATAGAATAAGCGATAAAAGTCAACTTCATTAATAAATAATTTTCTAAAGCATGTCACTTCGTAAAACAGGCGAAATGAATGGAAGGTATTTCGCATACATAAGTCTACCTCAAGAGGTAGAAATTTGACTCTATTTCGTAAGTATACAGTAAATATCGGAAAACTTCAAGTATCTACCGCATTGAAGAGCATGATGTCGTATCCATCAATACCCATTAAAGTAGAACTTAACTACGTCTATTTTCGCATCGTTCATGCGTTAACTTCATACGCTAACTAGCTGGCTGCAATAAAGTATTTGAAATCCATAATAGTTCATGACTGTCAGCAAATCCACCACACCGTCCTTTTAATTACTGTCATGAATGTAAAGTTACTCTTGCAGAGTACTGTAGTACAGTATACTAAATTTTATGCTTAGCAACTTTGGACAAACCTATGTAGTCTGTGAGCTGCACTGAATGATTCAATTCGCTTAATGTAACCGATCCGTTTTCTTTCAGCCATTCAGTTCCACCTGTAGCTGAAAGCGAGTTAGCTCCGTGTCGACTAGTGATCTGGACGATCAACGCATTTGCAGTCAAAACAAAACTCTACCGTATTCCAACCCCGTTGCGTTTTACATGCTGTATGGCGCCGTGATTGACGTACAGTATGTACTTGTTGTACTGTACAATAGTGTACATGTACTATACTGAGAATCTGCAATTTGTAGGTTGGATAGTAAAGTACATACAGTATTCACAAAGTTTTTACATACTGTATACTGTATAGTACACTAGTACAGTCTGATTATTTTCGATGGCACCCCTTGGTTCAAAAATCAAAGTTGTATTCCGTTCAAATTCCTCTAGATTATGGATATATACCTGTACAATTATTAGGCTACAACTACTGTACTGTACATTTATTGAGTGTACAATAGGGGCCCGTTCATAATAACCCTGATTACTCAGATACTCAGGGTAAACAGCTTAATTAAACCATAATGCATTCATTATTCTAACAGTATTTATGCTAAGTATCTAGTAATGATGGTTATAATGAACGGGCTTTTTACTGTACGATGTACATTTTGTACTAGAGTCATTGTACTCTCTTGCTATCCAAAAACCTTTCCAGCGATCCCCTCCCTAGTAATAAAAATGCACACATGGTTACAAAATTACACATGCATCAAGCTACGAGCATGCGCAGACAGATCCTACGTAACAACCAGGCAGCATTGCATAATGTCCAATAAGCAAAACCAAGGTCAAGTATTAGTGAAGGAAGTTCGAATAATGTGCCAACAACACCGGTCAAGTCAAGTTATATCTGTTCTGGTATGCGTTACTATACTACCGTATGTGCATCGTGCCGGCTAAAGTCCCTGCATGTCAGGCGAAACGCAAGCACGCGCACATTGGTATTAGTACAGTACAGTAATCTGTTACGGGCAGACATCAAGAAATTTCCATTTGAATGATTCGTAGTACTGTACGAGTAAAATACGAATATGGCCGCAATTCGCCAGGTATGCTAACTATTCTCTTCGATCTTCTTATTAATCTCAATTATTAGCTTGGTACATAAAGTCATTTCTTCAATTAGATGCTTGTCAAGAACCATGTCCATTCTTATTATTCTATAATAGTCTTAGATAAGGATTAACAAAGCATAATCTTGTATTTAATATGTGATCGATCATTTTTTAGCTTATTGGCCTGACCAATCGGGCACAGCCGACGCGATCAAGACTTATTCCCATTTCTGCTCCATTTATCCAACGCTCACATATTCAAAGCAAAATCTTACCTTACTCAGTTCAGGTGGGTGCAAGAGAAAAGTCTGGTATATTCCTAGTAATATTATAGCGAATACATCCTCATAATCCAGCATGATGCTTTCATTGCTCAGCACCATGCACTAAAATTAGTTGGTCATTCCACTTTTCAATCGTGGAATAACAATATTAGAGGCACAGTACGTTAGTGATGGGTAATTAATTAGAAGCATTCAACTTCAGTAAGCCGCAATGAATCAATATAGCAAGTAAACTGCAAGGTACTAAGGTAGTTATGGATTCTTCGATTAGATATTCATGTATTAGACAGTTCCTCCGAGTTCGAACCTAAATGGTCTATATGCGATCATGCTCATGTGACATTTTCTATACCCTGTAGCAAAGTTTTAAAACCTACCATTTACTCTTACAGATACGTCGTAATTTCTCGAATCAAGGCCAAAAAGAGAAAGGATTATTCAGTAAAGTTTTCGATAATATCAAAGAAGGTTTTGCGAAAAATAAAGAATTACAGGTACATTCTATCTAACATAAAGATTTAATATTGAGCTGTACTACTTAGGTGATAATAGATCGGTCCAATGATATGATCTTAATAAATCATCATCTCGATCATATTTATAAATCACTGTGAAATATATCCAATATACAGTACAATATAATACTCATTTCTTCTGCTAGTGATTTGTTTCCTAATTATACTAGATAAAATTTCTAAACGCGCTAAATATATCCTAGGAAAACATAAAAAAATTCCGAGAAGAGGCTGCTAAATTGGAACAATCTGAAGCATATAAAAAGATTTCTGATGCAACAGTAAGTTGGCTTCGAAATATCATTAGTTTACTTTAGCAGATCAACATAATCTTGCTTATCTTGTAATTTATTTCTTTAACCTTAAATACCATCATTACGGTACATAACTGATAAACTTCAATTTGCTTACTATCAAACAAGGTATCTTCATTTGTCCATTGATTTATAGTACTTTCCTTCTCCTACGTAACTGATAAACTTCAGCCTGCTTATTATCATACAGGGTAATTTCATTTACCCATTGATTGATAACACTTTCCTTCTCATTTGAGCAAACATTCGTTCTCTTCTATCAGTGTAGTTGTACGCTGTACAGTATTGGTTACGAGCATGCCAAATACTCGTACCTGTGATAAGCACGTATCTACGCTTACCCTGAAAGTTCTCTCAGTATACAAACATCCTACCATGCATGTACATATTTTGACTATTACTGGTGTTTTACAATCTCTGAATACGAAAATGCGACACTTCACGTATAAGTTGCTAATAAAACGAATTCTCATGCATTTATAGGATACGTCTATTAATGTAATCGAATATTGATAAAATATCTAGCTTTCTTAAGTGATTTACATAGCTCAAAGGTACTTTACCAATAGCTATGACGATTGTAATCGCTCACACTGCAATATAGTAATAGAAATATGAAATTTGATGCATACAAATACTGTATGATTTTAAATTAATTACTAGAGCCTTACTAGTACATCAACTTTATGATTATGGTATGCTCTACTACTGATAGAATATATATTATAACTGACATTTTTTAACAAGTTAAAGACATGATTCGCCAATAATATAGCAATCGTTAAATTATATGAATGAAGTACTTGTGTGAACGATCGAACACGTCCGATTTTACGTACTTAGACTTCTAGGGTTATTGAGATGTAGTCTGAAAAGATTAAAATATCCTACCACATGTGCATGTACAAACCTCTTCAATTTTTGTGAAGTGTAATAACGGTTCATCTTGCTGAACTATTACGTCGTTATGTTATAATTATTGTAATAATAATTACAAAATTTCATTTCTACAATCCGGCTAAATAATTTATGCGTTTATATCAAACTAGGAAGATCTGGGATCTGGCGCTGCTGACCGGAAAGCTAAATTAGGAACGTTTCTTAGCAAATTCAGAACATCTGCTGGCAAGGTGATGATACGATCACATTTCTTCATTACTTCATTTTCATCAAGAAATTAGCGGTAATTCACGCTATGGATGATATCGCGTTCTGATATACTGTGATTGCAATTTTTAGCTGTACGAGGATGTTTCTTCTAGTGATTTCGTTAAGAAAGGAAAAGAAGTCTCTGAAGATGTCAGTATCCCGTTATATTGTGTTGTGCTTTTAAGTCAATTTCTGTAATGTATATAGACTTAGTTTTTCTGTCCTATCACTTCCAATATTCTCAAATAGTTGTCAAATGTTGCATCGGAAGCTGCTAAGAAGGTTTCTGATTCTAGTAAATCAGTAGGCGAAACGCAAACCTTTAAGACTTTTTCAGAGGTTAGTACTGTGATTATGAATAGGAATAAAAAATAAACACTTATGCACCAGCTAAACGATTGCATTTTAAAGAATAGTAAAGCCGAGTCCGATATATCTATTTTTATGATCGTTATACTTGTAGTATTTTGACAAATGTTCTTATTATGATCAAAGTCTTAAAAGCCTATTGTGATGCTAGGGTGTAAAAACTATAAAAGAAGATTTATTTGAGGAGGGCTTAAACAGAGCGCAACCGTATCGATCACCAGGTTAGCCAGATAGCCGTAATATAGAATTAAAATTTAAAATTCTTCATTTTTATATCGTGCTAGCTAATATCATTGGATATTACTTTATAGAAAAATTACATAAACGTACGGAATCTGATCTACAAAGTAAAATGAAAGATGAGCAACAAATACAGGAAGACACGTAAATATCATATTTTAATTTAACACTGCGTGAAGCCCCACTTAAAATGCATTCTATCGCAGTATTCTCTCATAGCCTCTGCTAAACCAGTATCAAAGTAATCGACCTATTTGAACGTTTTGTACAGAGACACTACTGGCGTTGTTCTACATAAAGATTCTAGGTGGTATCAGCAATGGAAGCAGTTTAAAGATAATAATCCTGTCGTTAACGGTTAGTCAAGTGATAATAATCTATATATATACTTCACAAGAATTAAATTATCGTTATCAATTACTAATAGCCTGTAAGCGTTGCTCTATTCAGGTCTGTTTAACCTAAAAATGAAGTATGATGAAAGTGACAATGTCGTCATTAGAGCTACACGAGTTGTAACAGATAGATTATCGGATGCCTTTAGTAAGTCTATGATACTGTGGTACGTTACTACCTTGGATTTTTGATATGTCATAGATTAATTTCATATCGAAATTATTTCAATAGGTGGCATTTTTTCACCATCGGAAATGTCTCAAACGTTAGCCGAAATATCAAAAATTGATCCTAACTTTAGCAAAGAAAAATTTCTTTTACATTTCCAACATCGAATTATGCCCTCTGTATTAGAAGTAATACTTTAAAAATTATCTAGCAGAAGATAAATATACTTATTTACTACCTCTACTGGAATCCAGAATTAGTAGCATACTATCTAATATTTACGATCACAATTTGTACGTGTTAGGCTTTTCTAAGAGGCGATTTACCTATTCTTAAAGATTGGTGCCACGAATCGGTATGCCGATACAATTTGTAGCTTGCTATTGGCGCGTTTTGCGGATCTTTTTACTCTACATGGGTTGCCGTAATGTGATAGATTTTAATTATTTCATAGGCTTATAGCGTTTTGGAGGCTAGAATAAAGCAGTTGACTGGAATGGGCCGAAAACTAGATTTTAAAGTACTAGATGTCAGAGATATAGATGTAAGCATTCGATATCGACCTTAATCTCAGCTATGATTAAGTAATAGCGTAATTAATTATCTTTTACCTGATATTAACTTAATTATCATAAATAATTAGATTGCGATGGCAAAAATTATGGAACAAGGACCTGTATTAGTGATGACCTTCCAGGCGCAGCAAATTCTAGTTTTACGAGATAGCTCAGGTAAAGTTGTTGAAGGAGATGAGAATCATATTGAAAATGTTCAGTATGTTTGGGCGATGTGTAGAGATCAATCAATCTATGATGCCCATTCAGCATGGAGAGTATTAGAATTTGCTATGCAAGCATCTTCTTCGTGGGTATGATAGCTAGATTATTGTTTACTTTAATAAAATCTAATTGCTATAGTTGAAAACCGTATATAAAGGCTATGTGCGCCGCGCCTAGACATTTGCTATCTATGTGTAGTTATGATCTCATATATATATTACTGTCAGAAAAGATAGTGTAACATCTTAAACGGTATTTTTGTATACCTGCGGTAAATTGCTTGTATATACAGTGCAGATATCCACAATGAACTAAAATTGGCAAATGAATGAAATGGTTAATGTATGTAAGATGGCACAATTTTTATTTAAATAATAAAATTAGAACGTAATATACGCTACACACTACAGTATGATGACTGCGATCGAGATATCTTTCTGATTTGTAACAACTAAGAATAAATAAACGTAGAATCTAGCATAATTTTGCTTCGAAATCTACTATGAATTATGAAAGAGAAATGAAAAATTTTTCAATAATGTAATCATATAATAAACTGCAGTAAATTAACGAGATGCTAATACAACCCTAGGTGCTAAGTTAACGTACAATCAAAGTATATGAGACATGCCTAGTGTAGTGAAAAATAGAAAATACATTGCAGATAACTTTATGTGGATAACATAATCTGTTTAAGGTTAGGTAGAAGTTAAGTTGCCTGGTCGATTTCCTTTAATCTTCTGGTTTTTTCGATCTTTTATCAATTTAACGCACAGTTTAATTACAATAAAATCATTTATGGCATCATACTTCTTGGCTAAGCATAATTAATCTACTGCCCTCGAATTAACATATTGCTTAAACGCAAGCAGATATGCTTCGAAAATACTTCTTGAAGAATTAGGATAGAACACTGCAAAGACGTAAGGGTTATAGTAAAATATAACAGCAATAGATACCATACGCACTCATACGTACGTGTATCAGACATTATATAGTCCTGAAGCAAAGAAGAAAATTTCATCATGTCTTGTACAAATATACGGAGGTATAATAAAAGTAACATAGTGAGCAGTGATCGACCGAAGGCCGATCATTAGCTTTTGATTGGTTGAACGCTGGCTGATCTATCAAGTTTTTTGATTGGTTGAAGCTGACATTGATACCCGAACACAGGCAGGTGTACCCTGTAACGCTGGCTGATCTATCAACTCCCTTCGGTTGAATAATAACAAAATTCCTATTTGGAATACCGTCCTCTAATATAATGGAGAGATTGCACTGATAGGTTAAATTTTGTCATGGTATTGAAAAATCAAATTTCTAGTTTATTGGTTTCCTTTTCAATAACATCATACTTTTACCAATGATGAATTTTTTATTACTGGGTTAATAGTTATAATTAGAGCATTATATACTGATCATTTCCGCAAAATTGATTAATATTGGGTTATACATGATACTTCTATTTCGCTAATAAATGTAGTTAGAATTTATCTTAATCATAGAGATCTGTCACTTAAATAAGGGAATAATTTCTAAAATAAACGCAGTCTCGAGTAAATTAGCTGTTCGAATCTTGAGTTCTACAATATTTAAATATTTTTAAGCTTTCGTGCTTGATCAATCAAATGGGGCATTATTAATTTTATGGCGGCAGCTGTTGTATTGCTGTCGTAAATTTCCGTAACTGGAGCGTGGATAAATATTGATGGACATTTTGCAAGTTTGAGAGAAGTATAATAGGTGAATCCGCAAAGATACCTGCCCGTATATTAAATGATTAACAGCATTTAGTAAAAATAATATGAATATTTATTTATTAGAAGATACACACGTTCTAAGAATAACAAGATGTTTAAATAAATCAATTATCCCTACAGTAGCTGCTGATATGAAGCCTAAACTGCCTAACCAGTCGTGCTGACATTGTCTTACCTTCCAGGGTCATCAGAAAGCTCGACTTTTCCATCAGTAAGGGACTTATTGACCTCATCGGCAACAGCCTTGAGATTCAAACTTGTATTTAACTCTGCTGGGCCATCTAAGGTGATAATTAATTATATTATCAACAGTAGCTTAATCAGAATAAAAGTATTATTAGACATAACTTAAGGTAGGCTTACAATATAGCGGTATAATTTTAACAAAAGTTATTACCGGCAGTGAAAATTAACGCGAAAAATTCGAGGTTATCTTAATCAGTAACATACGAATAGCCCAATTAGATACCTTTATCTATACAGCAGTTATCAGCTGGACAACGGCCTGAAACATCTGGAAGTACGTAATTGTTACAAAAAGCGCGACTCTCTAATAAAATGGTCTCAGCGGTACCATGGACTCCAACGTAGACACAAAGCTATCAAATAAAATTCTATAGAATTAAAGATCTAAAAGCGTATAAAGTAGAATACAACTTTGTCATTGTTTAATAGAAAGGTAAATATAATTATAAATAACGTCGGCATGTTACGTAATTAAAATACAGGTTGTTTACTATAGACCTTATTTCCTTGACTTGTCTACGATATAGTAACCTATTCATGGCACTATAACATTGCAGCTCTGCCGTTAAATAAGTAAGTAAGCATTATGCGTAAGCAATTAAAAATTTTTATCACGTTCTTTTTTAACGTTTAAAATGGGCTGTGACGGAACAATAAAGATTCCAAGTAGTTAACTATCGTGAACTGCTGGCATGATAATTTTAAGCGACACTAAACTGTCAACGGCTTAAAGCCTGAATCGAATATAACAAAAGTGCAGGCTAAAGCAACGCAGATCAGTTTTTTCCCTTTCTACTGTAGAAAAATCAAATTTATGCGTTTCAATGAAATTGCGTTGCAGTTAAGTTAATAATAGTGAATTCTACCTACATTGTAAAGCTACGATATGAAAGATATACATCAGATTTAAAGTCGATATTATGAGTGTGAACATAATGTAATGCATCAATTACATTGCGAATTAGAATCAGTTGGTATTCGGAGACATTATGATTAACAGAAATAAGTTCTTGTGATGGTACATACATTGAATAAACTTACCAATAGATTTTCACTTTGAAGGATTCCTGGCAATGTCTCCGAGATGAAATTATAGTCAACGGATAGCTGTCTCACGTCCAATTCTACTTGTTTATTCTGAAAATCGTCATGAGCCAGATTCTATCGATCCCCAACATTAAATAGAGAACAAACACGAATACGATTTTAGTAAAGGGAACTACTAGAAACTGCTATTTGAAAAGATTTGATAATCATAGAAATACCATCTAGAAAATTTTATCAAAGTTAACATAATTCTTATACAGTACTGTACAGTACAAGATATTAAGGTTAGTCTCAGATATGGATTTATTTTGTAAAGACAGCATGAAACTTGACATGATTTGAAATTTACGTAAAGCCCAAATTTATTGAAATACGTACGATAGATGTTAATCCCTTGATTCTACGTATTTATCAGTATACGATGCAGGATATACACGCGTTTATGGGTTACTAATCGGTAAAATGAGTACCCCTGCTGTACTGTACCCACTTTCTGTTATTATTACTAACAAAAAATTGATTAAATCAGGATTTATAGTTTTATAAGCTAAACTAATACAGTCATTTCTAGGCGTCAATGATATTTTGAGTAAATGAGGATTTATTTTAATATCAGAATAGCTGATAGGATAGCGATTATAATAAGTTACTAATCTATAACAATAAGTATTTGGGGCTCATAAATAACTTTGTTCACAGTCATGTAATACAGCAGACTATATCTTACTATGTATAACTTTACTAAATCGTAATAAATTTAGGCCTACGAAAACTTAAGATAAAAATCTACTTTATTACAATATTTAAAAGGTCCGTGTAAGCTAGTCTACAACAGCAAAACAGTAAAACATGCGATATTATCTCTAAACTTCTACGCTTTCTATCTCTACATTAAATCAACAAATACAGTACACTACACTTGCTACTCTGTGCAGTTCTTGTAATAGCGTTTTTATCATTGAAATTTTGGAGCAACTATTAGATTAAAGTTAAATTAAATTTAAATTTAATATCGTAGTCTGGTAGCGATGCATTGTAGAATATAATAAGCGAATAAAGACAATCGGTACCTTCACTGCCTCCCAGCTGGCATTGGTATGAAAATGAGCGAATGGACCAAAACCTACAAAAAATTATTGAATAGTAAATGATATCTTAGCATTACAATTACATTAGGAAACTGAAGAGTTATTACCCTTATCGATCTAAAATCAATGTCTATTTAATTAATTCAATTCTGGGCATCAATATGATTTATTCGCAAATTTACTGAGAAGTAATACTGTACTACAGTACTGTATACAGGATATATTCCTCGATAACACATCAGTGATCCGTCTTATGAACTACAGTATTATAGTGATTCATATTTAGTGAATCCGATATAAAATAAAATTGTAATAATTGACAAGATCTAATCAAATTTTTCCATTAATTAATGAAATTATCACTATAGTAGCAAAAATATACAGTAGGTCGTACAGTCAGCATAGATATGGTCCTACGTTTCACTTTATTGTTTTCGTAAAGTTGGAAATATCAAATTTAATTCTTCAATTCGAAACAAAAATAATATCTTGTTAATTTATATCGATTACTGCTGTTGTGCTCATATTGTAGTCATGTATTAATCTCAATCACTCATCTCATATAATTATAAAATAATATATATATATAATCAATGATAAATGAATGATCGATGATACTAAACGCTTGATTAATTTATAAACAATACTCGATGACAAATGATGTGCACCAATGAATCATGCAATATATTATTAAGGAAATTGTAATGTCAACGATTCTAAAACTAATTTTTAATGGAAAAGTCTCACTTCTAGCTTGTAATGAAACGAAATCGTCCAAAAAAAAATACATACATATATATATATATGCTATAGAAATGTAAAACTAACTAACATTAGCCCTCTACGGTATGTAATCTTATTGTACTAGAATAGAATTAAATTATTGTACAGTACGTTAATTGGCTAGTCTACATATTGCTAATCATGGGTAAATCATTAACGATGATGCTTATATCTTTCTTACCTGTCACTAAAATTAAATCATTCGCCATTGCAACACGGCAATATGGAAAGGATCTAAAATATACAGTAGATGCAACCAGGGCTGAGCGCTGAATAGTAAAAACAAAGCAATACAAACTTTTAACCTTTTCTCCTTAAAATAAAGGCCTGAGAGAGTATCAGACTACCAGCATCAGTACGAGAGTGCGTACAGTAGAGTACTCACCACCGCAAATTTGTGAGAAGCGTTATGAGTGACGTCATCTCTGCTAATGACATTGTGATTTTAGGATCACAATCGTAACGCGCTGTACTGTACAATGTACTGTAGTACTGTACATGCGCACCACAGTATCTTACAGTGATTACTACCGTGTGACTGCGTGGAGTTCGTTGGCATCGAGTACGGTGCAGTACAGTACAGTACGTTGAGTACAGTAATAAACTTCAGCACTGGAAAAGTAAACTCCTTACAAGAATCACAAGGCTGAACTTGAAGTTAACATACGTAATCTCGTTGCTTCACAGATACATCACATTGTAGACGTGAAAGTTTAATAGTTCTAAAAAAATATGTCGGATGGAGAAGAAACAGTTGATAGTCCTAAAACCACTAATGGTGATAGACACACTGAATCGGACGCCCAATCACTTTCTGTCGAAAACAGCAAATCGGTTACAATTCGCAAAAGTCAGAAAGGCTTCGGCTTTAATGTCAGAGGCCAAGTCAGTGAAGGTGGCCAGTTAAGAGCTATTAATGGAAAGCTATATCCACCACTCCAACATGTTAGTGCTGTTATTGACGGTGGTTCAGCCAAGCAAGCGGGTGTGCGAGTTGGAGACAGAATATTAGCTGTGTAAGTTAAAAAGAATCTGCTATATAGGGCAACTTTTCGTCACATTATTTACATTTAACCACACTGTAGTATTGACAACAAACTAGAATATTTCAAACATTTGCTGTTCCAGTACTGCTTTTCAAAGTTAAATCTAAAATTCTGTTAAAACTGATTAAACGCGTGATCTGTGTACTGAATGCAGTTCCAGTCGTGATAAAATGATGGTGCTCAACTTTTCTGCTTTCAATGCAAAAATTGACCCTGCTGAGAAGAAAGATTCTTACTATAGAACTGATTCAAAGTTGAGAACTCTGTTCAACTGACCGGCATCGCATGCAATATGTATTCAAATTATCTGCCACTAAAGACTAATTTGTGATTTCGAGATGTAGTGTTATACTTTTATTGTAATTACATTACAGTTTTTGTGTGTGTACATTAATAACACGAACAAAGTAAAAACCTACGCAAGAAACAAGAAACACACCTATGCTTAAGGCCACTTGCCTAAGCCTACCGATCCCAAGAAAGTGCTCGTTGCTCATTGCCTGATGCAGTATCGTTTAGTACGGTTATTACACTCGAACTATACGTCACTCTACAGTGCTGTACGAATGAACCAGTCACTTTACTGTAAACCTGTTATTACAGTACAGTACTGTAGTATCGGCAGCACCGTACAATTTACAGTATTTACATACAGTACTGTAATACAATATACTGTACTGTACTGCCGTGACTGCTTTTGTACTACTTTCGGATTAGCACACTCGATTAACCGTTTTCACCCCAATCTGCAGTCACGATCACGACACTGGGTTGCTTAGTCTATCAAAGATCTTTCAAGATCTTTATTGATCCCTTGACGATACTGTATGTACTGTACTGTACACTTGTACAGTATCTGGAAACCTCTGCAATTGCAACTTACGAAGGACTACTTACCTATAATGTCACAGGCAACATGGTGGCACAACTAACTGAAAAGTAAACGGCAATATGCAAACTCGTATTTACGTATATAGTACTTACTGTATAACACTGCAGTAATCTGTTAAAATGATGTATTGATGAAACGTCTTAAATGTACCCCTACTCGAATTATACAACTTATTTATTGCAGCTGTCATGCACCTTCACGTTAATTAAGTTGATTAAAGCCTTGACATGATGGAAGGAAGTACTAAATTAGTACCATTATTTGAGACATTTCATCAATAAATTTGGGATATCTATTATCAATATTAATCAACCTACAATCTACTGTACACTCTTGAACTAGTACTTAAAAATACTTATTGTGCCATACCGAACAAAAATCTTCTTGACATAATTTGATACTGTAATTCTACTTTTCCTAAGACCCTTCTTCACTCGCCATAGCTTATGATTTATTGAAATACTGTACGTGGATAATTTAAATTCCCTTAATATTTATTATGGACTTACTGTATTAACTATGTACTCGCGCAAAAATACCACTATCTCAACGACTCGGTGCATTAGTCCGTATTGATCAACAGGCAATAGTCACGGTTTATTAATGTAATTCGCACCGGATTTTCATCCTGAATCTTACCATCTAAATTCTTAATGTGATGTTAGTGTGAACTGCACTCAATACGCACTAATAAATGTACTTTCATATTAATCTCGTAGCCTAGTGATGATTAATGCTAGAATTTTGTGTAGACTATAAATGTGAAATTATTCACTCAGTGTACATGGTATTAACAATTGTGCGTAAATGATATGATGTACTGTAGTATATGAGCTACAATAAAACGTAAATAATTAATATCTGCTGTTCGTACAGTACTTTATAAATTATAAAACTACCGTAAATTTATCAATTATATTATCAAAATTCAGCAAGTGTCCGTTCTATTCACTTGTATCTAACAGCAACCATAAACCTGAATTACTGTACTTCATAGTCTATACCACAACGGGCTATTTAGTACGCTATTTCAATACAGTACGTTGTTACGAGTAGGGATTGCTATGTTGAAATGTTTTTGACTACAATTTTCGATCTTGGTGGTCACTTCAATGACTAGCTAATTTACAGCTATGACAAGTGACAATAGATTATAGAAACAGTAAGTCAAAAAATTTATAACTTTACAGTACTTAAATTACGAATACTATACTGTAATATAAACTAATGATACTGTCAGCCTATATATTCGTATTTCACATATTCCTGTAAGATGTTACTATTAACACGGTATCCTACAGCTAACACCAAGGAAATGAGAGGCAGGAATACAGAGGTTATCTTCTTACTTCAGTCGATTCCCAGCTTTCAGCTTTCATTATACGTAAATAACACATTGCTTTCATTCCGTGATATTTAGAGTTAAGTATACTGCTAAACACAGTATACAATTTATTTTTACTGTTGTCACACCAAATCATGTATGAATGTAATAAAACACGCTTGAATTAATGATGTCAAACAACACTAGGACTTCATCCCATCGTACTTAGTATATCAGTAGATTAGTCTACATTTAGCATAAATTGCATATTACTGTTTTAAAGCCTTTATTTTGGATGCCCTGTTACATAAATTTATTCTCGTGATATTAGTTAGTGCTATAAATTTACACGGGCCTAGTTCGTTATCGATTGTACATATGCGGTAGTATAAACTCGCAAACTGTGCAAAGCGCGTGTGTTGCTTTGTGAGCTAGCGGTGCTGTACTGACTGGTTACTGTAATTAAAAGTTATTAAATCTTTTACAATATTATTCTAAATAACAGATTTTCTGCGTGTAACTCCTTTAAATACAATCAGATATATCCTGAGCTTAAAACTGCCTTTGTTGTTTTAAATGAAATACTATCAAAATACATACGTAATTGTAATCTACTTTCGATTTAATAACGCATTGAGCTAGCTTTCAAATATTGCTATCTCAATAGCTAGTAGATGAACAGAATGGATGGCTATAAGTTTTCTAACCTTCTGTATCGTTAACTGTTTGTGTATTACATTTATCTAATAGAAATGGAATTAGCGTCGAAGGATCCTCTCATCAAGCTGTAGTCGACCTGATTAAACAAAATAGCCAAGTATGTGAATTATTGTTATTACCAGTAACAGATGACGAAGCCAAAAGATTGGATGGTCGTGGCAGAGGATCTGCACACCATGACTATCCACCTGATTATACAGAAAAGAACGCTTTACCTATAACTATACCAGATTGGACAAATATCGATCGAAATGGCGAACGCTACACAGTAAATTTTGCATATACTTTTAATGCTCCTTTTAGCGACCTTACAATTACACTTGCTTGTTACCAAATAATGAAGTAATCCTCCTAAAAATATCGCTGTTCATTCTGAAGCCTTTAATTTTACAAATAGGCGTACAATGTCTACATGAGTAAGAAGCTGTTGTGTTCCAAAAGATACAGTGAATTCTCCACACTCCATAGCGCGGTAAAAATTATCATAATATACGGAATAGTTAGAAAACTTTCTTAAGTATTTATAACGCCTGTATGCAATCGAAAATCATGTCTTATTGTTCATAAATGAAATATCTATTAATTTCGATATTGTAATTCCATAATCCGCAGCTTAAAAGAGAGCACAGAGAATACAACTTTCCAAAATTTCCCGGCAAGTGGCCATTTAGCTTATCTGAACCACAAATCGATCAAAGAAGACGCAGTTTGGAGTCCTACTTATGTCAAGGTAGAAAGAATACTTAAATAGAAATCCTGGTCTTCTCAATTTTAGTAGTACTGATTCAGGGATCGAAATATTAAAAGAGCTTATACTGTACCAGATGTATTTTTTAAAGCAAGATTACCTATATGCAACTTTAAATATCGTAATATTTTATAAAATGATACCATATCTTGACCCTAACCAGTTCTCTTTAATAACCCTGTTATAATCGCGATTAAAAAATACCCTAATAGCATAGATTTGAAAGGTTTTCTTTTTGTTTTCTTGAAGTAACTTCTGTCTGTGCCATTTACGACTCAAAAACTATCCAAGAATTTTTATGTATAAACGATGAAAGCAAGGTATAGTGTTACTGTTTTTAATCGTCTGTATCAGATCATAATATACAGTATTTTCTGCAGTCGCTGTCATTATAGAAATAATTAACCAATCTCCTGTTGAAGACTATGACATACTCATATGTCGATTTATACGAAGTGTACCATCTCGTTGCTTTCTTTTATACTATATTAGAAATGCTGGCTAAGCCAACATTCGAATTAATACCTATATTTTATTAGAAAACTAATACAGAACCTACAGATGACAACAACACCTCGATCGAAATATCGTTACCAGATGCGAAGACGATAGCAATATCAATTCGTAAGAGTGATATCGTGGAAGATGTTTACCAGGTAAAAATTATACTTATGCTTATTGGACAAGTAATGATATCGAATACGCCATATTTGCTGTAACTTATAAGTGATATTTCGTTAAATCTCTCCTCTACTAGATTGCTGCTAAGAAAGCTGGAATTGGCAAATCCAATATGAAGTATTTTGCAATGTTTGAACATATTAGTGAAAACTTTTGTGAGTAGACTTTCAGCACTTTGACAGCTAATTATATACTCATTGAACGTAAGCTAGCGTCAAACCTATAATACGCTTTTAAGCAGACTTTAATGACTAGTGATTTACAAACGATCTAGGGAGAAAACTACAAGACAATGAAATGCCGTACGCTGTAATTTACAGATCATCTTCTAATAGAAATTTGGCAATCAAGAAATGGACATTTTCTGAAGATAAGGTCAGCCAATTTAGATATCGTGACATTTATTAAGTTCTTTCAGGAATGGATAGACAATTATAATGTCAATTTCCATTGTTATTTATAGGAGAAAACCCTTGTATCCGATGATACCGTCTTAAACTATATATATCATGAGGTATCTTCTAAATTATGAATTTACGGTATTTTACTGAAATGCTGAAAGTGCTACTATTTATACAGTACTATCGGTAACAAACGCGATAGTTGCAACGAAAAGCATAATCGCTAAATTCATCAATAAGTAAATACTTAATCCTATTATAGGCTGCCAACGAAATAAAATCTGGAAAGTTATCATCGCAAGAAAAAATAAATGATCTGAAGGCGGCGCAAAATTCTGGCAAGAAGGCTCTGGTATATTTATTTCTTTAGTCATCAATTTATTCAACTGAAAATTCGTCTGTGCTAACTTGTCACTTAATTTCAGTTTGTGGAACTAGCTCAAACATTACGTGGATATAATACAGTAGTATTTCCGCACTGTGCTTCCAATGTCCGTAAAAATGGCAATGTAATTGTTAGCATTTCTAAATCAGGCTTAGCTTTAACAGCTTGTACAAATACTGGGGAATTAGAGGTATGCGGTTGTAATACTCATAAACTATATCTTATTAAGCAACTTTGCTATAGATAATGTAAACTCTGAATCAAATAGGAACAAGAACATAAATTTAATTGGGATAGTATCATTGAATGGGAAACAGACGAAGATGAGGCATCATTTAATTTTCGATATAATCGTGAAAATATGCCTCCTAGACTAGTCAAACTTTATACAGATTATGTAAGTGGATGAAGTACCTTACTTCGATTTTAGAATATTTGAGTCCTTCATTCTAGCTGATTAACCTATTTGTAATACTTCTAATAAATGCTTAGGACATGTATATGAAAGAATGCTTTGATCGAGTTATAGCAGAACTGGAATGGGAAAGAGAGGTTAACTGTCGATAAATACGTGTGATGAAAACCTAAACATCAAAGAAAAAAACTTAAATTGTTACACTTTATATCTGTATTATAGCAAATTGATGTTAAGCCTACGGAGAACGTTGCTGCTGTTACTGCGTCTGAAAAGCCCTCAGCTAAAAAACTAACGAAGCCGAGTGCATTGGCTGATATTGGAGATGGTGATTTGTAACACTGATGCCCAGGCTTAGTAAATAATTAAGGCATCATGCCTGATTCGTTGTAAATTAATACGATATTTTCTATCATATCATAGAAAGCTAGAAATTTTGGATAATCTTTATTAAGTCTTTTAATCAACTTAAACAACAGTTTACTGTAGTAATAATTTTGTCATTTATTCGTAATTTTCACTATATCGAATATTCTAGAAATTATACTTTCCAGTTAACCCATGTGCTGTTGCTACAGTATTAGTACCTCTTACAGAAAATCTTAAAAGTGAATTGTAACATGACTGCATCGTATTAGAATGCTATTGATTCTATTCTTTTATCAAATTTGACACGGTGATAGAAATACGAGTATTTTGACTGCGAAAATTTTACCGTTTGTTGACTAAAATCTAGCTACTAATCAACTGTATGTTAAATGGAAAATATGTGATTTTAGGGTTGTTTATACCTTATCACTGGCTTGTAAATTTGTACGGAATGGAAAATCATTCATTATTCAATGTAATATACAGTCTAATGCCAGTTTTAAAGTTTTAAATTATAATTATTGTGGTGGACATATTAAATGTGATATTATAGTAAAGTAAAATTGAGTAATCATTGTAGTTGTAAACATTCCTTAAATATGTAATCACAGTACTTAATGGAATTGGTGTTTTAAGTAAATACTGTATTTTAGAAGTTCTGACAACCTATTATACGGCCAGGAGATTGCAATATTTAATTCTATCTATTGTGTCTAGCATAACGATATACGGTATTCTGATCGCTGTATAAGCGGTAAGAGTTGTACTAAATGCAATTTTGTCTTCGTATATAATGACACGGTATCAGTTCTCGTGAAATGAAAGGAGGCTTGTAGACGTCTAATGAGACTTAAAAAGGAGTTACAACTATTTAATATTCGCTCATATAAAGCTTTAAAGCGTATCGATAAGTACTATTGTTAGATTTGAGAATAAACTACAATCAGGGACAGCTAAAAAAGATTAAAAATCCCTACTTCCAAGTAATATTTGTGTTAGAGAAACAGATAGCATTGGGTGTTCTAACAAGATCATCATAAAATTTGTTTACTTCTGTGAAGTTAGAATAGAAATACGAAGAAATGTATTATAATTACGTATGTAAGAGGTTGAAGGCTATGTTACTATTACTCTATTTAATCCTTAATATTTATTTCATAGTGAACTTTATTTATCACACAGTCTATCAAATAGGGCTAGGATTAGGATTTAAAACCTCCTTCAAATGGGTTTCGATTATGTTATGCTATGGTTTATAGTATATTGTATTATGTTATGTACTATAGTCACTATTCGTGATGTGCATTAGTTTATATAACTTGGCTATTACTTAATCTATCAAATACTAAAATACAACTCGAAGATTACAAGAATCGTATCTATGCGTACTTATAACAAATATATTTGAAACTATCATAAAATCTACATATAATGTATAAATCTAGATATTAATCTATCTAATACAGTCACAAATTATAATATTACAATTACATTGTTAATCCTTTTTACTTTTTGACTGTCGTCTACAACATTTACGACAAATAAACTGAAATATCTTAAAAATAATGTATACTATAGATAAAATAACAAAACAAACGTCGATTAAGTAGTATTGTATAAAATTGAGATTATATTTCTCTACTCTTAAATGTTTAGCACCATTGCTAATTAATACGTAGTCGATCCAATCTGCTGCTGTCTGTAAAGGTGTTCTAGGACGACTCTTAATTACCACCGATAGTTCCTTCATTTTCCGACTATATCTACATGAAGATAATGAATCATAGTTTTTAGTTTTTAACTAACAAAAATATTGTTAATAAGCTAATAAAAATTTCTATTATAATTCAATCCATAAATAATTACATAATAAATCACACTTAACAATGCTTATCATAAATGCTTACCGATCGTCTGTAACGACTGTTTTAATAGCATTTATAACTCCATCGACAGTCAAATTACCAGTATTTAATCCGACTGCTACTCCTCTTCGTAACAGTTGCTGTAAATTATCGGGTTGATCACCAAATACTGGCATACCAATAACTGGAACGCCATGATACGCAGCTTCGTACATGCTATTATGACCACAATGTGTTACGAAAGCGACAACATTGTTATGACCAAGTAAATCATTTTGAGGAAACCATTTGACGATTTTAACGTTTTTACCAGTTTTTAAATCAACATTCTTACTTTTCCATAAGATCTTATAGGGTAGTTTATTGAAAGCTTCAAGCAATATAGCAATTTTTTCGTCAGATAGACTGTCTAATATAGTACCAAATGATACCAGGACGACTTGAGGCGATTCGTTAACAAACTTTCAAGA